TCCACGATTCATAACCACATGCAAAGGCTGTAAGCTGTTGGCATTGGCAACCTTATGATGTGTCCCCATCCCATCCTTTTATTATCTTCCCCCCAAAATGTCCTCCACCCCTCTCCATCCCCCATGGTCATTGAGAGCAAACTACAAGTCCTAGCTGCTGCCTGCTTAACAGAATTAAGGTATTAGGTAGAGCAAGATGTCTACTGTGCTGATTTTGCAGGGAGTGTCTGAATCCAAGGGGAGAATGAGAACAGAACCTCTTTCTCAATGATGGACTGACCACAGAAAACCAAAAGCTCAAGCAATTGTCTCCCATTATCCTCTTCCCCATGCAATTGCTTTTCTCTAACACATTAGTGAGCACCAGCAAAACTGACACTCTTTGAAATGTATTTGTATCGCTTGTTGCCAACTGATGACTATTTACCTTTTTTAAAAAAAAAAAAAATCACACCTGTTATGCATTTCAGTTCACTTTAGGGATGTTCATTTAACACTCATACACCGCAATCATTCAGTGGTGTTTGGCTAATGTTCATGGCTCTTCAAAAGACAGGCAAGATCACAGATGCATAGAGATGCAAAGGGCCTTATAAGCCATCTAGTCCTAGCCTTTGCTCAGGGCAGGGAATCCTAGAGCCACACGCCTTCAGCAGACGGTCCCCAGCCTCTGCCTGAAGACGCCTCTGATGAAAATCTAGAGGGCAGACTGATGAGATAAGTGGGAGATGGGTAGATGCAGACAGACAGGGAAGCATGTTGTCATTTTGCCTTTTCTGTATGTATGGTTTCAAAAGGAAGAAGGGGGGATAAGATCAGATGTTTAAACATTTCCTCCCCATAGTTTCAACTGCCATCAGTGGGAGAAAGTCACTGCAGCTGGAAGCATGGGTCACACAAATGTGAAGCTTGGCAACATTTCAGAAGTCAAATTTGCCATGTCAAAATGTTTTGAGACGCTTTTAAAAACTAAGCAAAACGCGTAAATATTGTTTATTCATCCGAGGCAATACTGCTAAGCACCACCTGCCAAATTCAGTAGTGCAATTCCATTTTCCCAGTGTGTCTTTGCAAAAACACAATAGGCTGCAAACCTATGAACAGGGTCGTCAGCTGACCAGAACAAAACGAAACCAGGCCTGATCTTGTGCCTTTAACTGATGGCATAGAAGTAAGGGTTATCATCTGCTAATGTCTGCTGTTTAAAGTACAAGAACATGGATTGATTTTAAAAAACCCCAATGGCAAACCAGGATTCACTGAGGACAACAGACAACTGAGAGTGTCCAGGCAAGGTTCTAGGCGTGGTCCCCGCTCAGCAGCCGAGTGAGCCATCCACACAAACACTCCGCTCACTTTCACATCCCCTTTTTCATGGTGGTAGGTTGGTTGCTGGGGAATTTGTTTGCAAACATGTTTGCCTGCTGTTTCCTGCCAGGCCCAAGATTTGCCATGGCTGCCACCACCACAAATAGTCCCAACACTTTTGCTCGTAGGAGATACCCACCATGCTGGTGGCAATGAGGGTGTGGCAGGGTAGCTCAGAGAGGGACTGACGGAATCCTGACCATAGCAAAGAACCAGACACACCGAGAACACTGGAGTAGAAACATAGGTGAGGATGACCACCAGCTTAGGCCGCTTTAAACAGGGTGGCCAGACGCAAAAGGCAAGAGGGCTCCCGGAATGGCAGCTTCCACCTGCTGAAAGTCTCTTCTATGCAACGATCGCAGGTGCAGGAGCCCCTGCCCTCTTGTGCATTGAGCTACCTCAGCTTTCAAAGGGGGACTAGGCAGTGATTTAAAGCAAGGGCAGGGAACCTTTTTAGGTCAAGGGCCAGAAACGCATTGTCTGGGGGCCACATGCTGGCAGAGGAAACAGTGGACAGAGCACCAAATGTGGATTTTACCTTCTGTTTCTTCACACTCACCCCACTGCCCCCCCTGGCTACGACCATGCCCCCTGATGTTGATGGAGGACAGTTTGCACAATGGCGGAGCATATGCTATCTTTGTGGGGGGGGGTGCGCAGGGGGCAGGGAGTGGAAGGAGCCCGCTGCAGCTACACCAGCCCAGCCCTCACCGCTGCTTCAAGGGCACCCGAACACCTCGCTGGCAGCCCTGTGTGGCTGAGGTTGGAGTGTCCAATCCCCTGACCACTGTGGTCCATGCATTAGTCATATTGAGGCTGGATTACTGCAGTGTGGTCCATGTGGGGCTGCCCTTGGACCTGGTTCAGAAGCTCCAACTGGCACAGGCCTGCTGATGGAGGCATCTGGATGAGAACATGGGACGCCATTGTTAAAACAACTGTACTGGAAGCTCCAACTACTACAGAGTCAGGTTCAAGGTCCTTGTATTAATTTACAAAGCCCTGATCTGCCCTGTGAACTTCGGGTGAAGGGTCATATGGTCTTTCTTCTATCGTTTTATGCAGTGCCTTTTCTTCTAAAAAAAATGTTTAGGGGTATTCTCATTTTGACTCAAGAAAATCACCATTTTATAGTTCAAATCGGGAAAATAAATACAGTAAATGGACAAAAGTACAAAGATTCACAAAATGTTTAGGGGTTGAGCCCCAACCCCAGAGTGGTCCACGACTGGACCTAATGGTCAGGGATGCCTTTACCTTTACCTTTTATGTGTCCCCCCAGAAAAAAGCACTGGTTTTATGAATGGTTGTTTTAAATCGCTATGATATTTGTTATGAAAAGAGGGATATAAATGTTTTCATAAATGAATGTCAGGATCCATGGGCTGGAAATGATGTTCTCTGCCTCATTTCCCCCTGTGGGTGCTGGTCTGTACCCAGCCATCAACACCTCCACAGAGCCCTAATTATATATTTTTGTGAGCTTAATTGTGAGCACTTTCAGGAGCCAATCTTGACAGAAGAGTGGTGTATGAATAAAATAAAGATGCTCCCTCCCTCCACAAGAGAATGCTCCTCGTGGTCTTTCATCTGTAAAGAACAGCCAGCCTCTGCCCTATCAATACTTCTATGGGAGACTCTCTGCAAACACCTATAAGACCCTAAAATGAGCCCTGCCAGGTCAGGCCAATGGCCCATCCAGCCCGGCATCCTGTCCTCCCAGTGGCCAAGCAGGAGAGGCAGACCTGGAGCGTGTCTGGCCACAAGGGCCACGTGAGCTAAGGGTTTGTAGCAGGAAGGTCAGTGGGCAGCTGCTCTGACAAGAGGGGGGAACCATCGGCTCCCCAAATGCTGCGGAAGTACGACTCCTGCCATCCCAAGCTATTTGCCATCCTTGCTAGGACTGAAGGGAGTTATACAAGTATTGTTATGGCTTCAGCTACACAAATAAATAACAACAACAACAACAACAACAAGGATGGGAGTTGTAGTGCAGCAACATCTGAAGGACATGTCCTTCTCCTGGGCTGTGGCATCAAAATCAGGGCTCCAATCTTGCTCCCTCTCCCTCTCAGCTGCCGAGAGATAACATTGCAAACGGCACCCTGCAGACGTTTTGTGCCCTGAAGTTACATTATCTCATACTTTGGACTTGGCTGGGGGTTCCCTTGCCAAAAAAGCTGGCCATTTATTGCCATATAAGCTGCTGTGAACTTCCTGAAGGAAGAGGCGATGTATGTGTGATAAATAAATAAGTCATAACTTCCTGGCAGGCTCCAGGCCTGGCTTGTCTTTTGCATTCTGTAAACTTTGGAGCCTGCATCTGTCTGGTACAGAAGCCTCATCCCAAGGGCACTGAAGCTCTTTGAAGCAACCATGGTGGGCATCCCACTGCAGAGGTGTGAGAAATGGCCGCTGTATGTGAGACAAGAGGGGCTATATTTGGCCTTGTTCCAGAATGGAGAACTTGTGGCCCTCAAGATATGGTTGGACTGCAACTCCCATCACTCCCCTGACCATTGGCCATGTTCACTGGGGCTGATGGGAGTTGGAGTCCTTCAACATCTGGAAGGCCACAGATTCCCCACTGCAGGCCTACTTCTTTCTGAGTTGGTAAAAATGTTTTCTTGGGGGGGGGGTGTACCACTTCTGACTACCACTGAGGGCTCACATGCTTGATCCTCCTTGCAAAAAAACCTTCCTGTTGACCATGGTCACATCCACACTATCCATTTAAAGCACATTTAAACTACTTCAGCAGTCACGGCTTCCCGTAAAGCAGAAGTGGGGAATCTTTGGCCCTCCAGATGTTGCTGGACTACCACTCCCATGAGCCTCAGCAAGTATAGATAGTGGTCAGGGATGACAGGAGTTATAGTTCAGTTGCATCTGGAGAGCCAAGGCACCTGCCCTAAAGGGGACTGTAGTTTACCCCTGAGAGAGCTACAATTCCCAGTACCCTTAGCAAACTGCAGTTCCCAGGATTCCTTGGGAGAAGACATGGGCTTCAATTGGGCAGTGGCAATGTGATCCTGGAATAAACAGAAATTCAGCAGCAGAGGGGGTGGCACTTGTAAAGTCTGGCAACTGGGGAGTGGCGTCTAACACCTTTGCTGCTCCCTCTCTCCACTTTCCACAGAGCCAGAAGTTGTGAGAGGCAGGAGCTGTGGCCCTCGAGGGACTTACTTCTTCTGCAGCCATGGCCAGGCCAGGAAACTTAGCTGCAGAGTGACAGGCAAATGCATCCGAACTCAGAGCATTGGGAAACTGCATCAGTCGTGGCATGTCAAATGGCTCACTGCTCCTGCGCCACCTCCTGCCTGTGGGGGCATTGACATGCACTAGGTCTGGAATGGGGCAGGACGGGACGGTGGTGTTATACAAAAATTGGGGGTTGGCTTTTACAGCCCAGCTCCCCCAAGGGACACATTATCCCCTAAGTCCATTATTGATAAGAGAAGAATGGGTGGAGGCAGGAATCAGCAGAAGAAAAGCAAAGAAGATCCTTATTTCCCATTGCAACAGAGTTCCCGCCCCCCAGTAGTTGTGAGGGCATGTGAGCATCAGATCCACGGCAGTGGATGCAGGTACACACACTGCAGTATCTGCCCCCCCCCCTGCTGGGAAGGGCTGTGGCTCAGGGGCAGAACATCATCTTTCATGCAGAAAGTCGCAGGTTCAATCCCTGGCATCTCCAGGCTGGGGTGGGACAGAAACCCTGGAGAGCCGCTGCCAGTCAGAGTAGGCAGTACAGTGGTACCTCGGGTTAAGTACTTAATTCGTTCCGGAGCTCCGTACTTAACCTGAAACTGTTCTTAACCTGAAGCACCACTTTAGCTAATAGGGCCTCCCGCTGCCGCCGTGCTGCCGGAGCACAATTTCTGTTCTCATCCTGAAGCAAAGTTCTTAACCTGAAGCACTATTTCTGGGTTAGCGGAGTCTGTAACCTGAAGCGTATGTAACCTGAAGCATATGTAACCCAAGGTACCACTGTACTTAGCCAGATGGACCAATGGTCTGACTCAAGCTGTGTCTGCATGGCATTTTATTCTAGAATCAATGGGGACTGAATGCTTTCTTATCTACTGTTGTAAACAAAATATGCCCTGATTCCCTTATGGGGACACAATAGCCCTTATAGAGTCCTTTGTAGGACTCTACAATAACAGAGAAAATAACAGAGGCCAACCAGAGAATATTGAGAAGCAAAGCAGCTAGTAAGCCTGATCTTTATTAAATCTGTTTCAACTGGGTGCTCCCCTCACCCGCAGGAAAGGAGGATGACCCCGAACAAAGGTGTGCCTGCCCTTATATAGACTTTTTAAATTGCCCACCCTCAAACTCCAGACCACTCCCAGAAACATCATACATACATCACAGAAGGGCTGTAGCCTAGGACCACCACCCCAATACATCATACATACATCACAGGGGGTGGACTACAACAGAATCCTGAGTGTGTTGTTTATCTCCTGTCTGGCAAGTTACCTGATTGCATTATCTGGGTTTTGGCCACTATTTTTCTTTTTTCTTTTTAATTTTTCATCATTTTAATAAATAACATTATGTTGCACAGTGGAATGAATGAGCATGTAAGTTAAGTGAGTTAGTTCTTGCGGACACAAGAGTCCTGAAAGCACTGCAGTTCTGGTAAGCATGCTGGGAGAAGGGTGTCTTCAGCTCTTCACAGGAGTAGGAGTTGGTTTCATGGCTTTTTAAAGATGGTGATAGTTTGGCAGGATTTCCATTAGGAAGTCCAGCTGCAATGTTTGTGGCTGAGGCCGCTCAGTCTGCACGCGCCGAAGACAGTCAGCTCCATAGATGACCATGTTTTCAGGGATGACTTTGTAGGTGTTGACATTGCAGCAGACTCCAATGATGCAGCCGCTCATCAAAATCACGTTCCTACGCACAAATGCTTTGGACTCAGTTACATTGTTCTCACCTATTTTCATTGCTTGGGAATAGCAGCCAACTTCAAAGACATTGTTGGTGCCAATGATCATTGGTTTGGCTCCAACCTCCTCTGTATCAAGAGTAATGTTTTCAGGATAGTCATTTATGATCATTGCCTGTTCTTCTATGAGGTTACCTTCCCCAATTACTATTGATCCAGTTTCTGCAATGATCCGTGCTTTGGGGTGAATCACGGTCCTAGGCCCAATTGTCACATCACCCTTGATTTCACTCTCGACACAGACAGCAGCTCCAGCAGCAATCTTTACACTCTTCTGCGCCTTCTCTGCCATCTTGTCCGCCCTCTCCTTTTGGCCACTCTTTTGTTATTATAACTACTTAATCTAGGTCACAGTTCACAGGCTCACCCGATTCACACCTTAAATGTGCCCTTAAGGCAGGATTTGTGGGCACAGAGACAATGGGGAGGGTTTTTTTAATTTCTTCCCTCCTTGCAGAGAAACATTTGGTCAGTTTGGGAGAGTCAAAATGGTTTCAGGACTGTACTGTTTCAGATATGTGGTTTATGGATTTATGTACATGTTTGCCTTGTACATTTAATTTATATATTTGAGACCTTAAATTCTTATAATACTACACGGGCAACACACAGTCAAGTCCTACTGCATATTTCCGCCTGCCCTGAAAAGCGCTTCTTGAGAAAGCAGCTTTCTTCCAAAAATAAAAGCTCATCGCAGATTGATTCTGCACTACCGCCCCCCAGCACGTTCATTTGAAAACAGATGTAGGCACCTGTGGTAACTGTGGGTGTACCTGCACTGGTCCAATGATTTTGTGGGTGTGGGTGCGCCTTGTATTAAAGTAACAGCAATTGCATCAGCTTTCCAAAGCAAATGAATCCTAACTCAGATTCTGGTTCATAGATAAAGACGTCTGTTTGCAGCTTACAGCTTCTTTCTCTTCGGTTTCCCAGGATGCCAGAGCAAGATTAGGTCTTCATGCTGTCTCTGAGTAGCTCAGTGAAATGCCATCTACCACACCCTGAGCCCCCAAAGGAAGTGGGGGGTGAGGTGTGAAAGTCAACACGCTGCAGCGCCAAGTGAAGCTGACCCCTAGTGGCCACGTTTGGAATGACGCGTGTTTATTGCAGCCGCCCAGAACCAGTCTAGAGAGGACAGAGGGACTCTCAGCGATGGGAGGAGAAGACAGTTGCAGTAACAAAAACCAGAACCTTTGGACTCAGTTAAGGAGGGCTGGCGAGATGGAAAATGAAGCCATCCACAGCCGAAGCGGATGTGAGGGGACGTTAAGCAGTGTGCGCAGCTGAAGAGAAAGAGGGTTTGCTGCTACTGTGCGCCTCCAAAGGAACTGCGTCCGAGTACAAAGCCTGGTGGGAAGTGGTCCATCTTCCAGAATGAGGGGGGAATTGCGCCTATGATGGGAAACTCACAAAATAGCTAAAATGCTGCCCTGTGGTTGTGTGTGGGAGCCAGCTTCATTTAATGTAGGGGTATACATACAAGCTTTTGAGTTACCTGTCGTTCTTTATTAGTAAGTATGGAAATGCAGTAGTGAGAGCAAGAGGCCAAGGGCCGCATTAGTTGCAACTATGGTTAGTCACTTCAGTTACATAGATAGCAAGTTTAACACACACTCTCTCACATGGTATATAATAATAATAATAATAATAATAATTTTGCTATATGTTACAACTGAGCAGCTGCCCTCAGCCCACATACTGTAGCACCAAGATATTTAATGGTGCATGTCTGGTGATGAGATTGTAATGCAGGAAGCCTCTTATGTTTTGTTTTTTGGAGTCCAAGGGAGGCTTGGGGTGGGGTCGCTGAGCCCCCGCCTGAAGGAGGCAGCTGGTGTCCCGCTTGGCAGGTCAGAAATTGTGCTGACTAGTGTGTTCATGGTCGGACTCTGGTTCACCTCCCTGGGACAAACACCTTGCAGCGGGATGATCAGGCACCTCACTTATCAATGAAACATGCATGCGTCTTGCAAAGAAAAGTGCCAGGGATGTTGATGGCTCAGTATCAATAAATAATAAGACAAATGAAATCACTTCTCCTAAATGTCAACAGACACACCCCAAGTGGGCTGCCAGAGCATTTTTCAGAGCTATGGAGGCCATTCCAGTAACAATCAGAGGCAGGGCAGAGACTTGGAGCCAGAATTCCCGGCTTTGGTATTAGGATCTGGAAAGGGAATGGGGAGGGTGTAGTTTCTGCCTGATTCAAAAGGTGGCGTGGGGTGTTTGTTTCTCTTTAAATTAACCTTATTAACCACTGAAGGGGACTGCAGATTAATCTGTAGTTCCAAGGGGAGGGAGAGCAAGCTGCTGTCACTTCTTTTACCAGACAAGGGCTCTTTGCAGCAGTTGAAAATTCAACAGGTGAAGCACTCTTCTCCATGACAGGAAATGGAAAGAAGCAGAAGTCCTAGAAAAGGAAGAATGGATACAAAAACTTATGGAAGATGCAGAAATGGCGAAAGGTGCCAGAAGAATAAGAAATCAAAATAACAAACTCTTTATAAAAGAATGGAAACAGATAAATTGTAAACACATAAAAACATAAGCAGGATTATTGTAATAACCTGCAGTTTTATAAGAGTATATATTTACAGTAGATAATTAAACGAGTAAATTAAATGAATTTGGATATGCAGAAGATATGAAAAGAATTAAGGAACTACAGAAAGGGGGAAGGAAGTCAGATTTTGAAATGTTAAACGGATTGTAAAATTAATGAAATGTATAAATTTGAAAAGTATAAATAAAAAAGGGAAAAAGGAAAAGATTTTCTGTTGTATTTTGCCTACCACCCAGATACTATAGGATCCATGATAGGAAAATATGAGTAATGACCCCAATTGTTTAGATTTTCAGTAGAGAAAGGAGCGTTTAGTTTTGAAAAGGTTTTCCTTAAAACCACACAGGGCAGCCTCGACGCAACCCTTGACCCTCCTAGGTCCAGAAGTGAGGAGATTGCCACGGGTCACTTCGTATTGGGAGAAAGAGTGTCGTGCTCACATGGGGACATTTTCTTTATTATTATTTCTCACGGAGGACTAAAAAAAGAGAAGAAAACTTGGCAGAATGCTGCAGAAATGGATGGTTGCCCAGATCTCCCCAAACGGGGGACTGAGCTAGCGCTAGAAAAGTAAAGGTGAGAAAGAAGCTCCAGCAGGCGAGGCTTTGTCTGCCTGTCCATCCTTTCCCAGTCAAGCCCCAGGGCGGGGTGTCAGCAGGCAGGATTCTGCATTTGACTCTGGCTAACTGAGATCATGGAAAATAATAACAGCAACACACCCACCCTTCCAAATGTTGCAAAACATTTGCTTAGGCAAAAGCCTCGGGGAACATTGTGAGGCTGCCTGGTGGGTATGAGAATCTATTCCCAGAGCCTGCAGATTGTGTGGCCCAAACACAGGTGCCATGGATCCCCACCCCTGACTCAGATGCAAAGCAGCATGGGAAAACATTGCTGCCTTCTGATGCCCTATCACCCCACATCCTGTCTTAGATCAGATCAGACTATTCAGGCACCTACCTCAGAATGGTCTGCACTGGCTGTGAATGTCTCTGCAGGGTTTGAGGCAAGGGACATTCCCAGCCCTGCCAGAAGACGGCAGGGACCGAACCTGAGAGCTTCTGCATGCGAAGCAGAATCTCTACCGCTGAGCTATGGCTCTTCCTCTGCTTTGAATGCCTGTGCACAGTGTCATTCGGAAAGGAAGGAAGGGAGGAAGGAAGGAAGGAAGGAAGGAAGAGGCATACTCCTGCATGCGTGCAGAGTGCCTTTCTCAAAAACTTGGAATACACTGGGTTTTCAGTCATAACATTTGGCATTGAGATAGTTCATTCCAAAAGTGCTGAAGACTCAGCAGAACATGATTCCAGCAGAATAGCCTCACCAGAACAGTCCTGTAGGGCAGAGCATTATTATCCCCATATTTCAGGTACAAGGTCAGGAGAACAGGGGTTAGTTGCCTCCGGGCTCCCTCACACTTCCTTTTGTGCTGTCTTTCTAGACACGGTTCTGGGTTTAAAAGCTCCATTCTATGATTCTGTGCCCAAGTGGTGTGTGTTTTTTGTCCTGACACTTTCCCTGGGAAAACCTGCATTTTACTGCTCAGTTGTAGCCGTTTGTCTCATGCAGTGGTAAAATGTGGGTGTTCCTGGGGAAACAAAAGCAAAACCAGTCAGACAGAGAGCTTTAAAACGCAGACCTGTGCCTGGAAAGCATAGTTAAAAGGATGTGGGAAGGAGCCTTTCATCTACCTAATGCTACCTAGTGGCTCACTGGATGTTGCTGACTCCAGCTCCCATCATCCCTGATCATTGGCCATGCTAGTTGGGGCTAATGGGAGCTGGAGTCCAACGACACCTTGGGAGTCACAGGTTCCTCACTCACTGACCAGTGGCGTGCGGTCAGTGGACTAGGGGGACTAGGCTACTCCTCTAAATGTTCCTGGTAAATTAGAATATTAAAGTATTAAAGCCTGACACCTCCTTCACAAAGCCCAGGAAGCTTCTGCCCAGCTTAGGGAGGGAGGTGCAGTGGTCATGTGCACGACATCTCCCCCATTGCCCCTACAAGCCTCTGGCCCTAACTGTTCCTCTGTGAAAAATGTCACTGCATGCCACTGCCACTGAGCTAGGGAGGTCATAGGTATAAACACTGTCTAAAAACAGGAGCTGGGGATGTTCAGTGCACTAGACAAGGGGCTGCACATCCTCTGCCTCTCCTCTGTAATTCAAGCAGTACCCTTCATCGCTGACATCACCTTACTTAAACAGGGCACCTGCACCTCTTCAGGACTATACAGAACTTGCACCCTGCCAACCCAGCTGCCTAGATGTAGAATTTAGAAGCAGGAGATGTCTCATTAGTTACTGGTTTAACCAACTCCAATTCTGCCTAGATAAGAGGTAAATTCCTGAATCCGAAGGTAAACAAGGGCTTTCCAATCTGACCAAACTTCCTTCCTTATGCTGAATACAGTAAAACTTAATTGGAACAAAGGGACTCAGTCCTGGAGTATGCAAAACTGAGTGCCCCAAAGCATGTCCAGAGTACCATTGTCAGTTCCCTCATAACAAGGCTATAGATGTAATGATGTGTGTGATGAAGCATAAGAAAAAGCCTCACTTCTTTTTTAAAGTTTTAAACCAAGGAGACCTCTTAGGAAGCTAGTGTATTGCTTTTATTTTATTGTTCTTTTTTATAAATAAATAATATTCCCAAATCTCAATTTTAAACAGATCACAATCTGACAGCACTATATGTCTTTTTTTAAATTATTATTTATAAATAATTTTTATTTAAGTTTTGAACAACAAAGAAAGGAAAGAAAAACATACACAATACATATCTCAAAAAAAAAAAGATAACAAGAACACACAAAAAAAAACACAATTCAACAATAAAAAACAAAAAACATAACAATTAAAAACAATATCTCTTTTCCATTTCCGTTTTTTAGTTTACTTATTTTCTGGACTTCCTCATACCTCCTCTTTTGTATTCCAATCCAAATTGTTTGTCCAGCAATTTCTTTTCAACTTTTTAAATCCCAATCTTTAACTTTAATATAATATTGTAATATATAACTTCAACTTCTTTAAACCTGATCTTTAGTCTTAGTATAATATAACATTAAAATTTCCCTCTTAATTGTCAAATTTCCATTTCTTTAAACATCTTTAATCCTAATCTTAATCTTAGTCTATCATTAACTTTAACCTGTACAGCTGGAAACCGCTTATTTTCAGTCCAACATCACTCTAACATTCTTTAATTTTGCAATGTTTCTGAAGATAGTCTTTGAATTTCTTCCAATCTTCCTCCACCGACTCTTCTCCCTGGTCACGGATTCTACCAGTCATTTCCGCCAGTTCCATATAGTCCATAAGTTTCATCTGCCATTCCTCCAGCGTGGGAAGTTCTTGTGTCTTCCAATACTTTGCGATGAGTATTCTTGCTGCTGTTGTTGCATACATAAAGAAAGTTCTATCCTTTTTAACACCATTTGGCCGACTATGCCCAGGAGAAAGGCCTCTGGTTTCTTAGGGAAGGTATACTTAAATACCTTTTTAATTCATTATATATCATTTCCCAGAAAGCCTTAATCTTTGGGCACGTCCACCAAAGGTGAAAAATGTACCTTCAGTTTCTTTACATTTCCAACATTTGTTATCGGGCAAGTGATAAATTTTTGCAAGCTTGACTGGGGTTATGTACCACCTGTATATCATTTTCATAATATTCTCTCTTAAGGCATTACATGCCGTAAATTTCATACCTGTGGTCCACAACTGTTCCCAGTCAGCAAACATAATGTTATGTCCAATGTCCTGTGCCCATTTAATCATAGCCGATTTTACCGTTTCATCCTGGGTATTCCATTTCAGCAGCAAGTTATACATTCTTGACAAATTCTTAGTTTTGGGTTCTAACAGTTCTGTTTCTAATTTAGATCTTTCCACCTGGAAGCCAATTTTCTTGTCCAATTTAAATGCCTCCATTATCTGATAATAATGAAGCCAGTCTCGCACTTTGTTTTTTAATTTTTCAAAACTCTGCAATTTCAGTCTATCTCCGTCTTGTTCCAAAATTTCCCAATATTTCGCCATTTGACCTCCATATTGGCCTTTCTCAAGGCTTTCGCTTCCATTGGTGACAGCCACCTTGGGGTTTTGTTTTCTAGCAAATCCTTATATCTTATCCAAACATTAAATAGCGCTTTCCTGACAATGTGGTTTCTAAATGCTTTATGTGCTTTGACCTTATCATACCACAAATATGCATGCCATCCAAAAACATTATTAAAACCTTCCAAGTCCAAAATGTCAGTGTTTTCAAGAGGTAGCCATTCTTTCAACCAGCAAAAAGCTGCTGATTCATAGTAAAGTTTAAGGTCTGGCAGGGCAAATCCACCTCTTTCCTTTGCATCCGTTAGTATTTTAAATTTTATTCTGGGCTTCTTGCCCTGCCAGACAAATTTAGAAATATCTTTCTGCCACCTCTTGAAACAATCCATTTTGTCCACAATCTGCAAAGTTTGGAACAAAAACAACATTCTCTGACAGCACTATATGTCTACTCAGAACCTCACTCAAGAGAGATCATACCCAGAAAAAGTGTGCATAGGATTTTAACCTGGGAGCTGTTAACCATCTCTGCCTCTCAGATGTGGTTGGGACTCCCATTCCCACGAGCCCCACTTGTTGTTGTTGTTTAGTCGTTTAGTCGTGTCCGACTCTTCGTGACCCCCTGGACCAGAGCACGCCAGGCACTCCTGTCTTCCACTGCCTCCCGCAGTTTGGTCAAACTCATGCTGGTAGCTTCCAGAACACTGTCTAACCATCTCATCCTCACGAGCCCCACTAGGCATGGCCAAAGGTCAGAGATGATGGGAACTGTAGTCCAATGACATCTGAAGGGCTATGCAGGTTTCGTATCCTTGCACTGATTAAAGGAGAGGGGACCCAGCTCAGTGAGCCATGGCTTCTCCAAAGAGAAGGATCTGGATGCCTTGGGCTGGGTGCACACTGTACTTTTAAAGCACACATTTTCACTCAGAGAATCCTGGGCACTGTAGTTTGTGAAGGTCTGGTGGGGATTGTAACTCTGCAAGGGATAATCTCAGGGCTTTATATCAGCTGGAACTCACCGGACTCAGTTCTGGCCCCTCTCAGGTGGGCGCCATTGTTGTTATAAGAGAACAAGGGAGGCATTCGTGGTAATAAACTACAGTGGTACCTCGGGTTACCTACGCTTCAGGTTACATACGCTTCAGGTTACAGACTCCACTAACCCAGAAATATTACCTTGGGTTAAGAACTTTGCTTCAGGATGAGAACAGATATTGGGCTCCGGCGGTGCGGCAGCAGCAGGAGGGCCAATTAGCTAAAGTGAAGCTTCAGGTTAAGAACAGTTTCAGGTTAAGAATGGACCTCCGGAACGAATTAAGTACTTAACCCGAGGGACCACTGTACTGGATAAACTACAGTGCCCAGAATTCTTGGGGGGGGGGGCTTCACATGCTCTTTCAAGCTGAGCACAGTGTAAATACAGCCTCGCCCCTGGAATCCAACAACACCTGAAGGGTAACAGGAAGTGAGATGACCTGTGAACAGAGCCACTGGGGGCTGACTGATCATTCAAATGCGTTTAAGTCAGCGAATGTATCATTGGGAGGGGAAACTTGGTGCGCAGGGAGTGGGCAGGGTTGTCCAAATCTGGTTATTAGACACATGCGTGTCTAATACAGTGATCAGATTGTCTAGAACGCCATCGTCATGCAAATGGCACTCTCCTCTATGCGAGCTCCTAGTTATCCGAACACTTTAGGATTTGAGGGCATCCCTCTGCTCCATCAACATCCCCCCCCCAAAAAAAACCCTGTCCAATTCAAACACAGCCCTCTAGAATTTTATTTGAGGGGCGGGGAGTTAAAACCTGACTCGGTTTATTAAATTTCGTTTCACTCGGTTGACTCTTAACTGCGTTTTCATGGTAACGCAGGGCAACCAATCACAACCAAACCCTTTCGACCCAAAAAAATTGGCACAGAGTGCTCGATTTCCTTCAAGCAAGGAAAACCCCAATGTGACATCATCAATTCTTGCAAAACCGGAGAACTTTACCACCGCTTGCAAAACGGAGCACTTAATTTTTTTTGGGGGGGGGGAGAACTCGCTTTGTGTGTGCGCGCGTGTGGCTGTTGTTGTGTGTGTTTTTAGGTGTGTGTGGGAGTTTAAAGCCAAATCTAGAACTCAAAACTTTTTCCAAATATTCATCAGAGCTGTTCCTGGCTCCCCTCCAAAATTCGCAGCGCTGGCAGTTTAATGAGATCCATCCTGCCCACCCCCTGTCCCGTCGAGGTGGGGGCGGGCGGGCGGGAGGGAGGGAGACTCCTCCTTTTTGTGAGTCATTCTCGGGCAAGGGAGGGAGGGGAGGCGGCGAGCCTCCGGAGCACTCACGCTCCGGGCGGGTTGGAGAAAGAAGACTTGGGCGAGCGACCATCCGGAGCGCCGGCTGGGATTTTGCTCCGGCCTCTCAGCCCATCCACCGAGACCCCCTTCTCTCCACCCGGCACCCCCAGGCCCAGCTATGTTGCCCCGGGCCCTGCTCTTCCTCTTCGGCGTGCCCTGCGCTTGGGGCTTCAACCTGGACGCCGAGGCGCCGGCGCTTTTCCGCGGCCCCCCCGGCAGCTCCTTTGGCTTCTCGGTGGACTTTTACCTCCCGGACGCGCAGAGGTAAGGCGAGGCGAGGGCCGGGGGACACACTTGGTGTGTGCATATTTTTTGCGGAGGGGCACAGTGGGACAACTTCCACTCTCTTCACATACACCCCCGCATTAATCCGGGGACTCGGATTGTCTGTGAAAATGGGAGTGGAGGTGGGGATACTTGATCGAGGGACGTGCGCGCACACCATCCAAGGTGCAGGAGATTTAGCAACGCTTGGATAACAAGTTAGAAGGGGAAACGAAATGGAATTGGCTCCGATTGAATTGGCTTCGGAAAGTGTATTCTCTCTCTCTCCACTCCCCCCCCCCCGCCCCGCACGACTTCACAAATCACGCCCCCCCCTCCCTCGGCTGGCCCGCCGCCCGTTCCCTCTTCCCAGCCCCACTAAGTGGTTGCAGACCCACCGTGCCCCGCCTGGTGCGTTTCCTCCCAGCCCGCTCCCGTTACTCGGGATCTCCGCCCCGCGCACTCCCCTTGGGCGACGGCGCCGCTGCTGCTGTTCCGCGGGAGAGACGCGCGCTGGCCCAGCCCGCCGTAGGCGAGACGGGAGGATTTTCCGTGCGCGCCCCCCTCGCCTCGCCGCTCTCCGTGCGCCCCCAACAGGCTCCCAACGAAGCATTTCCTGTAATCGGAGCTCCGTCCCGCCGCTCTTGTTCCAGAGATTGGGGGGGGGGAGCACAGAAGAAGGGGGTCGGCTTGGGGTTGAATGAGTTGGAGTTGGGGGTGGAGAGAGAGAGAGAGAGAGAGAGACGCACAGTCGGTACCAAACCTTTTGTCGGGACCAGGACTAGGGAAGTGGGTCTCTAGCCTGGGACAAAGCGGAGAAGGAGGGTGGGAGTCTGATTGTTTCTCTTCTCTCTCTCTCTCTCTCTCTCTCTCACACACACACACACACACACACACACAAAGGTGTGCTTAGTGAAGTAGCAAAGTTACTGTACTTACTTCCCTTGCTCCACTCAGTCTTTTCATATGGTGTTTTGGGGGAATGGGCAGGTGGGTGGGGAGGAATTTGGCAAGGCAAAATGCTGAAGATCCTGCTCTGGATCTCCTCTCCCACATTTGAGAGAGGGGCCTTATTTGCATCTGCTTTGGACGCAGCAGGTCCCAGGTGTTCATTCTTTAGCATCCTCAGTCGGGCTGGGAAAGACTGCTTCTCTGAAACCCCCAGGGGAGCTGCTGCCAGTCAGGGTAGACAGTACTGAGCTGGATGGGCCAGTGGTCTGACTTAGTATGAAGCAGCTTATGTGGTGGAGGATGAGCAGAGCATCCAGCTAATCCTCCCTGGACTTTACGGCCAGACTTGCCCGTGCTGATGGCGTCTAGCAGAAGAAAGCATGCTCAGATCTCCTTCCTCTCTGGCCAGGATGTTCAAGGCATTGAGAGGGTCGGGTGTGGAGGACGCATCCGCATCCTGGTATGGTAATCGGAAAAGAAAGGATGCTGCTTGAGACAGTGGGAATATTGTGCCTGAATATCTCTCCGTCTGTGACAAGGAGGGGCAAGCTGAGTAGGGCAGCTCCTCCTGCTTGTGCACACACCAGAAGTCTGAAAGGCTTGCGCAAGTCAGAGGTGGGGTGGGTCATGTGGCACAAAGGGGAGTACAGGTGGGGGCACATGTGCACGTAAGAGACTTCTTCGACCTCCCAACTGAGCTGCTGCTGCTGGGCAAGTGGGTGGGATGTTCCAGTGATGCCATTAGACAGAGGTGTCAAGCCCCCCCCCAAAAAAAATTCAATGAAAGGGCCAGCCCACCCCCCGTTGGTGGGCATTGCCATTCCAATGTTGTGTGTGTGCCATGACATGTGATTGATTATATGGGACCAGGGCCGGCTTACCCATAGGCGCTAGGGGTGCAGGGCTTTTAGGGGTGCCAGGCCCAGAGTCTGGGTCCGATATTTGGAGTCCAGGGATTGAAGAGCCAGGCCAGCCGCTGCTGAGCAGAGCAGAGCCCGTCGAAGCGCGGCAGGCTTTTCTGCTGCGGGTGCTGCCCTCCTGCGCACGTGGGATTGGCGGGTCATTGAGAGGCCTGCCCAGCGCATGCACGCTGCTCACACAAGGCCCGCAGCTTCCCTCCCAAGCCTCCATGGGAAATGCTCTCCTTGGGGATGCTGGGCAGTTTTTTGCACCCGGCGCCGCATACACTAAAGACGGCCCTGTGTGGGACAGGGCTTACCTGCCCCTCCAATATTTTATTCAAGTTGGCACCCCTGCCATTAGATCAGGACGTGATAATTGAAATGTTTAATTAAGGGCTTCCCCATTGCAACTAATAAATCTGTGGTCTAAAATTACTGTATTTTTCCATGTATAACTCGACCCCATGTATAAGACGACCCCTATTTCTGGGAGCCCTCAACAGTTGTTGAGCTTCTTTTGTAAGTCTGCTGAGCTGTTGAGCAGCTTTTCAATGAGCCCCCAGTAATAGTGGCACTCACCAAATTCTCTTTCTAAGCGGGGAAGAGCAGCTAAGCAGCCTCCTCTCTGACATTTCCCTGCTACTGCCGCAGCACCAACCCTTGCTTACTTAGCATATTAACCCGTGTATAAGAGGACCCTCAATCTATCACAAAAAAATTCAGAAAAAAGGTTGTCTTATACATGGAAAAATATGGTACCTAACTTCACTTAGGTGTTCAACTAGTGCCACCAACAGTACACATTCAAATATATCATTTCTTAAATTTTATATACTGTCCTTCCACCCAAAGGAGCCCACTAGCTATGTAGTGGGTTTAGTCCCAAATATCTCCTTTTGGCCCAGCTTTCCAGAAGGACCTTTACATTCTGGTGCAACACAGTGTGCAGTGGCTTGGAATAAGTTCCATTTAATTCACTGGGACATCCTCCCAAGTAAACATGCATGCGATCAGCTTGAAAATCTCTGAACCCCATGTGTAGGTCTGCACTCTCTTCTAATTGACACACAGGGAATATATGCTGTATACCCTGAGATGAGAGCTGCCACTCGCTCACAAATGTGCAACAGAGGAGAGTTGGGAAGGAAAAACTCCACCCTTCCAAGTTTCTTTCAACATCCCCTGATTGTGTAGATGAAAGAATGGTTTCTGAGTATTAAAAGAAAGAAAGAAAGAAAGCGGTAACTAATCTGCCATGAGCGGTACTTGGGACACGCCCTTATAATGTGGCAAATGGTCTGATGCTTCAGAGGAGCCAGCGTAGTTCAGTGATGAGAGTGTTGGCTTTAAGAGAGCTAAGAAACCCCGGCTCAAAGTCCCCACCCTATAAAGCTTGCAAGCCCAGGTTCCACCTAATGTAGTGAGCCAGAAGGTCACTGGAGGAAAGGAGGCCCTTGCACAATTCTGTGTAGTTTGTGCTGGAAATTGTATAAAGAATGGCCTCCCTCTGAGGTGAGGGATAGGGAACCTGTAGCCCTCCAGATGTTGAGCTTCAGCTCCCATCAGCCCTAGCCAACACGGCCAGTGGTTAGAGAGGTGGTGGTAGGTATAGTCGAGCAACATCTGGAAGGGTCATTCCTGTTCCAGGTGCACCAGTCACTGCTTTTGGCCTGGCTGAGATTGCCTTGGTGAACCATCCCACATCTTTTGCTGAGTGCTGCAATCTTTGCTATGTATTTATTCTGCTTTTCCAAGAAATTTGGGGCACCATGCATGGTCCCATCCCCGAAGATTATCCTCACAGCAATGCTTTGAGGCAGGTTTGCCTAAGAGAAGGGGACCACACCCAAGACAACCAAGGGAGCATTTGTAAAAATTAAGCCCACGTTTTCCCCAGTGTAAGACCATCACTCTACCCACTACATTACATCGCACACGGTGGTGGGGGTGGGCCTCTCACTTACTGGCATCTGGTTCCATGCCGCCAGGGCTGGCTGCAGGTGTGAAAGGGCTCTGAGAATGCAAGCAATGCTGAGCAGCCTGGATGCGGACGCTCTTTTCATTTCCCACAATGCTCCGCAGCCAACACTATCCTCCAGATGTCGGACTCTGCGGCTCCTCTTACTGCTGATGATTGGCCACTCTGGTTGCTGTTGATGGAAGGAGGAGTCCAGCAACATCTGGAAGGTAGCAACTTGGTTACCCAGAGTGATGCTAGGTTGGGGACTTTGCAGGAAATTGGCCTGGTGACTAGATCCAGCTGCTGGGTGTGCTGGTACAGAAAAATAGCAAGTAAGGGAGGCATCACTTTGGGCCCTGCCAAGGTTTTTTGGGCCCTGGCAGCTGCCCCAGCATGCCAGGTGCTGACACCAATCCCATCATTCCCTCAGGACTTTCCTATCTGCATTCTCTTTGTCAACGAGTTGTTGTTTTTTGCGGGGAGGAAGGGGAAATTAGCTCCTCCCAGATTGGTGAAACTGCCCATGCCCTCCCATTTCCCCCATTTAATCCATACCATCCCAGTAGCACTGTCACACAAGCAGAAGCAAATGAGGCACCCGCAGCCGAGGGGCAGAAATAGAACTTAATGTGACATCATGCAGATTCCAGATAGGAATTGGTGGATGTTCCTTTTCAGGCAGTTCCCAGTAGTGCTTGCACTTGTCTGGAGAAGTTCTCATTGGGCTCTGCCCTCTGTGAGCTTGCAAGAAGCAAATGCAGCATCCTTCCCAACATTACGCTGCTCAGAAAGAACCCAGTCGTCCTGGGCATCTGGCAGGCTGCCTTGCTTGGTGTCGAGCCCTGGCTCTGAGCCAGACACTGAAACCGCCAGGCCCTCTCCTCTCCCCAAGAGACCGAGATAGTTCCCAGGAGTCCTGGCCCTTCGTGCCTCAGCAGGGATGGGCTGGCATGTGCAGCAACTTGATTCTTCGGGCTCCCACTTTCTAGGAAGGCTGCCTGAATGCCAAAGCACGGTGCTGGGTGTGATGTGTTTTCTCCGCCACTGCCACTGTGGCCTGGTGCAGGCTTCTCCACAGGAAACAAGATTGTCTTTGGAGTACTAGCAGGGTGTTTTGAGATCCAAAGCAGACTTTGGAGTGAGGATCTTTCAGCTGTGCTTAGCAAGCACAGTGGTTGGCTCAAATGCGATAACTTTCCTATGTACGGGATGCATTTGCATTCAGGAAATAAGATGCAGCCCTGCTTGTGGATCTCTATGTCTGATGTTTGCACATAGGCTGCAATGTGCATGCAGACTGGAAAGCCACAGGCTGCTTACAGGGGTGGGTGGGACAGCCTTCAGTAGCACATTGCACATATACCAGCCATAATGTGTGCGCTGGTTGCATGTTATTTACCCCACACGTGGGGTTCTCTTTTTTGTCACATTTGTAGTGACTCTTGATAATGAGTGGATATGACAGTTCTGTGGTCCAGTTTGCTTTATCTTTCATCAGGATGCTTGTTTGGTTCTCTTCATGCCAGTAGTCAAGAAGAGACTGCAATGAGTTCTCTCACTCACACCTCCTTGTAGGATGCTGGTGTTACCAAGATACCAAGCGGCTTCTCTATGAAGGAATAGAGTAGGGATACGGAACATGTGATTCTCCAGAAGTTGTTAGACTTCATCTCCCACTACCCCTGGTGACTGGCCATGCTGGATGGGGCTAATGGGAATTAGATTACAAAAATATCCAAAGAGCCGTAAGTTTCGCATCCTGAGATATATTTGTATGGTGATAGTGGTGCTGTTGTGACCCACCTTAGATCAGGCCAGGACTGCATCTGAACAGCCACAAGTTCCCCAGCTCTGGAATAGAATAGGGATCTGAGTTAATAATATCTGTCTGTCAGGTGTGGAATGGGGACAGTCAGACAGTAGCTTAGGATCAGGCCTGTGAAGATAATAATAATAATAATAATAATAATAATAATAATAATAATTTATTATTTATACCCCACCCATCTGGCTGAGTTTCCCCAGCCACTCTGGGCGGCTCCCAATCAAGTGTTAAAAACAGTACAGCGTTACATATTAAAAACTTCCCTGAACAGGGCTGAATGTCAGGTAGTTGTTTATCTCATTGACATCTGGTGGGAGGGCGTTCCACAGAGCGGGCGCCACTACTGAGAAGGCCCTCTGTCTGGTTCCCTGTAGCCTCACTTCTCGCAATGAGGGAACCGCCAGAAGGCCCTCGGCACTGGATCTCAGTGTCCGGGCTGAACGATGGGGGTGGAGACGCTCCTTCAGGTATACAGGACCGTTTAGGGCTTTAAAGGTCAGCACCAACACTTAAAATGAGGCTGTGGCAGAGAGAGCATGGATGCTGTTTTGAGGCCCCTGGAGTTGTTGGCATCCATCTGTCTTGAGAGACAATGGAGGGAGGGAGCTTCCAGGGATGAAATTAAACTGCTGTGTTAGCAGCACTGAAGTGCCCCCCCCCAGGGTGCCAGCCTGGACAGTGTGTGTGGAGGTCCTGGCCTGCCCAGATGATGTTCCCCGTTTCGGCCTTGCTGATGTGGTTCAAAGGAAAGCAGTACAACTGGCACCAGCTGGGCTGCAGGAGTTGCTGGAAGGAGGTGTGCAAGGCACCATCCAATCGCCTTAGGGATTCCAATCTGGAAAACCTAGCCTTTTATTCTGAAGATATCCCACAAGGCAGCAGAGGTTTAGGATCAGCATTTCTTTCTGCTTGGTGGGCCAGGTTCCCAGGCTGACAAGCCCCACCTGCCCCTCACTTCCCTCTACAGCACATGTAGAACTACCTTCTTGACTGTTGGACCCACTATTGGTCCGCTCAATCCACCAGAGTCTGTCTTTGCATGCAGGGCAAGTTCCTAACTCACTGAGGGCTTGAGACCCATCAGCTACCTTCACCTGGTTTAGCCGGCCAGTCAAAGCCATTCCTGGGGTGTGGCTGCTGTCGCAAGCTGGCAGCTTCTAGGAGCCACAGGAGAGCTGAGTGCAGGGTGGGGACCAAAGGTGGGCAGACCACCCCAGAAGGAGTACAATGTGTCCCCCACCAGAAACGCTACCCTAACACCCTATACACCCCTGTCCCCGGGAAAACCTGGTGCCCTCCAGACTATTGTTGGACTACAACTCCCATGATCCCCTGCCATTGGCCATGTTGGCTTGGGCTGATGGGAATTGACTCCAGCGGGTTCTGTGCCTCTGAGCAAGCACTTGGTCTTGCACTGACACAACACGTTTGAGCTTCCAGACAAGACAGCCTTTGCTCCTTGACTGCTTCCAGGGCTCTTAGGCAAGGACCTGCAAATTCAGCTGCAATGCCTAACGGCCCTCTCCTTTCTGCTGATCTTTCCCTTCCCCTCTTCTCTGTTTCCATACTGCATTTGAGGTGCCCGAAGCTGCAGAAAATCAAGGCTGAGACAAAGAAGTGTCTGCCTAAGCAGCTGGAGCAGGTGTGCAGTGACCACAAACCCACCATGGTTGGCTCCCTAGAAACAATCCAGCCAGCAAGATGGTCCTAACTGCTGCATATTGCAGAGCTCAGTGGGGTCTCCTGGTCAGGCAGCCCATTTCATAGCATTTTATAATTCTGAGCACAAGACACAAGGTTTGAACAGATCAACATTGGGCCATGAAGATGATTTCTCTGCTAAGTCATTGCTAAGAAGTGGCAACCTTTCCAGGTACTGCACAAGTTCACAATGGCTGGCTTGGCATCTGAGTAGCAGTCACTAATTAATTACGTAAAGTGAAAGAGACAAAGAACATTCCATGCATGTCTTTGTCCAGGCTGTTGCTTGAAATTCTTGGCAAAAGATTTTGGTCTAGGATCTAGATTTGGACAGGAGACAGGAGGGACGTGCATTGAACCCTAAAGAGTTGGCAGTTGGCCCACAAAGATCCCTCAGAGATGTTTAATATCTCTGGTTCAGGGTATTAGTAAAGATGTAGTTATGCTCATTCCGTCTGGGTCAAGGGCAGTTCAGAATTAGCAGAGGATTGTCCCCTCAAAAGGCCCCTCTAAATGTTATTTTCCTCATGGTGATTATCGGGGAAGTTTTAGGCAATTCCTCCTTCAATACTGTTTCAAGGTGGAGAAACTGCTTCATTTTCAATCGGTGCATGATCCTGTAAGTTTCTGCTGGACTAATGTAAATGTACTAGAAATTTTGCTGGTGGTGATGTTCTGTGTTTGTTACTTTAGTGCAGGAGTACTTTTCCTGACAGCCATAATGTGTATTGTTGCACCAAAAGATGTTGCAGAATATGCCTCAAAAAGCCCACCTACAGCAGCCTGCAGAGGCTCAACATCACTCTTCTCAAGCTCCTGCTCTACATGTATGTCGTGGTCTAAGCTGTGTACAGTTGTAGGGAAACAAATTCAGCCTCTTACATGTAGGCTTTCCTAACAGCTTAGAGGCAAGCCCTAAAAAGTAATTTGTTTGCTCCCCCCAACCCCTGCTTCTTTCAAAATATTTGTTTTTAAGTTTGTGTGTTCTAAATGGATGAGTCATTTGTAATGTCCTGATGTTGTGTGTTATGGTGATATAACATCATTCCATGCTTTGAGTGGTGTCTCATTGGCTGTCCTGAATGACATGGCTTGATTTCCTTGAAATTCAGTAATGTCAGGCATGGTTACATAATGGCAACCCATTTTCTCAATGGTACTGGATCTTCTGTGTAGACACACATGATGCTCTTCACAGAGGTTGTCCCCATGCTACAGAAGTCCTCTATAGAAGAAAGAGCACCAAGCCCATGATTCTCCCCCAGCTCAGTGAAAAAGGTACTTTTCCAGTAAAAGGTCCAAATGTTTATTATGCTCCCCCCACCCCCACCCCCGCAAACACTGGTGGATCTTTGTTCACAACCATTGTAACATAGGATGGTTGAATCGAGAGACTTGGGGCAAGATGTGATAAGCCCTCCAAGACTCTGGAGACAATTGGGAATAGGTTCTTATCAACTACAGACAACAAACATAAATACATATCAAAAGCTGCTTTATACAGAGTCTAGCTCAGTGTTATTTACTCTTGACTGGCAGCATCTCTCCCAATATCTCCAGCAGAGGTGTTTGCTCAGCCCTGCTCCCTGAGGTCGCTTAAACTGCAGGGGTCTGGATCTGGGACTTGTACATGGTAAGCATATATTCTTCCACTGAGCCATAGCTTTAAAAAAAGAGAAAAAAATGCAAAACTCTTTGCAGCTCTTGCAAATGTGACCTTTTTATGGATTGCCAAAACAAAGTTCCTTGCCGAGATTCCAGGGCGGAAAGTGACAGCATTAGCTTTTTTATTGCAGGAAGGGTTGGTTGGTGCAAGGGGTGGGTTCTGTACACAGCAGTCACTTCCTGGCAGGCTAAGGAAGCCTGGTGCTTCAGTGCCAACTGTCCCTGTTTTATGGTTCCTGTCCCTGCTAAATCACTGTCCTCCTTTTGTCTCTCAGAAAAACACTGAGTATACATTGCAATACATACACAATAGATCCTTCCCCCGCCCAGGGGAAGTTAAGTCTCTGCTTTTGGGAGGAGGATGTGTGCATGTTGAAGTTGGTGCGCGTGCATGTCAATGTATGTGCATGGACACACAAATCTAGTTTATTGCTTCCTTTCCTTCCTTCTCCTCTTCTGTGCCTATCCAGATAGTAAATGTGTCTGAATGTGGCAGCTATTCCAATAATAAGTACAACCAGATCCACTGAAAGACGTTGTATTAAGTTTTTATTTAAGCTGGGGGTGGGGGAACTATGGCAATTTTACAAAGAAACGGCTTCCAAAACCAGAGCAAGGCAGCTGCTGCTGAGTATACAAATACACTGTATAGCTTCAGGCTCCACTGGGTCTGGTAGTTCAATGGGTAGGGTAGGGGCATGTTGCTGTTAAAACCACAAGGCTGTGGGTTCTAGGCCCATGGGGTAGAGGGACGGCTGTAGCTCAGTAGTAGAGCACTTGTTTTGCCAGCAGAAGGTGCCAGGTTAGGGTGGCAAGACATAAAAGTGAACAGGGCTCCTGCATTTTTGTGGAAGGAGGAATTTCAGAGGCTTTAGTTTGCCTGGGAAGCGCCAACTTTTGAAATTCCCTCTTCTGGGCAACAGCTGAAAGTGCAGGAGCTGCTGTCTTTTGCATTTGAATATTCAGTTCTAAGTTTGATCTCTGACACCTCCAGGTAGAGCCTGAAAAGACTCCTGGTCTGAAACCCCGCAGAGCTGCTGAGAATCGATGTAGACAATTCTGAGCTATTTTATGGTGGGTGCAGCGTTAGAAACTCAGATATATAAGCTAGGCACCCAATAGCACCTTAAACCAAGGTTATGTTTACCAAAACGGAACATCTAGTTGCCATTTTGGGGCAAGATGGCTATAAAGTATTATTTTTCAAAGGGTGGAGTGATGGTGATTGATTATCAGTAAACATCTGGCTTGCCCAGATGACAACCTTGAGCTCAGTTAAGAGCTTTGAGAACTTAAAGAAGAAAAGTCACTTGATGCAGGGGCCGTCCACATATATATTGTTCTATTCCTAGTTTTTATTAAAAGTTTTTTTGTGTTACAAAACAAACAGAAAAGAGATGGTACATCAGTTGTCTCCACTTTCGATTTGTAGTTTTTCAGAGTTGGTTCACATTTAGTGAGAGACACTTTTGCCATAGACATCTTGCATTTGGGGGAAGGAGACATGGGGTATTGTTCTTTCGTTCTATTGCGTATTATTAGTGTAGGGCGGTTGTGTCAGCATCACATTGGTAGGTCCTTTGTTTATGTATTTATTTATTTGTATTGATAATGCAAGAGGTTAGGGGGTCCTGAGCTTGGCTGGCTACGTTCAGTTGATTGCAGTGTGACTTGTTTGCAGGGGGAACTTGTTGCTGACCTTTTTTTCTTAATGGTGTCTGCTCCTGCTCTGGCTGCACAGAAAAAGCATTTTGGTTCCAGAAATTCATTCCAATTGTGCAGATAAAATATAACTGACAGAAATCTACAGGATGGGGCATTAGTGTGTGAAAACAGTGCAGATCCAATGATCCCCAGATAGTGGAGATGTCAGGTGCCATCCTGGTGCCCAGGCATTTCACTTGGTCGCAAGTGGTGCAAAATGCCAGGTGCAAAATGCTTGGCTAATGTCAAACACTGGCCAGGGTTAGAAACGGGGATACAAAAGCTAGGAGCTACATGGCTCCTGGGACCTGGATTGCGGGCGCTAAAACAGAATGTTTAGTTACCGTTTATGTTTGGATTTCTTTTTTAAAGACAGATAGCAGTATTTTTATTTATTTTTTGCTGCTGGATGATTCAGGGGGTCTGTAGGGTAGCGCAGCAGCAAAAGTTTCATCTTTTACTGCTGCGCTACCCCCCAAAACAGCTGATTTGAGTGGCAGTGCGGCAGCAGCAAAAAACAAAGATTTGTCTTTTGCTGCTGCGCTATGGGTGAATCAGCTGTTTTGTGGGGTAGCGCAGTGGCAAAAGATGTGTCTTTTGCTGCTGCACTACCCTGCAGACCCCTTGAATCACCTGCCCAGGCAGGTGGAGATGCTAGGTGCCAGCCAGTCGCAAAATGCAACTACTGCTCGGCTAATTTTGAATGCTGATTATTGCCACCCAGGGGGCTACAGTGCATCAACTTAAAACCCAGACCATTTGTGATATGAAAAGTTACAGGAATTCAGCAGTAGGGTGCACAGATTGGAAATTAAATGTGTCCTGAAACCTTTGCAAGCACAGTGTTGAAAGCAGGTCCGTGTGGTCAACCCAGTATAGCACTGTGGACACAAAGCATCATGAATGTGCAATAAAAAGGGTTTCCAGAAGAGACCTTTGTCCTGCACAATTACGGTTAAGTTATTGAGTTTCAAAAGCCCTTAACAACTTGGGGCCACTTTACCTACGGGATCGCCTTGCCTTACATGGACCCATTTGACCACTTCCATTGGTGGAACTGGCACTATGACAGGTGCCACATAATCCCCGTTCCACATTTGTAAGAACTCAATTCTTTACTGTGGCAGCGCCTGCATTTTGGAGCTCCCTGCCTACTGAGACCAAGCAAGCGCCTTCAGTGTCCTCTTTTTGGCACCTGCTAAAAACATTCCTGCTTAGACAAGCCTACCCAGATGCTTAGGAAGTTGGGGCAATTTTAATTGGTGTAGTATTTTAACTTTTGTATGTTTTAAAGTGTGGCTGTACATTTTCCTTGATTTTACTATTTTACCTTTTGTAAAATGTTTTGAGGGGGTTTTCTTTGCAATCAAGCAGTGTATGAAATAAATTAATTGCAAAGCATTGTGCACAACATTGATGAGACTTGTTTCTGAGATACTATACTCCATCTTAAGGAGAGCAAGACATGGATGGGGTTGTTTGGAGTAGGCATATATAAGGCAGATTTGGGGGGCTGCCCAAGAGCAGATGGGGTGGGACTAGGGAAATCCAGTGGTACCAAAGGTGCAGTAAAGAGCGGTGGCTGAAGCAGAGAGGTCTTTTGCAGGGCAGCTTAAAGTAACAGAGAGGAGAAGTGACTGTCACATTGGTGTTGGTGGCATCCAGCCCCACTGCAGAAAGTCTGGCTAATGTGGTTGAGTGACTCCTTCCCTTTGATTCAGAGTTGGCAGGGGGTGGAGAGATGAGAGCTTTGATGGCTTTCTGTCTGCTCCTGGTTTAGTCTAGAGCCAGCTTTCCTCTTTGCTCATCAGCCAGGGGTGTGCCCCTCCCTCCCTTGCTCAGCTAGCAGGACCCCAGACGGCACCAGGCCAGAGGCAGCTTTGAGGGGCCCCCCCTCTCTCTCTCCAGCTGAGTTTGAGGAACGCAGGGTCCCTGGTTGATGTGTTGAGAGACCAGGAAGGGTAGTGACACTTACAGTAAGGTTTTGTGCAGATCACCTTTACTAAGTGTGGGTGGGTGTTATTGAAAGTTCCATGGACATTTTCGAAGAGGTACAGCAGCTTGGATGAAACAGTTCTCACTGACTGTGCTTCTTCAACACATTGCTGGAAAGGAAATAAGGAGAAGGTTTATAGTTTTAGATGTTGCCATCAAAGCAGGGACATTAATCAGTGTCCATTTCCAGGAAAGGCTGCCGTAATGGAATGACAATGGTCTAGGCTGCTTCTCCAATTCTATCACAGAAATGTAGGAAGCTTCCTTGTACTGTCCCATCTAGCTCAATACTGTTTACTCTGACTGGCAGTGGCTCTCCACACTTTCAGGTATGGGGCATTCCCAGTGCTGAACGGAGTTGCTGGGGATCCATCCTGGGACCTTCGGCATGCTAAGCAGATACTGTACTGCAAAACTATGGCCCGGTGTATCCTTGATGCTTCTTGCATGCCTGCGACGTGCTCACACTCTGGCTCCCCTCTGACAAACAGAACTGCTGCAACAGGCAGGACTTGTGCAGAGGCAGTATCTCTTCTGCCTCTCAAGAGACTCCTCAGTTGCGGCCGAAGGTCAGCCTGCATGGGAGGTCAGGAAAGAACCTCTTCCTGACCCCTGTCCATTGGCTGACCTCTCCCACTTCAGCCCCTGACCTCTGCCACCCATTCTCATCTTCTTGGTTGAAATGCAAGCCCTCTAGCTCAGCCCTGTGACAGCTTCTGTATTTTTTTCGGTGCCAAATGTCTGTGGCTGTTTGCTTCATCTATGCTCACCAGCCCCAACTAACTTCTTTGGATGACTTGGCAATGGCTGGGCTCACAATCATAACCATGCCGGTGAGATTTCAGTAGCTCTGGAATCAGACCCCTTATGTTGTCTCTTAAAAGGGTTCTCCATGGCAAAACCAGCTTGACTTGCTCAGTGTTTGGATTGGCTGCAAAGGGCTTACGTCCACGCTTGGATGCCATTGTCTCCGGGGACTATGGAACAGCAGCACCCCATATCCATTTATTTATTTATTTAGCACCACCAGCGCTTGACAAACTCAAGCAAAAAGGCAGATCTCTTCCCCTTAAGGAGCTTACATTCTGATTCATAGGATTGTCAAGTTGGAGGGGATCCCAAGGGCCAACCCCCTGCAATGCAGGAATCTCAGCTAAAGCAACCATGGCATATGGCCATCCAATCTCGGCTTAAAAACCTCCCAACGACGGGGAGTCCAACACCTTCCAATGAAGACTTTTCCATTCTTGAAAAAGTTCTTACTGTCAGACAGTTCTTTCCAATGATTAGTCGGAAGCTCCTTTCTTTCAACTTGAAGCCATTGGTGCAAGTCCCACCCTCCAGGGAAGGAGAAAACAAGCTTGCTCCATCTTCCATGGAACAGCCATTGAGATATTTGAAGATGGCAATCATATCTCCTCTCAATCTCCCCTTTTCCAGCTCCCTCACCATTCCTCACCCTTGATCATCTTGGCTGCCCTCCTGCACACAGTTCAGCTTGTCAATATCCTTCTTAAATTGCGGCACCCACAACTGGACACAGTATTCCAGATGTGGTTGACCAAAGCAGAACAGAGCAGGGCAAGGGCGAGGAAGTTGGGGCCCTCCAGACTACAGCTCCCATCACCCACGACCACTGGCCTTGCTTGCTGGGGCTGATGGGTGTTGGAAGCTGGGCAGCCCTTTCCGTTACAGTGAACAAGTTCTTCCTCGGGTGACAGATGCTGGTTTCCTCCATTCCTCTGTAACTGCCTGCACAGGCTCTGTTGAACAGTGGCAAGCAGGGCAGACCAAGATCGGGAGGAAAAGGAGGTGGTGGGCAGCAGAGCTGTGGAGAGATGCACATCTGTGAAAGATCCAACTTTGTGGCCACAGGGTAATAATATATGTGCCAGTACAAGCTGACCCTTATTAGCTTCATCTCCTCAGATTTGTGAAACAGATGGAGAATTGAGAAGGTGGTACATATACACAGGCCAGCTCACTGAGGAATTCTCCTTTAGGAACAGACGATGCCAGTCTTCTACAAAATCAGACCATTGGTCACCCTGATTTCTGCCAAGCTGTGCATAGGATTCCATGGGTCATGGCTCTCAACCAGGGCCTGCGCTCCTTTGGAGAATTGAAGATGTGATGGAGACTGTCATAGCTCTAAGCTATATCTAGCACAGTACTGTCTACAACAGCCTTTCCCAACCCTACCAGGAGATGCTGGGGATAAAATTTGCCGGGGAATCAAACCTTTGCACTCTTCCCACTGAGCGGTGTCCCTGCATCTTCCTTTTTACAGCTCCAGCCTAGCATAATCCACATTCCTTTTCCCAGGGAGACGGATGTGGAGTGCCAGCTTGGGTTGCTGCCTCCATTATCATCATCAAAGGCCTCAGAGCGGGACCAGCTGCCTCTCCAGCAGGTTGCAGATTAACCAGCCCTGCTTATTGTTGGCTGTTGATTCACCCACCTGAAAATAGAGGCTGCCTTCAGAGGTCTAGGGAATGGCCATGGCCTGAAGGCTGGTGCAGCCCCAGACTGTCAGATTTGTTTGGACTCCTGGCATTTGACCAAATGGTCCCCAGCAGGAAAGGAAGGCAGAGCCGCTATCAGATTTATTTCCCCCTTCAGCTGGCCGCCTACTTATGCTTCTTGACCCTCCTTTAATAGTGAATCCTGCATATTGGAAGCCACTAGAATCCTATCTACCTGCACAAACCTGGCAGCGTGTGTTGCATACGTTGCTAGAAGGTTGTCTTTTTGCCTTCTGGTTTATTAAGAGGCAGGAGCAAAGGACTCTGTGCCTTTAATGACCAAGGCCAGTGTGGTTCTTTCTCCAGCAGCTGCCCCGTGGGTCATTGCCCCTGCACCCCATTGTCTCTGCAGCCAGCCCACCTGTGGCTCACGACACCTGTAGTTCTGAGACGAGATCTCCAGATATGCAGTCCTTATCTAGGTTTGAGCCCTTCAGCCATCATGCCTCACCTGTGCAGTAGCCTTGAAAGCATGTTGCAACAAAACTCCCCCACAGCACTGAGTCAGCAGGGTGAGGAACAGATTCATTGTTTTTCCTCTGTTGACAGCAATCTGTGTGTTGCACAGGGATAGAGGGGAAATGGGGGTGAGTGGGATGGGAAAATCTTGCAATGCAAGGGGTGCAATCTCTCTCTCTCTCTCTCACACACACACCACTCTATATTTCAGAAACTTGTTTGTTTGCAGTGCATTTGGATACCACTTGAGCTACTGTAACCAACTTTTGCATTACAGTTCCCAAGAGCAAGAAACAGGTTGTCAACTGCATCTGGATACAGCTGGGCACCATTTTGAATGAAGATAAGGGACTGAACCTTTAGAAAATGCCACTGATTTAAAAACTGGCCTGACTTCTTTGGTTTCTTAGAATTCTTAGACCATGCTGGGCACAAGGTGCTACATTTGTGTGGTGGAGAGAGTGAGAGAGATTTCTATGCCAAGCTCAGATGCTTACATGTTGAGCACAGTGGTAATCCACCACAGCAGTAGTCAGCTAGGAAGGTTTCTGCTATTGCCAATTCTGCTTTTGTGTGTTGCTGCTGGACATTTCAGACAATGTGTCTTGCATTTCATGGCCTTTTGGCTTCACCATTTATCAGTTTTGCTCTCTTCCATACTCACACATATATGCCCCTGCCAGTTGAGAGTAATACCTTATGCATTTAATGACACATGGCTTTGGTCCACAAAAGCTCATGCCACAATCAATCTGTTAAGTCTTTGAAGGTTGCTGCAAGATTGCTTTGCATGTTGGCTGGGGCTGATAAAAGTTGGGAGTCCGACAACATGTGGAGAGCCACAGGTTTCATATCCCAGAAGCCTCTGCAATGTGCAGAAGATCCTTGATAGATGTTCAGAGGTTTCATGCCCCATGTGTTTCCTCTTGAGGCTGTGTTGTTGTTGTTGTTGTTGTTGTTGTTAACACCTGCAACATCACAGTTTCCTCTTCCTCTTGAATCAAGATATTTTGACTGAGGTGGAAGTTTGAAGGCAAAGAGAATGAGGGACTTGATTTGGGCCTGCAAAAAGTTAAATCTACCAGGACAGTGGTGAAGCTAGGATGCCGGGGGGGGGGCTGTACTGCTTCCTGGAGGGCAGAAGGTTACCCCATCAGGCCAGAAATGGTTAGCCACCCCAGCTCTGGGTCTTGCTCCTCTAGGTTATGTCTGAGCCACAAGGCACTTTGCTTGCTTCCTGTTGACTGTAGTTGCATGCCTCTCTAGATGTTGCTGGACTACAACTCCCATCTCCCCTGGCTATTGGTCATGCTTTCTGGGACTGCTGAGAGTTGTACTTCAGCAACACCTGGAAGGCCAAAGGTTCTCCACACTTGATAGAAAGGCTTTGTAAGTAGAGCTCACTGGGGAGAAGAGACAGTTTTAGCTGAAAGTCTCAAATGTTCTGCCTGGGACCTGGCATGTCTGCATTGGAAGGGGGCTGTCCATAGCAAGGGGGCTGCCAGTGAGTGTGATGCTCATGCAAGCTGTTTTGGGCCCAGGTGTGGTACAAAATGCATGTGCTAAAGGTCATTGTTGCAAGTGTGTGTGTGTGTGTGTGTGTGTGTTGATTCAGCCAACACCAATCTTGTTTGAGCTATTCTTCAAGTGTGTGTGTGTGTGTGTGTGTGTGTGTGTGTGTGTACATGCACACACATACACACCCCTTAGACTGGATTATGTGGTCAGAAAGGCAGCATTGCTCTGACAACATATAAGGGAGAGAGTAGTCTCAGGAATGTGAGACCTGAGCCTTTCAGTGGCTTTATAAATCTACAAACAGCACCTTGAATTGTGTCAAGAAGGCAGTCTGGGAACTTATGTGGATGTTGCAGCAGTGTTGCTGGTGCGTTGCCAGATCTCTTTGTAAGCAAACTGCTTTTCTGTGGGTGGCTCCTCGTGCCCTGTTAACACGCAATATAAAATGTCCTGCTTCTGAATACCAGTTGCTGAAAACTGAAGGATGGAACCTTTCGCCCACCCATGCAGATTGCCACATACATCAGGTAACACAGAGAGCAGGGGTAGCCCATATTCTGGCCATTCAGATGTTGTTGGACAACAATTCTCCCAACCCTGGCTGGGGCTTAAGGAAGTTAGAGCACAACATGTTGGCTATTCCAGATGTAGTCCATCCATTACCTGCCCAGCCTGTCTGGAGGGCCACAGATTCCCAATCCCTAAAGAAAGAAGTATCTGATCACTCAATGCAGCCTGATATTCCCAGCACTGCAAAATATTTACAGGCAGCTGCAGTGCCTGAGAGATTGGAGAGCAGGAGGCTTGTGAGCAGTACAGTGCTGAAGGAAACAAACAGTGCTATATCTTATGCCCCCCCCCCCCCCACTCTCTGGCTTCCTGAGGATGTGACAGGGTGACAGCCCCCAAAGGGTATTGTTGTGTCATTTGTTGGGAGGGAATGTTTTGTGTTTGTGTGTAGCAGACCAAACTGGTTCACACATGCAGCTACTTTGTTATCTTACCACTTGACAACACAATGACTTGTAACTGATGGGAATAAACAATGCTGTGTCATTTGAAATCTCTCTTTCCACCTGCTAAGAAGCTAAGAACTCAAGAAAAGCCCAGCTGGACCAAGCCCAATGCCCATCTGGTCCAGTGTCTTGCTCCCGCGATGGCCAACTAGATGCCTATGAGAAGCCTACAAGTTAGGAGTGTTCAGTGCAACAGTCCTCTCCTCCCTTGTGATTCCCAGCTTCAAATAATGAAGGCAGGAGGTAGCTAAACCTGTCCTCAGAGCTGTCCTGGATGTTTGCCCTCTGCCGGCTGAGGAGTAGCTTACTCCCAATGCCAGTGACACCTCTTGACCCTGTTTTGTATGATCAATTCCCCACTCCCAGAAAAAGGATAGACTAACACAGGGGTCAGCAAACTTTTTCAGGAGGGGGGCGGTCCACTGTCCCTCAGACCTTGTGGGGGGCCGGACCCACCGCCTCCCGAAAGGCCCCCCCCCGCCTATGCCACTCACGCTGCAGCCGCCGACGCTTCCTCGTTCTCTGCGGGGTACAGAGTCCACACCACTGGCCTGGGCAGCAGAGGCAGCCTCCACACCGCTGCCGCTTCCTCCCACTGGACCACCTTAGCGGGAAGGAAGGGGCGGCGCCCAGAGGTGCCCACAGCTTCTGATTGGCTGCAGTAGCTTCCTGCAGCCAATCAGAAGCCATGCCGCATCGCGGAAGTCAGTATTCGCACAGTGAGGCCTCTGTACCATGCCTGTTTAGCACGGGGACTGACCGAGGGGGCAGCAGGGTCCGCAAGATTTGCGGGCCGGATTAACAAGCCTGGTGGGCTGTATCCGGCCTGCGGGCCTTAGATTGACGACCTCTGGACTAACATATCCCATTGCTTATTTTGGTGCTGAGAGGATAAAAAGGAGCATGTTCTGCAAACAGAGATTAGATAAAGGCCTTCCTACCTACCTGTGAAAATATCGTCAGAGAGGCTAGTTGAGGAAGGGAAGAATCAAGTGTGTCCCTAGCCATTATCCTTGGGTTCCCTGTTCCTTATGGGACTGCAACTTCATGGCAGGGGCAGATGTTTCAAAAGGCATGTTTGCGTTGTAAATGCAACCCCCTTTAATGCAATCCTGCTCCAAAAAAATTCTGGCGACTATGTAAACTAGTGATCTGCAATACTTATCAACAGGATCATGGGTCATTACTCCCAGATGAATTAATCTGAAATAGCTAATACTCCTGGGGTCTGTACTCACAGACCCTACAGGCAAATCCTTGATAGAATTTGGGGTGAAATTATTGGATTTTGTGGGGCGTGGTTGAACAAATATACAAATGAACCAAGACAGACTTGAGAGAAAAAGTTCTGGAGTTGTTGGGACTGAACCAGTTTTATTACCCAGAGAAACTAAGTTGACAGTTGAAGACTGTGAATCTCCTCAGTCATGATCTTCTTCCATTATTTTTTTTGTAATTTCCCCCCTCCAAAATCCACAGGAATTAGGGCCCATGACTTCACCCTCCTGATGTAATGAGCTCCAGTCTCTTTCTTATGCATTCCGTGAAAAAAAACACTTTCCTTACTTTGACTTACCGTTAGCTTTCTTTCGCTGATGTGTTGGGAGATTGAATTTTGATGTCCTTCATATTTTTTCCTGCAAAAATTGCCCTCACTGAAAATATATCCGTGGATGCAGAACACAGGCGGCTTGTTCAAACGTTACACTGAATGCAGGTACAAGCTGTCTCTGCACAAGTGTTTGTGTGGAAGGGCGAACACTTCCTGATTTGTACAGCTCAGCTATTTGTGTAAATGGCACACTTGTTGAATGTTACATGTGAATAACTACAGCCATACAACTCAACTATTGTGCACATAGATTGTACACTCGTTGAATACAATGTGAGAATAGCCCTGGTTTTTGGTGCCTTTCAGCAGAGGTCTTAGCTCCCAGTGGGGTTGGTTTTCCTTTAGTAAAGAGAAGCCCCACACAGTGTATTAGTGTTTTCATCAAAACTCTGCAGATGTTCCCATTCAGTTTAGCATCTCCAGGTCTCAAGAGATTATTGGCCAAGCCCCAACAACAGGACAAACCCACACTCCATGTTAGAAATCAGGGGTAGGCAACCTAAGGCCCGTGGGCCGGATGCGGCCCAATTGCCTTCTCAATCCTGCCCGCAGACAGTCCGGGAATCAGTGTGTTTTTACATGAGTAGAATGTGTGTTTTTATTTAAAATGCATCTCTGGGTTATTTGTGGGGCATAGGAATTCGTTCATATTTTTTTTCAAAATATAGTCCAGCCCACCACATGGTCTGAGGGACAGTGGGCCGGCCCATGGCTGGAAAAGGTTGCTGACCCCTGTTAGAAATCATGAGATGCCTTCCCACCCAAGTTTCTTTGGGTTTCCCCTCTTTCACAGCCAAGGTGGAACGTGAGCTGGGCAGATTCTCTTGTTAGGTTTCTCCATGGACATTTGGTTTGTCCTGTGGCTGCAGTTTGGCTTCTCCCTGCATTGACGCCTGCCAGGGAGAATGCTCAGCTGATTTTGTGGGGGTGGTTTGGGGGTAGATGTGCCCCTGCTGTCTCTCCTTCCCTTTCATTCCTCCTTTGGTTCTCGAGGCAGGAGTGGGGTTGTTGTTTTTTAAATCATTCTGCTGGTTCTCACTGGTGTGAGTTTCTCCAGCAGACTTTGAAGTTGGGCTGGGAATCCTGGCAGGCTTCTCTTTATCCCAGTTACTTTGGTCTGGGCTACGAATCAGCAGTCGGCTCCCTGCAGAGATTTGGAAGGGGGGAGGTGGTTTTGGGTTCCCACCGCTTCCCTCCTAGCAGTCGGATGAGTCTGGCAGGTTTGCAGCGCTGCTGATGTTCTCCTTGCTCTGTGCCACCCGCCCCCTCTGTTCCGATCTTGTGGGGCTCTTGCTGCCACTGCTGGGTATCTTAAGCTCTTTCCCAGGCCTCTTTCTGGGCCCCAGGAGGGGTGGCTTCACTGCCTGCTTGCAGCTGCTGAATTGTACACCTGGCTGCCTACACAAGGGCCCTTTGTCCTGCACCAGGGAGCTCTGAAGAGTGGGTGGGGGTGGGGTAGGGTAGGGGAAAGGGAGAATAGGGAGGCTGCCAGGAGTTGGGGAACAGAATGGGAGAGAGGAACCTGGCATGGATATCATTCCAGGCTAAATAAGCCGGAAGCAATAATTTGAGCCTGCAGGTAAAACAAACAGACCTGCTAGTGGGCTGGGGGCTCTCAGAAAGACCACTGAGATGCATCATTACAGAACACAAGGAGAAAGGCTACTAAGGAGTGGATTTCTCCTATCAGAACTGCCAGCAGCTCACCAGTATTTCTTTACTGCAAGCCCACATTGTTCTGGACTCCAAAAACGTATCATTCCATCTATTCCGAGTGTTCAGGTTCAGGTGTGAGTGCCATTCCATTTGTAGCCAAAATGACACTGTCCTCCCAGGAGAGTGTTACAGGAATTTATGTAAAGTTTGTGGGGGGGGGGGTTGCCCCTCCAGCGGACATCATACACACCCACCCCATCTACCAAACCCAGCACAATCACTCCTGCAAATGTCCCCGCAAAACACTTCATCACAGTTTTTTGCCTGCCTCTATTCAAAGGGCCTCCCGCTGCACATTAGCAAATCCAACAATTCACTGATAAATGTGTCTATGTACTGGCTCACTGGCAAAACTTTAGAAAGTCATATAAAGTCGCTCCAGTATGGATTTGCACCATTCCAACTTTGTTCTGTTCAGGAAACAAATGGCTACCAAGGGGGGACTTATTATGGGATGTGAGCAGCCATAATCCCTCAAGCCTGAGACCAGGTACTCAGCAGCCACTTGCACAAGAGATCATCACTGGCAGGTGGGTGTCAGACAGGCAGTCATCCCATGGACAATGGCAAACCACCCAGGAATGGATTAGGAGTGTGATAACCTGATCAGAAAACCAGGAACTTGTAAATATTCCTACTGTATCACTTGATGGGTGTGTGGTGGTGGGTAAGGGAGGTTGGGGGCAAACCTGATGAACCGGTTTCTACCAGAAAACCCCTCACTGTGACATATTTATGATGTATCTGTGATGTATACATGATGCTTCACCTGAGTGTTCATGAGAAAAAGGGAAAACTTATAAGGAAACAGTGGCAGCTGGAAGGGATTTTGCGGGGGCACAAAAAGGAAAGTTGTGGGGCTCCAATTTATGGGAGGGGAAAGTGGGCCCCAAAGGTAGGAACTCAATGAGCCTGAGGCAATCTGTGGGTAGCCCCTTCAGGAACAGGAGTTTAAGGGTAGGAGGAGCTTTGCTTGGCTCAAGGTGCATCTGGCTTAGACTCATCCTTTTGCTTCCTGCTCCCTTCCTTTCCACAGTGCCAGTGTCCTCGTGGGAGCACCCAAGGCCAACACAAGCCAGGTGGACGTTACGGAGGGGGGTGCGGTCTACTACTGTCCCTGGCCCCTTGGCAAGAGCAGCTGTATACCCATTGAATTTGACAGCAGCAAAGGTAAGCGGGATGTGTGGGGTTGGGAGGTGCCAGTGGTAAGAGCTGGCTGGCTACTTGCCCATCCTCACCCACCTCCAATTTTTACTCTGATTTTCAGTCATCATCATCATCATCATCATTTATTTGTACCCCGCCCATCTGGCTGGGCTTCCCCAGCCAGTCTGGGCAGCTTCCAACGAAGACTAAAAATACATTAAAGTGTCACACATTAAAAACTTCCCTGAACAGGGCTGCCTTCAGATGTTCTTCTCTTTGACATCTGATGGGAGGGCGTTCCACAGGGAGAGCACCACTACCAAAAAGGCCCTCTGCCTGGTTCCCTGTAGCTTTGCTTCTCGCAGTGAGGGAACCACTAGGAGGCCGTCGGCCCTGGACCTCAGTGTCCGGGCAGAATGGCTACTCCAGATTCCCCGAATTGCCACTTCTTCTTTCTTCCCTACTTAATGCAGAAAATAAAGGCAACTGTGTCAGTTTATAAGAGCAAGTACAAAATCCATAGTAGCTTCTATTAGGTCAACCAGAATTGCATGAAAGCTTTTGAGTTCCCCAGAACGCTTCATTGGCTTGGATGGTGAACAGGGGAATGCAGCTGGCTTCTGTTTATGGTCACGGTCTTAAGAGGTTTGTTAGACTGTGATCAGAGGTGCCTGCCCAAATTCCCCTTGTCAGAAACACCAAAGCCCAGCTCCATACTCAAATCAGGCAACTGCAGGGGCAGGGGAGTCTTTAGCATATGTGCTGCCGGGGTGCAAAGATCCGCCCAGCACCCCACAAGCGCTGCCATTGTGATCTTTGGTAAATGAGTGCATAAAGTCTTTAGTGAAATAGTAGGTATACATTTCAGTATACATTGAGGTTGATGGGCATTGCCATTCAAATGGTGTGTGTGCACTGTGACATGTGATCAGGACAGGCCTTACCTGCCCCCCCCCCGAATATTTTATTTAAGTCACAGGGTAGAAGAGTCATGCAGTCCCTAGAGAGCTGGGGTGATGTTGTGGTTAGGAGAGCCAGACATTTGCACATTAAAGCAAATGTGGTGAGCACCACACACACCTTGTAGCTAAGCACACACTGCAGGCTGTTTGACTGACTACAACAGGAGCAGCAGGGAGAAAGGGTGAATGCCTCTGTGGCAGCATGGGCATCCACGGGGGTCAACCCCTGGATTAAAGTGTTGGACCTAAGTTCTGATGAGACCCAAGTTCTAAATTCCCCTGCAGCCGTGAAGGCAAATGTGGATGAGCAAAGGAAGTTGCCTTACACCGAGTCAGACCAGTGCTCCATCTAGCTTCAGTATTCTCTATCTCAGGGTTTCTCCAGTTGTTTTTTGGACTACAATTCCCATGATCCCTGACCACTGGTCCTGATAGCTAGAGATGATGGGACTTGTAGTCCAACAACAGCTGGAGACCTAGGTTTGAGAAACCCTGATGTACACCAATTCTCTAGGTTTTTGGGTAGGGCTGTTCCCCAGCTCAACTTGGAGGCACTAGGGATGGAGCCTCAGACCTTTTGCATCGAGAGCCTGCACACTACCTTCGAACAGCATCCCTTCTGCACAGCTGGGTAAGCTGAGCTGACGATAGGCTGGTCACTGTCTCTCGACCCATCCCACCTCACAGGGTTGTTGTGGGCAGGGGGGAGAATGGGGTACTGTGAACTTCTGCAGGAAGGTTGGAGTGAAAATACAACAAAAACACAGAACTAATCTTGAATAAAGAGATCAAAAGCCGCCCACAGGCAGAGTAAAGTGCAAATGTTGACAGTTCAAAGGCATTCTGTGTTGTGGGAGAAGGAAAGGGTACAAACCAGGGGTCAGCAAACTTTTCCAGCAGGGGGCCAGTCCACTGACCCTCAGACCTTGTCGGGGGCCGGACTATATTGGGGGGGGATGAACGAATTCCTATGCCCCACAAATAACCCAGAGATGCATTTTAAATAAAAGGACTCATTCTACTCATGTAAAAACACGCTGATTCCTGGACCGTCCGCCAGCCGGATTTAGAAGGCGATTGGGCCAGATCCAGCCCCTGGCCTTAGTTTTCCTACCCATGGTCTAAACTGCCCCCACCCCTGTAACTTTGTGGCTCAGAAAGGCCTGGACTTCAGTTGGCCTGGGGCTTTCCTGTCTGGCCGCATGGCTCTGTGTTGACTTGGCTGGTCCCCAGTGGACGTGGGCCAGAGAGAGTTTCCTTGGCTCAGCTGAGAACAAGAGATCAGATTCCAGCCAGAGAGCCAAACAGGCCATTGCTCAGGGAGCCCCTACTTCTGCGTAGGCCTGAATCTGGGGAACTACTCTCCAGGTGGCTGGTAAAATCTTGGGTACTGGTGTGCTGAGAGCAAGAGAGAACAATGCTTTTCTTTTTTAATCCTTCCAAAAGTGAGCATTTTATTTCCACAGAGGTTTCTTGTTTTCAGGCAGATTTGCTGAAAGCAAAAATATGAGTCATTACAAGGATACTAATTTCTGGAGCTTTTAAATTGAATACTTCCTCCCTCCCCAGAAACTACAAATATGGCAATGTAAAAAAAAATGAGCTGGATAATCTACAGCTGAGCTGGGGAACCTGTGCCCCCTCCAGATGTTGTTGGACTCCAACTCCCATCAGCACGGCCAGCCATCAAGGATGTTGGGAACTGCAGTCCAGCAACTTCTGGAAGGCCACAGGTCCACCAGCCCTTGTCTAGGGCAAGTGATTGGTAAGGCTTTTTGTTTCCCTGCACAGTCTTCTCAGAAGTAAATCTCAGTGAGGTAAATGAAGCCTACGCTCAAGTACCTGAGTATGCAGTATAGCTCTTAATGAGACTTTTAATCACAGGGTCATGGGTTTGAGCCCCATGTTGAGCAAAAAGATTCCTGCATTGCAGGGGGTTGGACTAGATGACCCTGGTGGTCCTTTCACAACCCTACGATTCTATGGTTCTGTTGAACTGCAGCCCTGATATCCATATTTGGAGCCCACATAATCCTTGGAAGGCAAAGAACTTTGTTAACTGAATAAGCAAAATGGACTGAATGTCTTATAAGAAAAAGTAAGGGTTGCAGGTTCGGTGACAAAAACACAGGCCAAATTCTTATATATACAGTATGTCATGGCATTTTGAGATATGTGTTCCTGGGTTTGATCTCATGCCCATTTGGGATAAGGGAAGGCCGCGCTGCTGATTCTGTTTTGTTTTGAACTGCATTCACAAATGAAGCAAAAGTATCACAGCAGCTGTCAAAGTAGCGCTGGAAAGATTCCTGTTGTAGGAACTCCTTGTTTCATGTTTTGTTTATTACTGTTTTATTCCCTGCCTCTTTTCTCCGTGAAGCTGAAGCACAGTGTCGTCGTCGTCCCCCACCCCAGTGATCTGATCTTTGCAACAGTCCTGCGAAAGGCCATAGTTAGCTCATGGTCAGCCATGGCCCAGTAGGGATTTGAGTCCGGGCTTCCTCAGACCTGATCCATTGCACACTAGCAACACGTAACGCTCCACCACCCTGGCTTACTGTGAGCGGGAGGGTGGCAGCTGAGGGGCAGAGCCAAGGTCCCCAGTTCAGTCCCTAATATCTCCAGACAGGAGTAGTCCTGGAGAGTCACTGCCTCTCAGTGTAGGCACTACAGTCACACCTCGGGTTGAAGTAGCTTCAGGTTGAGCATTTTCAGGTTGTGCTCCATGGCGACCCAGAAGTAGCGGAACATGTTACTTCCAGGTTTCGCCTCTCACGCATGCGCAGACGCTCAAAATGACGCACGGAAGCGGCAAATCGCGACCCGCACATGTGCAGATGCAGGTTACATTCGCTTCAGGATGCGAACAGGGCTCTGGAATTGATCCTGTTCGCATCCAGAAGTACCACTGTACTGAGCTGAGTAGACCCAACGGTCTGACACAGTCTATGTTAGCTTCCCAGGTTGTGGCTTCTTCATGTGTCTATGGAGTAAAACAGATTTTTGAAAACTTACTTTCTTGAGGGAATCCTTTCCACATCTGTTTCCCAGCTGAGGACTCCTTGCACATTGCAAAGGCTTGTGGGGAATGGTCTGGGGCTCTGTCTTAGGAGCACTGGTCAGCCTGTTCTCTCTCATCGCGGCCCCTGCTTCCTTCGGGCTGTGAGTTGGAGGGAAAGATCAAGCATGGCAAGGAAGCACGTCTGCCATTGCCAATCATCTTCTCACTGCGGAAACCTTGAGAGGCATCCAAGGCACCTCAGAGTTTCCTGGACTGGAGTTTGAAGAACCACTGGAGTAGATATCGCACCGTTAGGGAGGGTTGTGGGGCCTAAGTGGTTTTTGATTAACAAGAACAACCTCCCCCCTCCCTGGTCCTGCCCTCCCTCCTCCTCTTCCAGTCTCCTCTTCCCCACCAGATGGGAACAATGGGAAATCTTGAAGGGGAAAATGGGCAGCAGTGCTATGTTATGAAATATTTTCTCTTTCTGAATAAACAGGGGAGGAATTTCTGGAGCATTGTTCACAGTGGCGGTGTGGGATTTTTTAAATTGCAAACTGCAGGGATTGTTGATTTTTCAGGCAGTGATGTGAATTAAAGAAGGGTGGAGGGGCGGGCTGGAAATGCCCACGTGGAACCAAATTGTCTTTTTGGCAGTTCCTTTAGTTTAGAGTAAATTGAAAGAGAGGGAGAGAATTGGAAATGGCCTTAATGGACCAGAAGTAGCTTGTGAGACTTGGCATTTGTTTTATACCTGGTCTTCTGGGGTCACTGCCTGATGGTTTCTTTTGCAAGAAAGGGATTAAGTGGTTCCTGCAAGATCTGGGGGTATTATCACTACATCCCATTGGATTGATATGAAGGGCCTTGTATGAACCAGAGCCAGTGGGCTGGGGATGCCTCTTCTGGTCTGGATCAAAACCAAAGGCAACAACTGCTGGGGGAATAACAAGCTCACAGCCTCAGATCTAGGCTGTTTCCCACAAGCTCCATCCCACCCCCTAAATGAAAACGGGAAGCCCTCTTCCTCTTAGCACTCCACATGGATTTAGTACATTTTCTGCATAAGCTGCTGATCTGGACCTGATTGGAAAAAGTGGAGAAACATTCAGGGCTGTAGGGGACAACCTTTCTGTGGGTGGGCAATTCTCTGCAGCAGGAGTGATGGCAGGATCCTGTCGCACCTGAGGCTGAGATGGGGCAGAATTTCTAGAATTTCCTAGGCCCCCTTGGAGGCCAGAGCCATGACTAGAGCAGGGGTGTATGGGCTGCCACATCTGAGGGTGAATACATTTGGCCCACAAATCACCTTCATTTAGTTAGTTTCTGGCAGTTGCCTTGTGAAAGACAGTATTTGTTGTATCCTCCCAGTACCGCCCAGTAAATATAAAAATACAATACAATATGCAAACAACATACATATTGCAATATGTTGGTTATTGTTATGCTTTATTTATGAATTTCAAGTTTTTATATTAAGTTTTTATTTAGTTGATATCATGACCTATAAAACATAGAACCATTAACAATGATTTTCATGATTGAAATAAAAAGTAGTGTGTCCTGGCATGCAGCTTGGGAATTAACCAAACGGGGCAATGATCACATCTTAGGAAAACAGTGAAAAGTGGAGATTTTGGAAGTATTTGTGGTGGTGGGTTGGAGCCAGAGAAGGCAACAAGTCAAGCAGATGGGGAAGATATAGGAATAGAAGCTGAAGAGACCCGGAGCTGCAGTGCAGAAGGTCCCAGGTTCCTATCCCAGCATCTCCAGGTAGGTCTGGGAAAGATTCCTTCCTTGTCTGAATTCCTGGATGGCCGCTACCAGTTTGAGGACAATATCAGGGTAACAATAGTGCTTAGTGTTCAAAGTACTTTGCATTATCTTGAAATCTTTGCAACATCCCTGTAAGGCAGGCCAGCATTGTTATTCCCAAAATTATAGAAAAGGGACAGGCTTCCAAGACTGAGAGACAGCAGTTCACCAACAGCCAACCAGCAAATTCACAGATCAGCTGAGAGTTGAACTGCTCATAGCTCATGTTCTGAACCATTATGTTCAAGTGCAGACTTGTGGGGAGTGATTGAAAATGCCGTGCAGAACCACCGTGATACGCGGCGCTTCCTAGGCCTGCTTGCCTTCCTCACTGGTCAAAGGACCAATGCTCTGACTTGGTATAAGGTTCCTTCCTATTTACTCTCCACCAAGAGGCCAGGAATTCTCAAATCATATGCTGTGCTCTGAGAGGAGCTGAGTTGTGCCTCGGTGGGGAAGGGGAAGGCTGTTTTTAAATGCGTCCATCACTCTAGGCTTCTTGTTCTCCCTCTCTTTCTCTGCCAATACAGTGGTACCTCTGGTTGCGGATGGGATCCGTTCCGGAGTGCCGGTTGGCTCCTGAGGTTTCTGCAACCAGAGGGACTGCTTCTGCACGTGCTCATGTGGCAAAAACCCAGAAATATACTTCCGGGTTTGCCACGTACGTATCCCAAAGTTTACGTAAGTGGAGGGATACGTAAGCGGAGGCACGACTGTGTGTGAGTAGTGGCATCAACCCCTGGAAGGGAATAAAAGGCACAACTCAGTCTCCTCATACTGCTTTGCACCTGATGGATGCCGGGGATTCCCAGAAACATCCCCCTTGCCCCCAAATAATGGTCCAGGCCCAGAATCCTGATGTGCCTGGGCAAAGGGGAGGTCAGGATACCTGGGGCCAATAGTCCTTGGGTTATCCCACAGAAAACACAGGAAAGCAGCATAGCAACATGGAAAGCTACCTTGTACTGAGTCAGATCATTAATCCATCGAGCTCAGTGTTGCTTACACTGATTGGCAGCAGCACTTCAGGGTTTCAGACAGGAGTCTTTTGCACCTAGGACTTTCTGCATGCAAGGCAGATGCTCTTGCCACCAAGCTACAATCCTTGTTCTAGGGGCTGACTGAAATGATAGTGTATATGATTTACATCATCTGTCTCTGCCTATCCACCTTCTTTCAACAGTGAGAGTAAAATTTTATCCAGAAAGCTGGAAGGAAGCTGTGTCCCGGGTATCTGAAAGCCTTTGAGGAACACTGATCCAGACCCCTTTGTGTTCTCTGTCCAGCAGGATCCCGCATGGAGGACTTTAATGGGATGGTGGAGCAAATGGAGTTCAAATCGCTGCAGTGGTTTGGAGCCACAGTGCGGTCACATGGCAGCTCCATCCTGGTAAGAGCGGAGTCGTGGCATGAATTTGGCAAAGCGCATATGCAATTGGTTGACCGGGGGAACCCAGGGCATCTCCAGATGGTCACAATTTTGCAAAAAGATTTAAGTGCATACCAGAACTCTAGATCTGCACACTGGAAATGGATTGATGTGCTCTGTCACCCTAGCACAACAAATTTGCTTTTGGGAACTTTTTGGAGTTTGGGTCATGACAGAAAAGTGTGTTGAAAAATGTGTGATAAATGAATGAATAATGGGAAGATGTTTAAAAGACCCCACAAGAAGATCAAGATGAATGCTCATTGCCCTATAACCTCGCTGCAAACAAATCAGCATGAAGGCTCAATAAGGACCGGATATAATTTAGCCTTTGCATAAATGTTGTGGAAACACATCAGGATGAATGAGCAAATAGCTTGTCGCCAGGGTGGGGGGTGGGGCTCAGTAACAACAGCCCACACCGGGTCAGGTTTTGACTTTAGCTGCTTCTTCCTTCCCATCACAGGACCCCTCTGTAGCATGGAAGCTGGGAGAGCTCCTGCCTCAGTGGCTTCTGGAGCTGCCATAGCTAAGTTCTAGGCACTCCTGGCTTGTATCTACACAGATGTGATCTATGTGCCTTCCATGGCCCAAAGTCGCATGTTTCTTGAATATTTGATAACCAGGGCTAACAGTGCCTCTGTATTGGCACTGGTGAAACCAGATCTCTCTGAACTGGAGAGCGAAAACTGCCACTTTCCCAATTTTTTGCTTGGTTCTTTTAAGGCTGCCATTCTATGCACCCTTACCCAGAAGGAAGCCCTGCTGGTCACAGTGGGCAACTGGGCTGAGCCACTGGGCTGGAAGCCACAGGAGGGCAAAGGCTCATGTGCTCAGGTCATGGATGCAGATTTCTCAGAGCAGGCCACTGGTTGTCCACTGTGAGAACAAGATGCTGTTACACTGTTGAGTAAACATTCACAAGATTGCACTGTAAGAAACCCAGGAATCTCCAATGCGGCAACGCCATTTCTTCCCTTCTAGATTCCTTGCATATCTAAGTCCACCCACCCACACAAACACATAGAGGCCAGGTATTCCCAGTGTCAGAAACCCCTGTTTTGGCTACTGTTGCAATGCTGTGTCCTGTTGTGATCAAAGTCCATTGATAAAGTTTGTGACAAACTGATGTAGACTTGAAGGAAGATTTCATACAATAATGCTGATCTTCCTCTGTCTAAAGAGGCTGTCTGGCTCCTCTAAAAAGAGATGGGTGAGCAGGGGGAACTTGATCTCCATATTAATCCCCTCCCAACCAAGTTTTATTTTCTTTCTTTTTTAAAAAATGTCCTTTTTGAAATGCACACCCCAATCTCCCCAGTACTAAGAGTGTCAGATGCTCATTTCCAGGTGTTGCTTTAGGGTTGCCAGAGGTTTTTGGGAGGGGGGGTTGCTTCCCTGCAGTTTATTAGTTACCTTGCTGAACTTCAAACTGTGCTTTGAACTCCTCAACTTTCCAAAATCTGTCATATGGGGGCAGGGCAGGAAGGATGCAGCTAGTAAGAACTGCAGGAAATGCAAAGTGTGGTGGTGTGTGTGTGTGTGTGGGCGGGCAGGTGGGTGTTGGCCGTTGCTCAAGCAACCCTGTGGCCTCACTAGGACACCCTGTTTTTCTCTTTGGTTTCCCCCAAGATGCTCCCTGTAGTCCTTTCCAACTAGCCTGCTGCAGGGCAGGGCTTCCTCCAGTCTTTTGACATCTAGGACATACCTTGTTGCTTTCTTTCTAAATTAAAATGAGAGGCACACTTCACTCCAACCTTACTTTATTTTGCTTGAAACCTTTTTTTTAAAAAAGGCACCCTTCATCCTATTTGAATACAAGGTTAGTTTACAGAACAAAATCAATTAAAGTACAAAATGCAAACAGTGCGTATGTGACAGGAACATAGACAGCTTCCCCCACTGCCCTGTCTAACTCAGGACTGTCTACACCAGCTGGCAGCAGCTCTCCAGGATTTCCCTGTCCCTCCCGGAGATGCTGGTGTAGAGGACCTGGGATCTTCTACATGCCAAGTAAATGATCTACCAGTGATCTATGGCGCTTCTCCAAATGGTGGGTGGATATCTTGGGTCCCAGGACAGAAGGAAGGCATCCTCCTTGCAACTCAGGGGACCCTGGGTCAACATTGCCTCCTGGCCTGGAGCACCCCTCCTCTTTTCCTACTTAGAGATGGGACTCTGCTTTTTGTCCAGTGTTGGGGCTTCTGGGATTCTGTTATGCTGGTTAACTACAGCAGAGGCTGCCTTAGGAAATTCTAATGCATCCTGGATTCTTTCCCTTGGGACAATGGCAGTGCTTGTGTTGGTGCAGAGAGTGACTGGTGAATCTATCAAAGAGTGTGCCTTAAATCACCAAGGAATTCTTCCGCCTTTTTCATGGCTCTGACACAGTTTGGGACTCTTTGCTGTAGACTCTATGATGTAGAGCAGTGTCCTGATCTGGCCACCCTGGAAAGGGTGGTGGCCGCAAGATAGGCCTGGATGTTGCAGGGCAGTCATCTGCAGAAGGTGGCACATCTCTACAGAGGTCGTTGGCATTGCTGAAGCTGCAGTGTTTGACCCATGAATTGTACAGGTCTAGTCTGACTCCAGCTGTGAGAGCTTTGGCCACAAGACAGAAGACCGTCTCACTCCCAGCTTCTGTACATTAAAACTGAAAGCTCGTGGTTGTAAGAACTTTGTAACATTAAGAGTCCGTGCATGAGGTTGCTTGTTTTCGTCTTCCCTCCCCACCCCTTTTCCTTTTTGTGCCATAGGCCAGAGTGCTGGGTTATTTATATTGATTTGTAAGCAGCCCTGGGAGTTTTTTTTCCCATCAGAAGTGTGGGGGTAGAAATGCTTTGCATGAATGAAGACTGTGGAGCCCTTTCTGTTTGCTTACCAGGCTCATCTTCTTCCTCTAGGCCTGCGCCCCCCTGTACAGTTGGCGAACCTACAATGACGAGCCTGAGCATGAGGTTGTGGGCACCTGCTTCTTGTCCATCAACAACTTCACCAAGTTTGTGGAATACGCACCTTGCCGCTCAGGTAACAAGGGGCTCTGGAGAGGGTGCCTGCCTGGCAGGGGTTCATTCAGCACTTGCACAGGACCTCAGCCTTTCTTTCTTTTTAAGAAAACTGTATTGCATTTTTGTAGAAGTACATTAGAAGATTCCACAAAAAATACATATAAAACCATAACAACCAACCAACACATCTGCTGAATAAAATAAATGTTTGGTAAACGTAAGGGGGACCATGGGGTTTATTAATACAGTTGGCAACCATTTCATGCAGAGGTTCCATTCCCGGCCCCTGGGCACATCAACCGAGTGCATGGAAGTCCACCCCTTTTATAACTTTTTTGTGACATTTTCAGTCACTTCCAAGTTTGTGCTGTGTGTGATTACACGTCTTTCTGACATGTGCTAATTGGTCATTGCCTGTATAACTAATGGAGCATTATCTTTAAGGTAACTTACTGAATGTGCCCAAAAGGTTGCATAAAGGAGGGGCTGACCACGTTTTCTCCCCTTGTTCATCTTTAAACTGGACGTCTAAATCAGTTCCCTATGATTTCCTCAGTCTTTGAGAAAGAAGGAAGGGGACACAGTAGTGTCTTTGCTGTGTTGGTTCTGGGTTCCCTGATCTGTAGCTATTCCTCCATGGAGGTGCATCTGTGTGCTGTTAGGCTTTTTTTTTTACCTTGCCTTAGCTGTGTGCCACTGTGCAGCTGACTTGCGCCTGGTGATGGGCAATGAAGGTATGGGAGCTGCATGTGGTGGTAAGGTTTGCCATCCACTGGACTAGGGAGCTGGAAGAAGTATGAGTGACTATAGAAGTCCCTTCCTTGTCCCTTGTACTAACCCCTTTTAATGAGCCGTCCCTCCTGCTGAAAGAACACGGCAGATGAACCGAAGGGCCAGCCAGCCAGCTGCTTCCTAAGCATAATCTGGAGCAGTAGGAAGTGGGTGTGGGAAAAGCTGGGAGCGTTTCCCTGGGGACACCCATACAGTGATCACCAGAAGGCTGCTGTGCCACCAGCAGAGCCCCCCCATAAGAAAAGCCCTGTTGGATCAGGCCAAAGACTTAGTCTAGCATCCTGTTCTCACAGTGGCCACTCTAGTCTCTAGAGAGCCAGAAGGAGCAGCTCTTGCGGAGTTTACTGCATAGCTTGAGGTCAGCTCTGGAAGAGGGACTTCCGGCAAAAGCATTCCTGGTCCCCCCCAGATGCACACAAGCAAGAGCTATCCTTCGGAGCTCTGAGGGAAGTCATATTGCGGAACTGAAAATGAAGAGGAGGAGGATTACGAAGATGAGTTCAGCTTATATTCTCCCCTTTATCAAAAGATCCCAAGACAGTGTGCAACATAACGCATTACAGAGCACCAATAATAAAAACAATAACAGACAGCATAGTAATAGAATATAGCCAATTTGCCCCTTGCTGTGTTGCATCTTCCACCACCTCACCCACTAAATTATTGATGCTGAAGGTTTGCTATTGTGAAGCAAAGGGAGAACAGGTTATAGCAGGGCAGGGCGGGCACAGTCGCCTGGGTTCTCTTATTGTTGTCATATTCTCCCTAGGGCCAAGCTGTTCTATTAAGATGAGAATCCTTTCCCAAGGCATTATTATTATTATTATTATTTGCTGTGGCCTCTTGATAATTAGCGTAATTAGGCTAGGGGGCGCCTGCCTGAAAGGAGAAGCGCCTGTGGTGGAAAGAGAATGCTGAACGCGCAGCTTCAAGCCCTAGACCCCCACTTTGCCAAAGGAAAAGACTGTTCCCGTCTCCAGAGACCATACTTGGTGGATAATTCACATGTCATCAGACGACGTACCCCACCGTCTGATGGGATTGCCCCATCTACTCTGGGTGGCTTCCAACAGAATATAAAAAACCACAACAAAACATCAGACATTAAAAATGGAAAGTCTTCGTTGTTTCTCTCTTTGCCAGCTGATGGAGAGTGAATAATAATAATGGGGATTCCTCGTCCCTGCTCAGGGCTGGGATTCCCTGCTGGACCTCTGGTGCTTCATCACAGCTGTAGTACTCCTTCTAAAGTATATGCCTGAAGGTCTGGCTGTGATCAGGCAAATGGCACTTTGCCCATGCTCTAATGCTGTCTTGGTTGCCCATATTTTGTGAGGGTTTTTTGGAGGTGAAAGGCTGGATCATTTATTTTATTTCTAACAGTTCTGTTGTTAGAAGCTGGTCACAACCTGAGGCATATTGGCTTTCTGTTCATGTGTTGTCTGACAGAACAGTTTATTTAGGGAGGAATCAGCATCACACACTCACAATCATTCTGTCAGTGCAAGCATTTCGCCCCCTTCTCTCTCTCCTCCAAGTGCACTGATCTGGTGGTTCTCCAATAATTCATCTGTAAGCCTGTGGACAGGACCACCTTCTGATGGACTGGGATATATTTATTGTTTGGTGATTTCTGGCTCCAGTTAAAGGGTGGCTTCAGTTTGGTGGGTGAGGGGACCAGGACCCTGTATTTGGAAGGGATCATTCTGAATGCTGGTTACAGCAGGCCCTCTACCCCACCACGCGTCACACATTTATTAGTCATGCAAATATGAATGAATATTTGCAACAGGCAAATCTGAAGCTTACCAGAACATATTCAAAAACTCCGATTGCCAATGCATAATTCAACTGCAAAAGGCATGATCCTCTCTTGTATCCTCAAGCTTCTATACTGTAACTTTTTCCAGCACCTCTGAATTTCCATTTCCACCCCCCACCCCTTTTGTCTTTCTTTCTCCTGCCAGAAAAGAGCGGACTCAGATTTCAAGGCTACTGCCAAAGTGGTTTTAGTGCTGAATTCACAAAGGTGAGTTTCCACCCCTGCCAAGAACATGGGCAGCATGGGGCAGGTTCCTGTATTTGGGGGTTGGGACAGAGATAGTCTCCTTGGCATGAGGGTGGCTGGCTGTGGATACATAACAGGCACTGTAGACGCATCCACCTGGCAGCTGTCTGCAGCCCCAGCTGTAATGCCAATTGGGAAAACAGTATAGCCTGTGAAGCCCACAGGAGGGTGGATTGTATGAGTTGTATGGGTAAATGCTCCTGTGCTTAGGTCAGCCTTCCCCAATCTGCTGCCCTCCATAGGTTTCTGGAGTACAACTCCCATCTTCCTTAGCCATGCCGGCTGGGGATGATGGGAATTGGAATCCAGTAACATCTGAAGCTCCCTGGTGGTCTAGTGGTTAGAATTTGGCGCTCTCACCACCGTGGCCCGGGTTCGATTCCCGGTCAGGGAAGTTGTGTTTTTGACACGGGTGGCGCTGTGGGTTAAACCACAGAGCTAGGGCTTGCCGATCAGAAGGTCGGCGGTTCGAATCCCCATGACGGGGTGAGCTCCCGTTGCTCGGTCCCTGCTCCTGCCAACCTAGCAGTTCGAAAGCACGTCAAAGTGCAAGTAGATAAATAGGTACCGCTCCAGCGGGAAGGTAAACAGCATTTCCGTGCACTGCTCTGGTTCACCAGAAGCGGCTTAGTCATGCTGGCCGCATGACCCAGAAAAACTGTCTGCAGACAAATGTTGGCTCCCTTGGCCAATAAAGCGAGATGAGCGCCGCAACCCCAGAGTCAGCCACGACTGGACCTAATGGTCAGGGGTCCCTTTACCTTTTAACATCTGAATGGCAGGGCAGAAGGCCAATTATTTCCCCTCTCTGTCAACCCAACTCTATGGGACACCTGGCTGCCATTTTCCTTGCTAGTAATGCTCTGGTTATATAGAACAGGGGAAAGATGTGCTGAGAGTTTGCGGGGTGCTGCTTGGGAATTTCTTCCCTATCAAGCCTGTGCACATACATGCATCACCTGTAGCCATCTGGATATTCTGCATCAGCCTTGTACTTGACAGCTCCCCTGGTCACCCTAGGCAACCCAGGACTCCATGCAGGCGAGTGAGAGGGCTTGTAAAAGGCTGGTAACTTCTGATCTACAAAGCAGATCTAATGTTACCTAAAATATTGTTTTCTAAGACAATTTCAAAAATGCTTTTGAGTATTGCTGCCAGTCTTACAGCTGCTCACCTATGTTCAGCTGAGGCTTGCCACCACGTACCTCCTGAGACTGGTCCAGTGCCTAAAGCCCCTGCTTTTAGATGTCTTCTGATTGCATCATTGATGGCTCCTGTGTGACCTTTGTGAGTCACAGCCTGGTTGCTAAGAGAGAGGGTGCTGAGCTGAGGGTGGTCCAATGTGACCAGGGTGATCTCTGAAGTGATGGGGATGTCAGTGGGTGGGTGTCAAGAGGGAGTGTGGTGTAGCAGGTACGGGAAGTGGAGTCGTTCAAATCCCCTGAAGAGCCACAAAGCTGGCTGGGTGATTGTGGGTCAGCTACCATCTCTTGGCCCAGCAAACCTCACAGGGTACTTGTGAAGATACAAGGGGAAAACTCAAGGCAAAGGTCAGGTGAACTGGCTCAGATACCTCTGAGGAAAACTAATGTTTTTCATTGTCTTGGCAGGCTGGACGTGTTCTCCTTGGTGGCCCCGGAAGCTATTACTGGCAAGGTGACCCCCTCCCAGCTTCTTTGTTACTATTATGAAAAATATTACTATTTTGGCAATATTTATTTGATCCTTATTTCACTGGTCCAGCTGATTGAGATTTATATATTTATTTAGCTGATCAAGCGCCTCCTTTTCAAACGCACCTTCTTAACTATAAGGGCTAGTAAAATACTCTTTTCTGTTCTGTTTTCTTTTAAGGAAAAGAAAATGAAAGCTGGAGATTCCCAGGAAGAGCAATTTTTCTGTGTTCCTGTGGAATCACAGCATATCCATAAAGCTGGTCACTGTCTCAGATTCCTTGCACGTGGGGATATTGACGTCCCCAATTTCTCCCCCCATCTCCCACCTTCCTGTTCCCCAAATTCAGGATAACTTCATTCATTCATCCATTTAATGTTTATCTTGCCTCTCCTCCAAGGAGCAAGAGGTTCCTGTTATGTTGTTATTATTATTGTGGTTTTATTGTCAGTGTTTATTATATAGTATGTTCTTTTAAAAATGTCCTTGTATGTAAACAGTCCTGAGATCTCTTTTGATGAAGGACTGCTTAGAAATTATTTGGCTAGGTTTTACTCACAGTAGGTCCCCTGAAATTAATGGAAGCGACTGAGCTGTGTGTTTGCATAGCTTTTTGGAATGCCACCCTATATAAATTGATTTATCCTCACACCAACCCTGTGAGGTAAGTTAGGCTGAGATGTAGCCGACTTGCCCAAAGTCACCCAGTGAGCTTCCTGAGGGAGTGGGGGATCTGACCTTTGGCCTTCTCAGTCCTAGTCCAACCCTCTAACTGCCACCCCCCTTTCCCTTCAGGCCAGGTGCTTTCAGCAGCACAGGATGCCATTGTGGAGGTATATGACCCAAATTATTTGGTCCTGGAGGCTCGAGGGCAACTCAAGACGGGTCAGGCTAACTTCAAGGCTGATGACAGCTACCTTGGTGAGTGCTGGATGGAAGGAAAGGGTTGGAGAAAGAGAATATTGTTGTCTTAGGACAGTGCTGGACGTGGGGTCCTGAAACCCTGTCATTCTTTTTTTTAATTTTTTTTATTTTTTTTATTTTTTTTTATTTTTTTAAATAAATTTTATTTTATAACACCATACAAACAAAAAGACAAACACAACACATTCACACCAAAGAAAACTAAATAAAGAAAAATATATATATATAAAAAACCCTGTCATTCATTACCATTGGCTGTGCTGCCTGGGAGTGATGGAGGAGTTGGATGGAGACAGACAGACAGACAGACAGACAGACAGATAGACAGAACTTAAATTTTACAAATTCTTTTAAAATACAATCAGAACACATCTCTCTTATCAGTTGACCTACCATCCTTTGTGCTCCTCCCTTTCCCACAATAAGAGCAACGATCAGGAGAGGCTGTTGATTGATCTTGCAACAGCCCAGAAGTCCAGGTTAAGGAGGAGATGAACACCTAGAAGGCCACTGGTTCTCTAATCCTTGCCTTGGGTAGCATTTTCTGCCTGGGAGCTGGTTGCCTTTGCCCTTTCTGTGCTTCATGGTTGGGCTGAGCAGGTGGTTCTTGCACTTCAGCACTTGCTCAGCTCAAAATCTGGGCCCTGTTAGAAAGGGGTGGCCTCTGATCAAGCCTTTGTCAATGGGCAGTGGACCAGAGGTTTCCCTGAACTTCAGAGTCAGCAGATCTCTGCCAGATCCAGGGTTCTTGAGTTCACCCCTTGTTTCATCCATGAGGTGGGGGTGAGTAGTGTTCATGGGAAGTGTTGATATCTCTGGGTGGAGATTCACAAATAATAAGCAGAATGATGCATAAGCATCTCTTCAGGGTCAGCAAGGACATCCTGTGATACCCCAAATGCTCTGGAATTAATCTTACTTAAAAGATAGATGTGGTTACATCAGCGTAACCACACTATGATGGTGAAATTTGTCACTCCGTGTCCTTTATTTCAACCCAGTCACAGACTTTTTTCACCTCCTGCTGATGCTGAGGAACATAGGAATCTGCCTTTTACTGAGTCAGGCTATTGGCGCACTTTTCTCAGCACCAAGTGGCAGCTGCGCTCCCAGATTTCAGGGGGGGGGGCTCTTTCCCAGTCTTACCTGGAGATGCGGCGGATTGAACCTGGAGCCTTCTGAATGCAGAGCAGAGGCTCTGCCACTGAGCCCACAACCTGTCCTTTTCCATTTCCCTGCAAAAATGACCACATGCACTTACCTTTAGATAAACCCAGAAGGGGCCTTATCCCATCTCCTCCAAAGGGAAGGATTTTGCCTCCTAGCAATGTTCAGCCTGGGGCCAGATTGCTGACTAACTAGTTGGCATTATGGGACCTATGGCAACCTGTGGTACCGCATGGCATGCTGGGAAATGGCAGTAGCGTTTCCTGATGGCCCTGGTAGGTGTAGAGTGGCATGCATTTCCCCCCCCCCCCCTTAATCATGTTGTTTCTCCTTTCCCCCTCCCTAGGCTACTCTGTGGCGGTCGGTGAATTTAGCGGAGATGCCACTGAAGGTACCAATGGGCTTATTTTCAGCATGGGTGGTAGGGCTGGTTTGTGGGCATCGTTTGGAGAGCAGAGAATCCAGAATAGTAGAGGTCCTCTAGTCCACCCCCCTGCAATGCTGGAATCTCATCCACGAGAGACTGCCATCCAAAATCTCCTAAAAACCCTTCAAGGAAGGAGAGTCTACAACCTCCTGAGGGAGACCCTTCCACTGTCAAACAGCTCTTATTTTCAGAATGTTCTCCCTGATGTTTAGTCGGAATCTCCGTTCTTGTAACTTGAATCCGTTGGTACAAGTCCTACTCTCCAGAGCAGGAGAAATCAAGCATGCTCCATCTTCCATGTGACAGTCAGGTGTATGTGTACCTTGTGCCAAAAATATATACCTCCATTGCATTCTGAGTAAATAACACACGTCAGAATTCCAAAATGTTGTATAATTCTACCCCTCCCCCCAAGACAATAAATAGGTTTTCAAATAAATTGTAATAACTTTATTTCTATTTTTTGTTAGAAATTGTGGAGGGAATATTGGAATGCAAAATAAGAGTGCAATTATGAGGGCAGTAGGAGAGAGATTGGGGTTCATATTATTATTATTATTATTATTATTATTATTATTATTATTTTATAACCCGCCTTTTCCCATGACAGAGACTTGGGAAAAGGGCTTGGGATTAGTAAATAGCGCACTGCATTATTATCTAGTTTCTTAAAGGTCATACTGTATGTATGCATTTTCCTCCTCTCCCATGAGGACTCTTCCAGAGTCTATGATCTGTGCCATATTCTGCTGTTCACAGCGGGCTTGCAGCAGTTCGGACTCCTGCTGCCACTGATTGCATTGTGTTCCTTTGCTCTCTTGCAGACTTTGTGGCTGGCGTTCCTAAAGGAAACCTGACTTATGGATATGTAAGAGCCAAACCTGTGCCTCCTTTCTTCCCGCTCTCTGTGTGTACTGTAACTCTCAGTCTTCCTGGCAACCTTTGCATCATTTGGCTGAGTGTCCCTGTGCCCCTGCCTGCTTTGTAGAGCTGGAACATTGGCCATACAGTAATTAACTTGAAAATGTGCTCTAGGGGCTAGCACAGAATTTGGCAGCAGACCTTTTGTGGATGGCAGGTGGGTTGTCAGGAACTTCTGTAAAAGTGCTCCAGATGCCCCTCACCACCATCCTCACCAGGTGCACAAGATGCTGCTTCAGGTTCTTCCAGCTGCAAGCTAATCTACAAGAGTGTTTATTAAAAAAATTGCTATACAGCTTGGACCTTAAAAGAACAACTTCCTTAGATCTCCATTTCTGCTCATAACCAGGAACATTCTCTTAACAACTTCTGATATAAGTTGTTGAGACCTTCTTAATGCCTGATCCACAAACTGGAAAGTCCTTCCCCCAAAAATACTTTCCAGGGGCTGAAACAGAGCAGTTTCATTGGCTAGCCTAACCCAGTGCTCCTCAACCTTGGGTCCCCAGATTGTGTTGGACTACAACTCCCATGATCCCCAGCCAGTTTAGCCAGGCTAGGGGTGATGGGAGTTGTAGTCTAACAGCATATGAGGCCCCAAGGCTGAAGGACACTGGCCTAAACCAACGGGATAACCTCTGGGATGTAGCTGGACTACAATCCCCTAATCCCTGAGGACGCTGGCTTTGACTGATGGAAGGTGGAGTCCAGCAATCTCTGGAGGTTTTGCAACCAGGTTGCTGAAGGCTGCCTGAGAAATACCGTATTTTTCGCCCTATAGGACGCACTTTTCCCCCTCCAAAAATGAAGGGGAAATCTGTGTGCGTCCTATGGGGTGAATACAGGCTTCAGGAAGCTATCAGCAAGCCTGGGGAGCCCGCGGGAGTTCCCGCAGGGCTCCCTAGGCTGCGGATAGCAGCCTGCTGCCCAGCACGTGGGCGCCCTGAAGCAGAGCGCCCCTCGCGCCGGGCAGATATCCGCAGCCTGGGGAGCCCTGCGGGAGTTCCCGCAGGGGTCCCTAGGCTGCGGATAGCAGCCTGCTGCACGGAGCGCGGGACGCACTGAAGCAGAGCACCCCGCGCTTCGGGCAGACATCAGGCAGCCCCACAAGCTCAGGGGACAGTGGGGAGGCGGAGCGCCACCATACCACTATTCCCCGACTTGGTTTGGATTCCCTGACCTGGTTTGGGGGAGGGAAATAAAGGGGGGGGGGGAAATTCCTTTATTTCCCCCCAAAAAAACTAGGTGCATCCTATGGGACGAAAAATACGGTACTCTTTATCTCCTTTCTACTTGGGTTACTAATGGATAGATAGGGGACCAGACCCAGAGGGTGAAATTCAAAGTAGCATTCAGGAAACTGCTCTATTGGCGCAGCCTGATGGAACCACCTCCTTTTCTGGGGGTTATCACAAGCCCCCACCCCAAGCCGACTGGGGGGTGGGCACTGGGGAAGGGAAGTGAACCGTGTTGTGCTAGCAGGACTCTCTGAATCCAGCCCATAAAGTAGTACTGGTAGCATTATTTATGTTTTTATTTTTTAAAGTTGTTTAAAAGCCATTTGAAATCTCAATACATTCTTCATTTTTCTTTGCAATGCAGCAAGCAGTCAGTTGCTTCTGAGTCAAGGCTGGTCTATTAGGGCACTGCTCCACCAACCTCCGTCTCCCCCCAGTCAGGGGCATCATGTGTAGGGGGTGCAGCCAGGGCTTGCCACATTTTTCTCAGGGGGGGGTGCATTTGGCTCCTCCTGCTGCTCTGACAACCCTGCAGCACTTTGCGAGGCTGGAATCTGATCTGAATGCTTCGCTGGGCAAAGCAGGCAAGGCTGTGATCGAAGGGCACATTGCTGTTGCATCCTTCTCACACCGCCCTGCCATCCCCGAGCTGCTTTGCAAGGCTGGGATGGTACAAGGGCTATGCCACCCAGCTGAGCTCCACTCTGCGCGGGCAGGCAGGTGGCACAGCATGGCCCTTCTTGACTCCAGTGGGGGATCACTCCAGCAGCAAGGGCTGGGCTGGCGCGGCAGGCTCCATTCATCCTCTGCCCACCCCACCCCCTGCATGCACGCACGCCCCAGGCACTGGCAAACCATGCTATGGCTCTGCCCCTAGCCAGTCCCCACCTGCTTATAACCAGTCCTGGGGGTGGCAATGGGCCAGCGGATTCTTTTCTCCTTAGTCTCAGTGTCGCCCTTGTAGAACTCAGGAGAGAGGTGGATGGAGACAGAACCAGAATTAGATGGCTCTGCCAGCCTTGTGCTCTGGCTCCAACCCCTGTTGGCCTGCCAGCCTTCTGCCCTACCTGTCCCAGTGGGCATCGGCCTCCGCTGCTCCTTCCCAAACACAGAAGTTCCGTGAGAGGCATGTCTGGCCACATCTGGGCTGAAGAGTCCTGTGCTGGTGCTTTGTGGTGCCGTGGCATCAGCCGGTGTGCTTTTGGGTGTAGCCCCTTCGCATTTCCCCTTCCTGTGTGGTTAGTGGAGGGCCCCACTCACAGAAAGGTGCAAGTTAAAAGTGGGTGTCATCCCACCTGCAGACGCTGGTGTGTTCTTTGGCTCCCGTGATCCCTTGCCATTGTGACTTTTCCCTGACACGGGACACACCAGTTCACGGTGAGCTCAGTGAGACGTTGCCTCACACATGACACGCCAGCCGGTCTGCTCCTCACCCTCTCCTGATTCGGCACCACTCAGCTGCATGTTTGTTGTTGACCCTGTGGGTTGCTATGGTAACAGGTGCATTTCTAAAGATGAGGGAAATGTAGAGGCCCGAAACCAAACAAATCTGATTTCCCTGCGGCCGTTTGGCTGCGGCCAAGAACCAACCCCATGATGTTGTTGCAGAGGTTACTTTGGGCTGCGATTCTCTTCGCCTCTAACATGTGACGTGGCCTTCCTTCCTCCTGGCAGTGCCTTTCTCTCGGTGACCTTGCTGTGACACTTAGTCGCCCACAGAGCAGTCTGAGAGGAACCTCAGCCCCACTTCTTGAGCAGAAGTGGTGCTAAGGGCACCCTCCTCCCAAAGCTCCCACAACACGGCCAACTCATTTTCTGCCACACTGTGGGATCCTTTGGGTGAGGTTTACTTCTCCATTCTAAGTTTGGGGCTGTAGTGCAGGAGGCATCCAGACTCAAAACAGATATATTTACCTCAGGGCTGTTCTCTCTCTCCCTGCTGGCGTCCCCCACAGTATAGCATTTCCATACTGCCCTCTCATAAAATATCAAGGCAGTGTACAGCAATACAATACAATACAATACACAATACAATACAGTACAAGACAATACAATACAATACAATACAATACATACATGCATACATACATAAATAACAAGCAATCATTAAACTGACTGACGACTCAAGAAAATTCTAATCATTCACACATATATAGCATAAACATGAGCTCATGCACACACATATATGAGTACTAGCAGTGTTGTGAAAAACTGCCTATGTGGATGAAGGAAGGGAAAATGTCCTAGTGATAAGAGCAATTAATTACAGTGATTTGAATAAATTATTAGTATTATTTAAAGAAAAGGTTTCTATTTTGGTAGCCAGGACTCCCCAGCTGTGGAAGGAGAATGCCAGAAGGGAGACCCTGGGTCTTGGGAGCAAAGACTCCTTGTTTCCCTTTTCATCCCTGTCAGGAGAAGTTGGGTTGGCTCCTTTGCCACAACAAGCCTTTCCCAGCTGAGTCCCTTGAGTACTGATGAACTATGACTCCCTTTATCCCTGGCCATTGGTTGTCCTGCCTGGGGATTATGGGAATTGTAATCCAGCAGTGCCTTAGTGGAGGATTCTGGCTGGATCACTTTGGATCATTCTAATGAGACTGAAGACCTCTTATTTTCTCTTCCTTTCTTCTTTCCTTCTTTCCAGGTCACAATTCTAAATGGAAGTGACATTCGGCCCCTGTACAACTTTTCTGGAGAGCAGGTAAATGGCTGCACTGTTCCCGCTGAAGCCAGGGAAGAGGGTCTTGATGCTGCAGCTGGGCTTTGCCCAACCTCTGACAGAGGCCCCAGAGCCCTCATGCCAGGCTCCATTGCCATCCCTTAGGGTGCCATTCAGGTTGCCCCCTGCAGGCCACACCTGCGTTGAGGTCTGAGGTTCATTCCAGGAAAGGACAGGAGCAAGAAATAAGAAGCATAGGATGGTTCCTAAGATCCACTGTGTTTACTAATCCTATTTCCTCCCCACTCAACCCTCAGGCTACCTGGGGCCTTAGACAGGACTTTGTCTATGCTGTGATTCAGTGTATCAAAAGTACAGGATTTGGATTGATTGGGTGCAGGGTGTTAAATTTGGTTTTTCGTCCAGAGTATATACCCTGTATGTGCTTATCTGCCTGAACAGAAGTGTTGTTGCACAGCTGGTAGTCAGGGACGATGGGAGTTAGACTACAGACAACATCTGGAGGGCTCCCAGTGGGAGAAGGCTGCCCTGGAGAACCCCAGAAATGTTAGGAACTATCCTGTCTTGGAGGTGTGCAGGTACCATGATGGGTTTGGGGCCCCACCTGCCCAATTCATTTAAAGCAGAATTATGCCACTTTGAACGGTGTAGTTTACGCTGCAAGTTGTCAGGAGATCCCAGTTCCCCTCATAGGGCTACAATTCCCAGAGTTCCATTGTGAGAATTGTTGCTCTGGGAGAGAACAGGGGTTTCCTAGTAATTCTTGGCCTGCTTAACAAACACACCTCCCAGGATTCTTTGGGGGAAGCGGCCATGAAGATGCTTTCAATGTACAATGCAGATGTGGCCTGGGTCTGAGGGGTCTGTGGGGAGTGGTCTGTGGGGAGTCAAGAGTCCCGCCCTGAGCAGGCAGTCTGTCACGATTGCAGGATCCTTCATCCTTCAGCCTCACCAAGCTGCCTGTCATTTCCCTCAACAGATGGCTGCCTATTTTGGCTATGCTGTGGCTGCCACTGATCTCAACGGTGACAGGTGAGTGTTGAGGAAGGGTGACCGCAATCACTAGTTTTGTGTGTGTGTGTGTGTGTGTGTGAGAGAGAGAGAGAGAGAGAGAGAGAGAGAGAGAGAGGCTTTTCTCCACACTAGAAGAAGCTGTGGGAATGTTTGACTATGTTTGAGTTTGGGAGATTTTGGGTGGGCTCTGTCTAGGAAGAGAGTTGCCATGGATAGCAGAGGGAAGGGGCAGTGCAGACCCCATGGAGATACTCTGGCCATGGTTGAGGAGGGGGGCTTTGTGCCTCTAGACCCTGCTGCTCTCCCACTTCCACTAGTGCTTCTCTGAACCCTGACAGTGAGCTCTTTGTACCTTTTGGATCCAGAGTTGGTGATTTTAAGGCTCTTTCTCTTTCTCCTCCCACCCCACCATGCAGCCTAGATGACCTACTGATTGGTGCCCCCTTATACATGGAAAAAACAGAAGATGGTCGTGTGCAGGAGGTGGGCAGAGTCTACATCTTCCTGCAACAGCTGTACGGCATGGAGCCAGTGGCGTCGGCCGCACTTACTGGTCACCAAGAATTTGGACGCTTTGGCAGTTCTATTGCTCCCCTGGGAGACCTTGACCAGGACGGCTACAATGGTAGGGATCTTTGAGAAGGAGATGCAGGGGTGGGCTGCCCCGGATATTTGCATCCCACCTTTCGTCAAAAGTTACCAAGTTCCTAACAATTTTCTTGCAAAATGTGAGCATCCATGAGGACATTTTCATTTTATTGCTGTTGCTAAATGTCTGCCCTTTCTTGAACTTTTTCACTTTGACAGCAGGATTAACCAACAGCTTGTTAGTTCTAGCCTCCCTTTATTTCACAATGCCACACAGGCGTTGATGCCAGATCCCTGTTCCACCCAAAGCAGTTCTCCCGCCCTTCCCAGATTTTTCATAGCTGAGGTTAAGGTACCCTGGTTGATTTTGGGGAGTTTTTTATGAGTTAAGATTGGGAGCGCACCCCAATCAATGCCAAACTGCATCTGCATATGTTGCATTGTTCAGGGCATGCTTCCTGAATGGAAGGAGGCCAGTGGAGAGTAGCAGTTCGCACAGAGATGCAACAGGCAGCCCCCTTGAAAATGGCTGTGCCTTTCCAAGGAGTGGGACTGGACAATCTCATCTCACCTGATGCAGCAGCACAGTAGCATTGTGGTCCAACTGCATCCGAAGAGCCACAGCTTTAATTTGTTTGCTTTCTTGCAGCCCACTAGCAAGCCCTGGGATGTGGTTTTGAATCTGCAGAGTCCTGATCTCATGAGCCATTATATAACTAAAAGTACAGAAGGGTCAAGCCCATCATTTCGACATTTGAGCTCATGTACCTTTAACAGTTGTGTAGATGGGATAATTTGGGCAAGAGCAGCTGTTCAAAGCAGTGTGCACTTACTGAATTCCCCTTTTCTCTACTCAGCTGTTATAGGTGCTGGACCCTTGGTGATCGACTCCCCCTGCAACACAGGCTCCCATTAGGGAACCCTCTTGAACCAGCCACACAAGTGTCCCACAAAATAACAAAGATCAAGTTTAATGTGATACATTGAAAGAGGAGGCAGCAATCTGTTCAGCAGAAAATGTGTGTCTGATTTGGTTCCCCGCCCGAGACATAGTGTGCATACTCAAGACAGCATACAGTAGATTAGTTTTCCTTTAATGTCATAGGCAAATCAGAGGGGCTCCAAAATCATTAAAGAGCAATGATTCCTCCTGCCCTTTCAGAATACATTTATGAGCAAGGTCTGGATTCTGATCACAGCCAGATGCAACCCAGGACAAAAGTTTTATAGGTATTTGTGACCCATATTTGTGTATGTAGCCGAATAGGAAAACCCTACATGTGATTTGGCTGCCATCTGCTGGATGAGGTTCATACTGCACATTTGCATCGTGCTATGTATGTCTGGGCAGGTACTGAAATTCCTGGTTTCTGCTACAGTCCTGCACAAGAGAGCTGGCTAAGGCCTGATGCTTTTCTTCTTCTCCATTGTTTTAATTTATTGTGTTAAAATATTTCCTTTTGTCTCACCTTTTAACTCAGAAGTTTCTAAAGCAGCTAAGAGCGAAAAGGCAGCAAAAATTAAAACTAATTGGAGCAGAGTTTGCATTCTTGTGTACAAATCCTGCGAAACCATTTCTGAGCCCCTGTACTGGGGTTCCCTGGGCACAGGAGTTAGGGGGATGAGGGTGTGGAGTGAGAAGAGGTTACTATGTGTTTTTATTACATTATTCCCCACCTTTCCTCCAAGGAGCATAAGGTGGCATACCTGGTTCCCCCCTCCTCTTCCTATCCTCACAAGAACCCTGTAAGGTGGGTCAGGCGGAGAGACAGTGTCAGGCCCAGCAAGCTTCATGGCCGAGTTGCAGTTTGAACCCTGGTCTTCCAGTCCCTGGTCTGACACACTAATCACTATACCATATTGGTTCTCAGTGTGGTTTTTGGTTAGAGTACTAACGGAGGCAGCCTGGGGAATTTGGGGGACAAGTCAGCAGAGTGAGAAGGAGGGTCCCTTAATCCAGTTGGGCTCCTTTTTGAAAGAAGTGAAGTAACACACTTCACCGTTTAAAGTGGGGAGGGATGGGGGGCTCTGTAGGACCAAGACCAGCAACTCAATTTATCTAACTGTACCACTGCCAAGAAAGGCTCCGGCGGAATGAGTGGGCAAGACCAAGAGTGGGTCCAATGGTCAAGAAAACAGTTTCTGCATGTGCTGTTGAGGGAAGTGAGGGGCGGGTGGGGCTTGTCCACCTGGGAAGGGAGTCCATCCAGGAGAAGGAAAACTCTGATCCTAAATCTCTGCTGCTTTGCGGGGCATCTTCAGGAGAAGAAAGACTAAGGATTAAAACCTACAGAAATCTGGAGTGGAGTCTCCTGCAGCCCAACTGGTGCCAAACTTATTGCTCTGCTTTTGTTTGGACCACATCAGTGAGGCTGAGAGTGGGGTCGTGTCTGGGCAGCCCAGGACCTCCATACACACTGCCCAGGTTTGCGCCCTGGGGAGGTCATTTCAGTGCTGCTAATGCAGTAGTTTGACTTCACCCCTGGAGGTGCACTCCATTGTCTCTTGAGCCAGACAGATGCCAGGCTTCCAGTTCTGGAGGTTATAACCCAGTGTGCCCTCCTCTCTCTCAGCCTTTCTGGCCTTCCCCTCAGCTCAGCTCACAGCTCAGCAGTGGTGATGGCAGTTCCCCTCTGGCCACCTAACTACCCCTCTCTCCCTCACCCTCCAAACTGCGCACAGGCAAAAGTTGTCAGTCACAGCTGGCTGTGCATGCGCTCAAGGGCGCTAGCATGACAACAGTCTCAGGCAAACGGGAAGAACTGGTGCCTTATTGATGGTGGTTAGTCTGTCCTTCTTTTTTCTTTATTTCAATTGTCACTGCATTGCTTTTTTTAACCCCTGCTAAAAATTCTTTTCTTTAATCAAGCCTGTCCAGATGTGCATTTGACATGTTGTTTTTAACAGGTAATTGTGCTTTGTTATTTCTTTTTTTTTTTTTAACTGCTGGTTTTACTTCTGTTTTGAAATGCTTTAGGCCAACTTGCTTTCAACACATGGGCATTTCTTTAAATGAGTGTTTTGTTTAATGTCAAGGGTGGGGAACCTTTGGCCCTCCCGTGGTTGCTGGACTCCCTACTCCCATCATCATGACCATTGGCCCTGTTTGCTGGGGCAGCTGAAAGTTCAACTCCAAGAGCAGGGGAGGCAACCTAAGGCCCATGGGCTTCTCAATCCTGCCCGCAGACAGTCCAGGAATCAGTGTGTTTTTACATGAGTAGAATGTGTCCTTTTATTTAAAATGCATCTCTGGGTTATTTGTGGGGCATAGGAATTCGTTCATTTCCCCCCAAAAAATATAGTCCAACCCACCACATGGTCTGAGGGATGGTGGACCGGCCCACAGGTGAAAAAGGTTGCTGACCTCTGTCCAAGAGCATCTGGAGGGCCAAAGTTCACCTGCACCTGTTTCATGCCAGCCACTTAAGAGGTGTTTGTAGATCGAGTGGCATCTAGGCCTTGTCAAATACCTGAATGAATGCTGACGCTGGAATTTGTTCCTGCAGATGTGGCCATTGGGGCCCCGTTTGGTGGCAAGGAGCAGCAAGGCATGGTCTATGTGTACAATGGCCGGCCTGGCGGACTGAATCCCAAGCCTTCTCAGGTGTTACAGGGCCACTGGCCAGCTGGCCAGACTCCAGACTTCTTTGGCTTCTCCATGCGTGGGGCTAAGGACCTGGATGGAAATGGCTACCCAGGTGAGGACTGAGTGTGAAACCACAAGAAAGGCTGCAATGGGGCATCTGAAGCATCAAAGAGCCATAGGTTATCTTTGGTAGCTTTGCATGGATGAGGTCCCAGGTTCGGTCCCAGCTCTCTCTGGCTAAAGGCAGAAATCCAAAGGGGCCCCAGCAAACTCTTTATCCTATAGAGCAGGTTTAGCCAAGTTGTTGGACTCCCAAGTCCCCACCAGCCCCAGCCAGTGTCGCCCACTGGCCAGGGATGATGGGACTCATCGTCCAGCAATATCTGGAGGGCACTTTGTTGCCTGACCCCGATACGGAGGCAATATGGTTCTCTGTGCAATTGAGTAACAACTTAAGGAAGTCCAAATAATATTCACAAGTGGGATCTGCAAGAAAACGTTTCCACGTGGAGTGCTCCTGTTCACTGTATCAGCCAGCCAGCCATGCTCTCTAGGCAGTTCCTCCCACCCGGGTTCCCATTCCACCCCCTTCAGCATTCTGTGGCCATCGAGCACTCTCAGTCCTCACTGAACTGTCTGAGGTTTCTTACAGCTTTAGTGGTTTTTATTTTAAGATCTCTGTGCTCCTGATACCTCCCTCGTGCCTGTATGGCGCCATTTTGGCTCTGTAGGCAGCAGCACTCAAAGCCTGCATGTTGGAAATAGAGGGAATTATTATATTCCTGATGATTGATCAGATAATCCAACAGCCGGTTTGGGCATCTTGTATCCTAAGGAGCATGTTAACATCTGGCATAAATATAGGTCTTCAGGGAGGCAACCCTCAGAATGCTCTCAAAGGCAGAGTGAAAGCAAGAAAGTGTCCCAGTGGTATTGTAAAAAGCCCTCTGCAATTGCATTTATAAACACCCACTTTATAATGAGCATTTAATATCAGGTCTCCAAAGAGACTCTCACTTGAAGGGCAGCAGTCATGCAAGGAGGCTACCACCCTTGTCTATGTTCAAGTGGTCCATTGATACTTATCTTCGCAAAACTTGGGCATAAGAGCATTATCCGCCCCTAACCATGCAGCTGTTGATTTGCCCTTATCTCAGAGGGCTTTGCAAGGAAGAGCAATAAAGGAGGCTTCCTCTGAGCATGTGCTAAGTGGTTTTCCCCATAACCACTGAGAAACAATAGGCAATGTGACACATAAGCAGCTTTGAGCTAAGTTTCTCTTTTGAAACCAACCCCTGGAAAATGGTATCAAAATCTGCAACGAGATAAGGCTCATTGCTTGTCCGCTACTTTCTCTCCCTTTAGATCTGATTGTGGGAGCCTTTGGAATGGACACAGCCCTGGTTTACAGGTAGGCACTGTGCCAGTGTGAGCCAGTGTGGTGTAGTGGTTAAGAGCGGTAGTCTCGTAATCTGGGGAACCGGGTTTGCTTCCCCGCTCCTCCACCTGCAGCTGCTGGGTGACCTTGGGCCAGTCACACTTCTTTGAAGTCTCTCAGCCCCACTCACCTCACAGAGTGTTTGTTGTGGGGGAGGAAGGGAAAGGAGATTGTTAGCCGCTTTGAGACTCCTTAAAGGGAGTGAAAGGCGGGATATCAAATCCAAACTCTTCTTCTTCTTCTTCATAAGGACTGTGGATGGGGATGCAGACAAATGCATCTCCCCACCCCTCGATTTGGGAGAGAAGAGTTTGAAAGGTTCAGAAAGACAGGTGAAATGGTAAACACATCACAGTTATTTCTCTCCCTCCCTCTCTTGCCTACCTTCACAGGGGCCGCCCCATTGTTCATGCAAGCGCCACTCTCAGCATCTTCCCCACCATGTTTAACCCTGAGGAGAGAGCTTGCACCCTAGAGGGCACTGGAACCCCTGTTGCTTGGTGAGTGATGTTGGAAGGAAACCACAGTGGAATGTACAGTCCTGATGGTCCCCAAGTGACGGTGGCAACTGTAGCTCTGTTGGCCTTATTCTGAGCTACAATTCCCAGTCTTCTGGGGTAAGCCATAGGGAAGGACCATAGCTCAGTGGCAGCGCACATGCTCTGCACACCAAAGGTCCCATGTTCAACCCCCAGTATCTCCTGGTAGGACTGGGAAAGAGCCCTGTGCGAAACTCTGAAATAGGCTCCTGCTGGTCAGTGTAGACCACACTGTGAGGGGGTGTGGCCTGATTTGGTGTCAGGTTGCTTCCTGTGTTCCTGTGGCAGGTGAGCCATTTCAAAAGCAGTGTCTTTCCACACTGTAAAGGAGTAAAGGAGTATCACGAGCAAAAGCTCCCCACCTCTCACCAGGATGCTTTCTGGTGTTTACCTGATGGGAGAAAGAGAAGAGTCCCATGTGGACAAGCCCTAAGAGAGCTGTGACTGTTAGACCCATCTGAGATCAGTGCCAGGGCTTATCTCTCAGTAAGGGAGTCTTAGGACAGGAGGCCTTTTACTATTAAACCTGCACTAGCATGTGCATCCTGGTGTCTGCATTTTTTTGTGTGTTTTTTAATGGTATGCTACTGTAGGAGTGTTAAAAAAACCCCAACAGTTTGTAAAATTCCAGAAACGCTTAAAATGTGGGGGGCTGTCCTTTTCAAAAACAATGTCCATGGATCTACATATTAGTGGGCAGCAGTGCTGGGAGCTGGAAGGAAGCCCCCCTGTGGGTGCTTGTAGCAGCTGTCATAACCAAAGAGCTTCTACTGTTACGTAGAGGCTTCTCACCACATGGAACCTCATTCGCAGGCTCCTGCATGAACAAACCCCTAGGAGCCCTTACCTCCGTGCTTGCACTAACTCATTCACTCCAGGCAAAGCAGAACCAGGAAGCAGATAGTCTTGTGATATTTTACGGCAGAGGTGAAATAAGCTGTCACAATGGAGATCGGTTTCATGTGGTCTCCATGTGACAAAAATAGCATGTGCCTTCCACATTTGCTCCAACTAAGAAGGGGCTGTATTGATCCTCTAGCCATGAAAGGGGCCTGGGGGGATATTTATGAACTGAGTTTTTCAGTTGCTCAGCAACTGGAAAGAAGTGGGGGTTGCCCTGGCCACCTGCCCAACTTGACTATGAATGGGTGATTGTAATAGGCTGGTGACCCGGCTGGGACCACATGGCTGGGAGGAGAGGCTGAGTCATCCAGACAGGAACACACCCCAACCACCACCACCCCACCATCACATGTTAGCCGCTCTCCCCCCACCCCAACTCTTGCATCAAGAGAATCTGCCTCTTGAATGAGCTTCCCTTTCTACACCTAGAACGGTTGCCCTCAGGCCAGGTGCATTTTGTTGCCCCCTTCTCTGCATTTCAGTTTGTTCTGCCTTGGAACACCTGTGTCCCTGGGAACAAAGCCCAGATTCCCTTTGCTGCCTCATCCCATTTCTTTCCTGGCAGAACTGACAGAACGTGGCACATCTTTCCTATCCCCATAGCCATTCCTTTTTTAAATAGGTGGCATTCCTGCGTGCCACTGGCTCTCCTCTATCTCCCTCCAGAAGGCACCCTGTCCAGAGCACCAGCCTCCTTTCCTGGCAGTGATTTCCATTTTTATAGCACCATAGTGCTTTACAGTGATTAAAGCAAGCAATCCTTTGAGGTAGGCCCTTAACAAGGAATAACCAAGGTTTCAGGACTACAACTCCCATCAGCCGATTGGCCATTACAGCTGGGACTGATGGGATTTGGAAGGCACCATGTTGACTACTCCTGCCCTTAAATAATGTCATTCTACTGTAGTGGAGATGTAGGTGAGCCCCTGACTGAGCAAGGATCTGAACCCAGGGCATTCACATTCCAATTTTACCCTCCCTAGACTGCACTGCCTTTCACTCATTTCTTACAATGACTCATTGCTCCCCCCTTTCTCCCATGTCAACAGCATCAACCTGAGCTTTTGTCTGAATGCATCTGGGAAACATGTGCCCGACTCCATTGGTGAGTAATATGGGGAAGGGGTGGCATCTATGCCATTGACAAGTGCTGGCATCAAGAAGTTGTCTCAGAGTCTAGCACAGCTGGTCCACAGGCATCTGGTTGACCAGTGTGGTGTAGTGGTTAAGAGCGGTAGTCTCGTAATCTGGGGAACCGGGTTCGCGTCTCCGCTCCTCCACATGCAGCTGCTGGGTGACCTTGGGCTAGTCACACTTCTTTGAAGTCTCTCAGCCCCACTCACCTCACAGAGTGTTTGTTGTTGGGGAGGAAGGGAAAGGAGAATGTTAGCCGCTTTGAGACTCCTTCAGATAGTGATAAAGCGGGATATCAAATCCAAACTCCTCTTCTTCTTCTTCTTCTTCTTCTTCTTCTTCTTCTTCTTCTTCTTCTTCACTGGGAGAACTGCATGTTGGGCTAGAGGAGGCCTTTGGCCTGATCCAAAGGGCTTCTCTTATGTTCCTATGAACCTTCAGCATAAAGGAGGCCTTGGAGTTAGGCCAAGATCAGCTGGAGGTCAAGCCAAGTTTTCAGATTCTGGAACCCAGAAGCTGGGACAGAAAGCATGGCAAAAGCAGAAGGCTACACAGCAAGGATGGGGAACCTTGGCCCTTCAGATGTTGCTGGACTCCACCTCCCATCACCCCCAGGCAGAATGGCCAATGCTCAGGAATTATGGGAGATGTAGTCCAGCAACATTGAGAGAGGCACTGGAGGCCAACAATAAAGCGAGATGAGCGTCGCAACCCCAGAGTCGTCCGCAACTGGACCTAATGGTCAGGGGTCCCTTTACCTTTAAATTGACGTATAACAAATCTGAAAATAGTATTCTCATTGTAAATTTCTTTCAGTTGTAATGAAAATGGGCAGGAAGACCATCTGCCACACTTGTAGTGACCCATAGGCTACAAATTACCAATGGTCCGAGTACAGTGCAAGAGTGTCCCTTCCAGGTGCCAAAAATGCTGTAACTCTGAGGAAGCATCGCAGAACAATTAATAAAGCTGAATGTTGTTTGGGTGGTCTGGTAGAAATCCACCTCTATTATTGCATAAGCAATGAAATGTTGCAGAATATGCCTGCAAACAACCAAACCATCAATCTGAGCCCTCCCTGACTGCCATTTTGCTAAGAAACCAAGAGTTATATCTTGTGGGTGATCAGTACTTCTTCTGGGACTGATGTGGGAGCCCCTCTTGGGCTGCGTTCTGGGGCATAGGGCTATTACAGCTCAGTTGACCCCATCTTCTTCTCTCCTGCATGCGTAGGGTTCAGTGTGGAGCTGCACCTCGACCACCTCAAACAGAAAGGGGCAGTGAAGAGAGCGCTCTTCCTGCGTTCCCGCCAGCCCCACCTAGTCGAGACCCTCCAAATCCGCAACGGTGCCAACTCTGAGTGCCGCGAGATGAAGATCTACCTCAGGGTGAGTCTCAGTCTGTGCCCACAAGCTCTGCCTTCTTCTCTGGGTATTTCTGCACTTCATTGCAATGAAAGTTACGGCTTTGTGCAGGGGTGGGTAACCTGTGGGTTTGCCAGATGTGCTGGACTCTGCTTCCCAGCACCCATATCCAGGGATCTAAAAAGGGTTCCCACAGTGGCTGGCATGTGACTGCACCTGCAACTCCACTGCAGCCCTCGCAGTTTGGCTGAAGAGTCAGAGGAACACCCGTCACCCCGTGGTGCAGCAAGCATTTCTCTGCAGCATGGGACCCATGCCCTCGGTGCCTTATCCCCCCTCTGTCTCTTTCTCCAGAACGAGACTGAATTCCGCGACAAGCTCTCCCCCATCCACCTGTCTCTTAACTTCTCGCTGGATCCAGAGGCCCCGCAGGACGCACATGGTCTGCAGCCCATCCTCAACTACCTCACGCACAACCACATTGAACAGAAGGTACTCTCGGGTTGGAGGATTGCTCAGCAGTTGCTCCCAGCATTCCATGAACACATGTTTGGTGCTATGGGATACAGAAAGGGCTTCTCTCCTCCCTGGCAGGGTAGACAGCAGTGCAGCGACACTCAGCCTTTCTGGAAAGATAATAACCCAAAAGCATGTAAGGTCTACAAGACAGGGAAACTTAATGCCCTTTGTCTAGAATATGTCCCTATTCGTTTCAAGAAGAACTGCAGGCTATCCAACGGTTAATGGTCACTTTCAAAACACGACAGCACAGAAGTAGTGGCTCAGTCTTGGACACAACAAGAAGCCAGAATTCTGGGACTCGGCAAGAAAATGCTGCCAGCATCTTTTTCCTGCCTGCACGGAAAGAGATGGGAAGCATGCAAGCCCAAGACTCACTGCAGCTTATGAACATAGTTCTACGCCATGGTTTAGCTGTTCAGCCAAATACAGCTTTTGTAGTTTTGTAGCTTATGTTATGTCAGCATAGTAGTAGGTTAACGTGATCCTTTTAGTGTTGGCAAACAGACAAAGAGGTGTTTTTGTCTTTTTTTGCCTACCAGGCCCAGATCCAGCTGGACTGTGGTGAAGACAACGTCTGTGTCCCTGACCTTCAGCTTGACGTTTTTGGGTAAGGCTCTCTCTTGCCTCGCTCTGTGGCATCACAAACATGGAAGAAGCCAAGCAGTTTGGGTGCTGTTTGCATTCTGTTGCTTTATCCATCACCCAGAATATTCAGGCAGATCCCCCTTGCATCCTTGTTACACATGGTGAACCCTCTGCTTTCGTGGACTCAGGAAGGGATTGTAGCTCCTGGCACCCTCTGCAGAAGTCCTGATCTCCTTCCTTTCTTCCAGGGGTCTACTCTCTTGCTAATCAGATATTCCCTCTTACCAACGCATCTGCCTCCAGCACGGCCACGTGGGAACACCAGAACATACAATACAATACATGCACACCTTTGGCATTGGGGGGCTGGGGAGCAGTGATTTCCCTCAGAAGGGTTCACCTTCAGCAGTTTGGCTCCCTCTGCTGTTGTAAAACGGAAGTGCAATTGGACGGGATAAAAAGATGGCCAAAACGATGCTCTTATTACCCACAGCAACGGATCCTGCTTCTCTGCTGTTAGCTGATCTCGTGCCTTTCCCATCTAATAGCACATGGACATAGATTATATCACTTCTTGTGTTGTGTCAGCAGCATCTTGCACACTGCTTGCCCATATGTAAATGTTTTAAAAAGTAAGCTTTCTAATAATAGAGTAATGTAAAGGAGTAAGAATTGCAAAAGGTGTCATATAAACAGAAGCAAGCTATGAATTAAGGGGAGGGCATGTGTTCATCCACCACCAACAACCCCTTCCTATCTGAATCTGTCTGCAATCAATGGGGTGGGCTGTAGCTCCATGGAAGAACATCTACTTTGCATTATGCCTCTGAATCCCAGTTGCTGGGTTTTCGGAGGGGGGGGGAGTGTAGTTGCATTTGCGTCCTCCTTGCAGGCTTCACAGGCATCTGGCTGGTCACTGTGAGAACAGGATGCTGAATTAGATGAGTCATTGGGCTGATCCGGCAGGACTCTTCTTACGTTCTTCTGCATGCAGAAGGTCCAGCCCCCGGTGTCTCCAGGCAAGGCTGGGAGAAACTCCCAGAAGAGCTGCTTCCAATCAGTATAGATGTTGCTGACCTGGGCCAGTCACCTGACTTTGTAGAAGGTCGCTTCCTATCTTCCTAGGGATCCGGCTGAACACATTCAGTGCCCTTCTCCTACCTTCACAAGGTTTCCATTCCAGGGTGCAGAGACCTGAGATCTCAGTTAAGCAAATGCTAAACACTCAGTATTAGGTGCATTCAAGGAATGCTCTTGGAAGCCTTTGTTAATATATATATATATATATATATATATATATATATATATATATATGGGGCACTAGTATTAAGGACAAAATAGGTACTCCTTTTTACGCAGAGAGATCTGTGCCTGGCATGCACACTGAACATACAGGCCCATTTTCATTTATAATCCTGTGTATAATGCGAGCTGTCCAGAGGGGTGGGGGCATAGCTGCATAGCTCAGTCAGTAGAGCATGCAACTCTTAATCTCAGGGTTGTGGGTTCAGTCCCCATGTTGGGTGGAAGATTCCTGCATTGCAGGGGGTTGGACTAGATGGCCCTCATGGTCCCTTCCAACTCTGCAGTTCTATGAATGTACCTGAGGCACTTCTGGGACTCTCTTTGTTCCATATGTCAGTTCAAAATGAAGGGTGGAGGAGAAACTGAATACAGTTTTTGCCATTGTTTTTTAAGTTCAAAGTGATATAAGCTTCATGTGTGAAAACAACCAGAGTTGCATGGTCTGAAATGGCTGCTCTCTATATTGTTCCTCCTAAAAATGGGCATCCTGGATCTTTGCTGATATGTGTGTGCTCTCCTTCTCCTTCTTTGCTGGGTCTGTTGCAGGGACCACACTGTTGTCTACCTGGGAGACAAGAATGCACTGAACCTCACCTTCCATGCCCAGAACCGCGGTGAGGGTGGTGCTTATGAGGCTGAGCTCCACGTTACCATCCCACCGGAAGCAGACTACATGGGGGTTCTGCGGAATCATGGGGTACGTGCCTCTGCTGGAGAGACCTCATCCTTCTGCAGGCAAATCGCCTTGCAACCCCTCCTGGCCATGGGGGAGTGAACTTAATGAAGAGGCTGTCCTTTCCCAAAGCTTGGAACTGAGATACAAGCACAATTCTCAATTTTTGGGAAAGCAGATATATGATGGTGGGTTCCTGAGTATGATCATTTTTAAAGGGGGGGGGGAGAAGAAGAGGAAGAAGAAGAAGAGGCAGCAAGTTTATCCTTTGTGGGTTTTTGAAATAACATAGGAAGTGCTTTTGCAAAAAGGTCTAGTCCTCATGGGGTAGAAGGTCTGTGGATATATCTATGCTAGAAATTGATAATAGGTTTTGCAGCTGCAACTATCATGGCCCCCTCTTGAGGGATCCAGAGAATGCGGTTATGGTGAGGCTGCAATGCTTGATTGCTTAGACTGGTATATTAAAATGCTCTCAAATTTCTTTTTAAAAAAATAATGTCCCTGATTTCCTCAGAGAGCAGACTTTCTGAGTCAACCTGTGGGTGGGGCTGGGAAGATGACTCCACCCACCATCCCAGTCTCTGCCCACCAGATGTCCTCCAGATGTTTTAGAGTACACCTCCCAGCGGTCCCAGCTAGTGTGGTCCCTTGCGCCCTTGGCAAGGAGGTGCATCAACGCCGTGCTCTGGGGAAAAAACACACTTTACTGCAATAGCCACATGAGAAATTGCTACATTTGATGCGACCCAAATACTTTAAGCATCTGTCGTGAGGGTGAGGCATTGCACCAACCCCCCCTGAGCTCAGGCATAGGCAAGTCCACCCTCCTGTTCTCACACTTGTTTCCTTCTGTCTTCTAGAACCTTTCCAGCCTGAGCTGCCACTATGACACGGTGAATGACACCAACATGGTTTTCTGTGACCTCGGCAATCCAATGAAGGCAGGCACCAGTGTGAGTGTCTGCACTCCATGGCAAGGGGGTCTTGTTAGGGGCAGGTGGCTAGAGGACTCTTCGAGCCACTTCCCTGGTGCTTGGGGTGTGCTGGGAGAGCCTGGGATACCATAAGATGAGAAGTCAACTGTGGTGAAGGGATCTATGGTTATGGTGCGAAGGGGCCGCTCATTGGAGCAAGGCAAAACTGGCAAGCTGGGATCAAAGCCACTTTAATCTATTTGTGATAGGGGACTCAATGACAAAGTACGAGAGAGCTTCTGTGTCCTTTGGGAAGCTGCAAGCAGGGAGAGTGATGACACTCATAATAATGGGGAGAGCATATATCTGGGGCACAATGCCTTTTCCTTCAAGTGGGAGCTATCTGTTGGGGGGTTATTCATCCCACCCATGTGTGAGGATTAACCAATTAGGGTAGGGCTAGCTAAACTCACCCAGAATAGGAAGGTTGGCTCTACCATAAGGCAGAGTGAGGCCGCTGCCTCAGGTGACACAAGCCATTGACAGTGGAGAGTGGGGGGAGGGTCACAGATACTGACTCTTCTCTTTTCCGTATCTCGCCTAGCTCTGGGGTGGCCTACGCTTTACTGTGCCTCACCTTGATGCGAAGAAATCCATCCAATTTGACTTTCAGATTCACAGGTAAAAATGAGCCAGAGAATTCCCCCAAATTCTCCCCATAGCTGCCCCTGTTACCTGCCCCAGGACGGCGCATTGCAAGGAAGGACCAGGGATAAATGGGTGAGCTGATTTTTGGGGAGGCTTGTCTTCCGTTGCTGACAGAGCAGGGATTGGCAGCCTGTTGCTGGACTCCCATCGTCCCTGTCCGTTGGCCATGATGGTTGGTGATGATGGGAGCTGGAAGCCAAATGACACCAGGTTCCCCATCCCTGTGACAGAGGAACCGCAGGATTCCCCAGGGCAGGATTCAACTAAGTGCAGAACACGGTCCTCTTGTGCAAAGGAATTCCCCCCTCTCTTCCCCCTGCTCCTCTTTAATCCTTTCTGGGGGACGGGGGCTTTTTGCCCAAGTGGAATGTGTCCTCGCACTCTGGTCATGCCTCTTCCTTCCCTGGGTTGATGACAGAGGGGTGTGCATGCGTCTGTGTAAAAACTACAGAGGTACAATTTTCACCCATTGCTCTGCCCACTTTTGTCTCTGGCCCCACCTGCCTCAACCCCTTGGGGCTGAATAAAGGTCCACAACCCCTTTCCTAGCTGCTGCTTGTGTATTCTTCTTCTGTGCAGTGCTAGTCTTACATACAGTCACATATAATTATGTCTCTTTCACTACAGCAAGAACGCAAACAATTCCCACAGTGAGGTGGCTTCGTTCCCCTTGCGTGTCGAGGCTGCCGTTCATCTCAAAGCCCAGGGGTGAGTGTGATGCCAGAAGCAAAGTGTTTGGCATGGTCATTAATTGTTTTAATAAGAAGGTGTGAGGCCCCCACATCTCCTCTTCAGTCCCCAAAGGGTAAATTATAGGTCTTCCCTGGTGAAGCCCTGTCTCTCTTTGGGGGGGATATACACTCATGAAGTGAGTTCTGCTCATTCATTGAGACTTTCCCCTCTGCCTCCCTCTTTGCTCCCCCTAAAAATGTTGTGGGGGTTCCCTCAACCCTCTAGCTCATATTTGTGGGCGGTGTGGGGAGAGGAGAGGGGGGAAAGCCCTGGTTGAGCTAGAGGAAGCCCCTGTGTTGGCTTCTGCGCTCAGGACTAGTTAGCTGACTCTCACCCGATGCTCATATCCTTTGTAGAAGCCCCAAGAAGCAGGTCTAGGAATCCTGTCTCTGAAGTAGCACTAAGGCAACACTCCAGACACTTCGGTTTAGCTGGTTCACACTCAATCTCTTTTCCCCACGGGAGGCTGGGCTAGTCAGAGGATATCTGTGATCGTGGGGGGGCATAAGAGAGCAGGTGGTCCTTTAGGAACTTTGGACTTTGTGAATTAATACAAGAACCTTGAAGCTGCCCTGCAGTGAACTGGCAACCAGCACAGCCCTCTCAGCAGCAGAGAGTCGTGCTGCCAGTACTTCTTATTTACTTCATTTAATCTGCTCCTGTGAGCCACACGAGCTGTAGCTTCTGCATCAGAAACTCTTTTGTTTCAGTAAGTAGACAAATCCAAATACACATAAAGCATATTAACAAAAATGTTTGGTGTTTTATAGTGTTTTTAATATTTTGTTGGGCGCCACCTAGAGTGGCTGGGCAACCCAGTCAGGTGGGCGTCATGTTGTTGTTGTTAATTTACTATTTTTTCCTCTTGGATGTTATCATCACCTTTTTGAAGAATCTAGGTTAGCTGCCTTGAACATTTTATGGAGAAGCAATAAAAATATTTCAATAAATAAATGATACCAATGCCAGAGATCTTAGAATTTGATATTGCTGAGGAAAAGTGGGCTAGGAAAAGGATCTTCATTTTGAAATTACCAAAGAGAGATTTTTTTAAAGTTGCAATAAAATCCGCTGTTACACCAGAAAACAATACAATGCAACTGATGAGGGCCTTCAGGTTTGCAACACTAGTTTTATTGCAATTCTGTAAACTTTCGTAATTTTGCATTTTTTGCCATTTTGAATAGCCTAAATAATTCATAAGGATTTTGCTCTGGCCTGTTTAAAATTGCTTTTTCTTCTGCATGTCTGAGTGCCTTCCTTTCCCCTTCTATAGAGCATCCATGCCAGAGACAGTGTCCCTTCCAGGGACTGGCTTGCTCCCAAGTCGAGCGCTGCAACGAGAACAAGACGTGGGCCCCGGTGTGTGCCATGTCTATGAGGTGGGTGTTGTCCATGGACGACAAGAGTGCAAGGGTGGTGGCAGTTCATGCATGGGCAGGATCAATCTTGCTTTTGGAACCATACCTTTGCTTAGCAAGCAAGGAGGGAAAAAGGTGAAATTCTGAATCCTGTGCCCAGTGCTGTATTCTGTGTTTCTTCTGTGTTCCTGAAGAATTACGGCATGCACACTATCTCATATTCTTAGCTTTCAAGGTTTCACAAGGGAGAAATCTGTTGGCAGCACTGATAGCAAAATGGAACCTCCAGCATTAGAGGCAGTGTATCGTTGGATAATGGGTGCTAAAGGGCAAACTGCAGGAGAGAGTGTTTGCTTCATTCCTGGAAGCACCTGGCTTGCCACTATTTAAAACAGTACCAGTCTGTCTATCCTCCTTTCTCTGTGACCACTGGGCCTGTCCACCATGTTTAGATCATTGTGCTTGTCCCCCACCCCCATCCCTGCTGCCGCCTCTTTGGGGGAGGGTCTTGTAGCTCAGTGCTGGAGCATCTGCTTTGCCTGCAGGTGATGGGAAAGCTTCTCAGTCCTTGCAACCCCCAGAGAGCCATTTCCAGTCATAACAGACCACACCAAACCAGATGGGCTCATAATCTGACTTGGTGATGTAATGCAGCTTCCGATGTCCCTGCGATTTGTTTTCTTCCCATTTGTCCTGCAGTTTTTGAATGATGGGCCTAGTGCCATCAGCGAGGGGATCTTGGACATCAGCTGCCCGCTCCGGACTCAAGGGCGAGCTGTGATGTACATGACACGCTACGTGGCACAAGCCAACTGCACCTCCAGCCACCTCCTCAACCCGTCACGCCTGCAGGTAATGGTTGGTCAGCGGGCGGGAAAAGAAGCGACTCTGCAGAGGACTGGCCTGGGATGTGAGTTTGGGGCCTGGAGCTCAGCCCCTGCAACCAGGGACAGTGCAATTCCCTATCAGCACAGGATTAAAATGCTGAGTAGTAGGAGCATTTTTAGGTGGGTGGGGGAACTCAGCGTTCACAATGCAGAATGCCAGCCTCTCCTCCAGACAAGCCTATTTATTTAAGCATTCATCCTGATTTGGTTGCACGAAGCCTACAGAGAAGTTAGATTATGTATATCCTTTATTGGGCGCTCATTTTAATTTGTTTGTAGGGAGGTTCTATGACATTGAGTATTTTCTTGACTCCTTCCTGAAAACTCTGACAATCTGATGGCACTCCAGGTTTTGAACCTTCTTCGTAACTCATCCCCATCCTGTTCTGTGCCAGGAACCCTAATGCTTTGCCCCTTCCCCAACATTTCTCCAATAGCTTCTCTTGCCCCCTGGCACATATTTGGCCTTTGTAACCTGCCTCCATTGGTCGGCTGGAAAAGAAAAAACCATTAAGCACGGTGTCTCCATGACACACTGCATGCCTGCTTCTTGACACAGACAGACCCAGGAGCTGAGTTTCTTTTGAACAATGGGATGGGGAGGGTTTTTTGTTTTAAGTAAGAGAGGCTTGACTACCAGAGAAGGAGACTGCTAAACCTCAATGAAAGAATCAGCTGTTTTCTTATAAATTCTGTGCATCTCCTGTTGCACTCCTGCTCAGTCTGATTCAGCAGAACTCGTGGACATGCAAAGAAGCGGAATGTTAGTTCAAGGATGGAACTCAGTGATGGCCACCAGCAAGGAAGGCTTTAAAGAGGGATTGGACAAATTGGTGGAGGGTATCGGTGGCTCCCTCCTAGCCATGGTGGCTGTGCTAAGGCTATGCCTCCATCATCTGAGGCAGAAGGAGTTGTTGCAGGGGAATGGGGAGCTTAATGTGGGGGGAATGGCAGTGGGGTCGGTGAGTGGAGTGAGCAGAGGTGCAGCATCTAGAGTATATACTACGTCAACTGCATCACTGGGTCACAGCTGACTATAGAAAGGCTTGTACAATGGGCTCGTGACTATTGATAACTTATTTAGAAAGGTGCCTTCTTTCTCTCTTAGCTGGAGCAGAGCTCAGCAGCTTCACCTTGGCCAGAGCAGCACTATGTGCAGAAACAAGATGGAGTTTTGAACACTCTGGTAAGCCTTGTAGCTTCTTCAGCTGGAAAAAAAAATCACCCAGAGTGACCTACAGCAATCAGTTAGCTGCCCTCAGACTACATAACATGTAGGAAGAAAAACGTAAACTTGAGCACTTGCTCTTATCTAGAGAGCGCTTACAATGACCACCTGGAATGCGAGAGGAGAAGCCAAAAGTTGCTGGTCCAGCTGAGCTGATGGAGTGGTCCTGCTTCCCTTCTCTTCCTCCTGCTGCTGCTGCAGCCTGACAAAGCCCCTAATGCAGTGTTTCTCAGCCCTGGGTCCCCAGATGTTGTTGAACTACAACTCCCATCATCCCTGAGTTCTGGCCTTGCTAGCTAGGGATGATGGGAGTTGTAGTTCAACAACATCTGGGGACCCAAGGTTGAGAAACGCTGCCCTAATGCATCCCTTCCTCATGCTCTTCCGCAGCCTTTGCTCACGTAATGATTTCATGTGATTCTAAGGTCTCCGTCGGCATGAAAAGTTGTGTACAGCCCTTATCATTTCCCTTCCCAGCTATAGCTTTAGAGCAGGGTTCCCAAAGTGTGGAAGCAGCAAGGAGAGGAGGCTCTGCTGCCTTCAGAGGAGGAAGAAAACTGCAGCTGGGCCAAGATGGGGCTAGGTCCTGAGTGGGGAGAAGAGACTGACAAGGCATTTGAAAGGAGTGGAAAGTCAGTACATGGGAAGGAAGGAAGCCATGAGAAAGAGAGGGAAAGGCTGAGAGACAGCACGTGCAAAGCACATTGCAGTTCCTAAGCAACAGGCAGAAAAATCATTAAGTGGTCTGCCAAGACCCTCAACAATTTTCAAAGGGTCGTGGGTCAGGGAGAAAGTTTGTGAATCACTTAGACATGATGACTTTCCCCAGGAGTTACGCTTTAGTTATTAGAAGCACTGTTGCTGCATCCGATCGCTGCCTGTGGCCCTGGTGGCCTAACTGGGTTTCTGGGGGTGTTTTCAGCCTCAGGCTCTCTTCTGACTATGGTTCCTTCTTGTGCTGTAGAAATGCAATGACGAGGAGTGCTTCCAGCTCCGCTGCCACATGGGGGCAGTGCAGAGACAGAAAAGTGTCAGCTTGCGCCTCTACTTCCGCATCTGGTCCAAGAGCTTCCAGCTGGTAAGCACAGCACCTGCCGGGAGCCTCTTCCAGGCCTCACTTTACAGCTGCAGATTTGATTTCGGGGTTAAGAATCGACTTGAGAGAGAGGGAGATTGCTGGGTGCTGGCTGGCTTTCACAGCATCTGGTGTATTGTGCTGAAACCCCTGCCAGCTCTTCCACCTTTCCCAGACCCTCTTGCCTCCACTGGAAGGACACACCACACACACCACACTTCTTGACTTGGCTCAGCGGATCCACATGAGATCTATTTACTTATGATAAAGGCTTATATCCCGCTTTTCAAGCAAACAAGCCCCAGAATGACTTGCAACTGATGATAAGAATCAGAGCACTTATTTCTTGGTGGTGGAGCAATGAAGAGAGGCATGCAGCTGGTGTCTGTCTGTCTGATCCTCTCTTCCACATGGAAATGTTGTTTGCCTAAATAAAATAGTCACTGCAGGAAGCCTTCCCTTCCCCATACATTTACTTTTGCAGGCTCATCCCTTGGGAAGAGGGTATGGGGGTTTTTTTTGTTTTTTTTATGATATTTATTGGGGGGGGGAATTTTTAAATTACACAAAAAAAAGACAAGACAGAAAAAGAAAAAGAAAAAAGAAAACCATCATTCTCAAATTCTCCCCTTTCAATACCTTCTTTCTTTGACCTCCTCCTCCTCCCTTTTCTTGTATCCTGATTAATAATAATCGCAGCAAATCCTTTCCATAATTCATAGTATTCTGTCATTACATTACCTTAATCTATTTTCATCTTATCTTATAGAAAACCTTAAAGTTTAAAACTTAAATCTTATTTTTACCAACTTCTCCTAACCATAACATTCTTACCAAATTCTTTAGACTAGACTCCATGTGGTATTTAAAAACATGTTTCAGATTCCCTCCAAAATTGAGAGCCCCCACAGCTCCAAACATCTGACGGCCCATTGCCAGACTCGAAAAGTCCAAATCTCCCTGTATAGGGGGGTCTGTCCAACCCCCCATTTCCAAACCAAACCAAACTTTATCTTTCCAAGTCTGGTTTTTCCAAGTTCATTTGTCAAATCCAAAATTTATGTTCCTGCTGGGCCGCAGCTCCCTCCGTCTCTGGCGCCCAAGATTCAGCAGCATCCTCTTCTCTCAGCTGTTCTGTCATGGCACACTCCTGTTTTAGCTCCTGGGTGGGCTCCATATAATTTCCCACTACCTGTTCAAAGGTTCTGGCCGCATTAGTCATCAAATCCGTCTTCTGGCTTAACTGATCCAATAGGGCATTTATTTTGCAGAGAGCACCCAACAGTGCTTCTGAAGACATTGTCCTGCAAGGTCACAAATCCTTTCCCACGGTTGTAATCTGTGGCAGCTGCAAGCTCCCAGGAATTAGTTACAATTTCACAGTCCCCCTCTAGGGGGAAATCTTCTGATTGTTCTTTCTTTTAAAAACAATAGCAACAAAGTTTCTTTTTTAAGGTATTTTGTCCATATTTGTTCTTTTTAAAATGCGAAAGGAAACAATGGAATCACTATGTGTTCAGCGGTGGCTGAACAGCTTGGTAGGTTTCTGGATGAAACATCAGCTCTGGATCCATTCCAGTCTGGCTTCCGCGCTGGTCATGGGACCGAGACAGCTCTGGTCGCCCTAACAGATGATCTCCGCAGGCAGCTGGATCGAGGCAGGTCGGGGCTGCTGATTCTTCTAGACCTGTCAGCAGCCTTCGACATGGTTGATCACGAACTCCTGGACCACCGCCTTGCCGACGTGGGGATCCAGGGCACAGTCCTTCAATGGCTGCGCTCGTTTCTCTCCGGTCGGGGACAGAGGGTGGCGCTTGGGGGGGAATTGTCATCCCGCCACTCCTTGGTGTGTGGAGTGCCTCAGGGTGCAATACTCTGCGCGATGGTTTTGAACTTCTTTATGCGCCCCCTCGCCCAGCTTGTCCGGAGTTTTGGGCTGGGTTGCCATCAGTGTGCCGATGACACCCAACTCTATCTGTTGATGGATGGCCATCCTGACTCGGCCCCAGACACACTGACCAGATGTTTGGAAGCTGTGGCTGGATGGTTACGTGGAAGCCAGTTGAAGTTAAATCCTTCGAAGACAGAGGTCCTCTGGCTGGGACGGGACGATATGGGATTGGGGGGGCAACTCCCATCTCTTGCGGGGTGCAATTAGTGCCAGCACCGTCCGTTAAGAGTTTGGGTGTAATCTTCGATACCTCCCTCTCTATGGAGGCGCAGATTACAGCTATAACAAAGGCGGCATTTTTCATCTCCGCCAAGCTAAGCAGTTGGCCCCTTATCTCTCTCGCCCTGACCTAGCCACTGTGATCCACGCGACGGTCACCTCCAGACTGGATTATTGTAACTCGCTCTACATGGGGCTGCCCTTGAGACTGACCCAGAAACTCCAGCGGGTGCAGAATGCCGCGGCGAGACTCCTTATGGGGTCTTCGCTGCGAGATCACATTCATCCGGTACTATACCAGCTGCACTGGCTCCTGGTGGAGTACAGGATCAGGTTTAAGGTGCTGGTTTTAACCTTTAAAGCCCTATACGGCCTAGGACCCTCGTACCTACGGGACCGCCTCTCCTGGTATGCCCCACAGAGGAACCTACGGTCTGCAAATAAAAACATCCTGAAGGTCCCAGGCCTCAGAGAGGTTAGGCTGGCCTCAACTAGAGCCAGGGCTTTCTCGGCTGCGGCTCCAATCTGGTGGAACGCTCTGTCACAAGAGACTAGGGCCCTGCGGGACCTGACATCTTTCCGCAAGGCCTGCAAGACAGAGTTGTTCCACCAGGCCTTTGGTCAGGGCCCAGCCTGACCCCCTCCTCTGGCAACCTGCACAGAACTTTGCTTAACGGTTGCCATTAATTTGATTTTAATTTGATTTTAATTAATTTTTATAATGAAATGTTTTAGAATGTTGGATTATTTGATTGTTTGATTATTTGTTTGTTGTTAGCCGCCCTGAGCCTGGCTTTGGCTGGGGAGGGCGGGATATAAATAAAATTTATTATTATTATTATTATTATTATTTTAACTATCTGCCAAAGACATTTGTTTCTGGTCAATGAGCTTCAAACGTCAATTCTGACACCCCGCTCCAGGATCAGGACGGTGGAAAATTACTTTGCTTTAAACTCACTTCTGCAGGTTTAAACAGCCCAAAAAAGATCCCCCTTCTTCTCCTGCTGCCGAAGGGGGGTTCAGCGATTTTAAATGATGAAAGCCAATCCTTTGAAAGTGATTTTTAAAGCTCTAGTTTATGTTGTCTTTGCTTTATTCTGGCTACAAGGAAACGGAAGGCTGACTTCCTGTTTAGACCTTACCGTTTCAGTACCAAATTAAGGTAAATTTTAAAGTCCAAATTCCTTTCTATTTCGCCAGTTCTTATTTAAAGTCCAAATGTTCAATGTTCCAGTACTCACGGGTGGTTATTTTAGGTGCCAAATTGTCCCAGGAAAAAGGCAGCGCTCTCCGGCAACGGCTATGCGGCTTCGCTCCGCAGAAAAAGCAATTGAGTCCCAGCACTGCGCCACTTCCCCTCTTCGCCTGGAGCCCGTTAGTGGGTTCCTTTGCGGGTTGGGGGGGGCGCTAAGGGTGCCCGCCGAGTCCCACGGTCACAGGCTTCATCCGCCTGTGATTTCCAGAAGGGTCCCCGCTTCGCCGTAGCGGAAAATACCCGTTTCATGCGGAGCTGGTCCCTCCAGTTCAGAGGGAGTCCGCCATTACCGATGGCGCCACCCCGGAAGTCCGGGAAGAGGGTATGTTTGACTCCACACTAGGTCTCTTCAGAGTCAGCTGGCCACATACTAACCCAGGGCATCCCAGGATCTGGCCCTCACTTTTATTTTATCCCCTTTACACATTTGCAGAAAGAGAATAATCCCCACACCATACAGTGCGAAGCTGTCTACTACGTGCAGAAAGTGCCCTACAAAATCCAGCCTCTAGAGAAACCCACCGCTTACCTCAAGGTCAGTATTCATTACCATTAACTATTGTTGATGTTTATTGTTATAAATCCTTGGTCGTGGTGACAATAATAGTAGTATCCTGCTTTCAGGATGCAGATCTTTCCAAGGTAACTTACAAATAGCATTAGAATCACAAAAACCTAGCATGTCTTCAGGATCCTCACCACAGAACAGTTGAGATAGATGGAGAGGGGAACAGGACAGTTTAGCTGGAATACATTTTGTTGCTTTTCAAACAAGTAAAAAATTAGACTGCAGTCCTGTATTCCAGAGGTGGGAAACTGGATCTGACAGACTGGCCGGATCATTATCAGCACAGGCCAAGCCTGACGGGGGGGCGGGGCTTCCCACTTGTCAGTCACTTGATGTCACAATGACACTGGGTGACTCATTCTTCGATAGTGCTATGCTGCAGAAGCCCCAGTGATCAGCTGATGGTCAATGCTTGCAAAGCACTGTGCAGGGAGCTTTGCAGGTGCTGATGGTTAGCTGATCTATGGTGCCTGCAACCTCCCTTTGGGCCAGTTACGCCTTTGCCTGCCCAACATCTGCCATCATATATGACATCAGGGGACATGATTTGCAGGCCACTTGGGGGGCTGGGGACCCAGTTAGGCCCACCAGCCAGGGCTGCTGCACACACGTACTTGGGAATAGGTCCCATAGAACTCAATTGGGCCTTCTTTCAGCAAGCTGTTGAATCATGCTGTTGATCAAAGAGAGTGTTTTGCAGATCTTTCTAGATTGGATCAGGGTCCATCCATGGAATTCTGGTTCCAATAGGAGGCAGCCAGATACCTCTAGATAGACGCTCACAACCAAGGAATGGCCGCCTTTGGTGTTCGTTCCCTGTGCCTGATACTGAGGAGACTGTTCCTGTACATGAGGCTTCCACTTAACTTGAATGGTTGGCAGCCTCTGGATGCAAGACAGGTGATAACCTTATTCCTGCTTCCTTTCTGCTTCCTTTCTGCTGACAGGTGCAAACATCACTGCACTGGCCCAAGGCAGAGACCAGTCAGGGGGTTCCTCTCTGGATCATCATCTTAGCCATTCTGATTGGATTGCTGCTCTTGGCGCTGCTCATCTATGTTCTATACAAGGTGGGATAACTGAATTGGGAGAAAGGGGGGGGCAAGGTTCAGAGTTGGGGATAAGGTGTTAGAATCTCTGACACACCAGCTGCAAGTAGGACTGTAATGACTAAATTCATCAGCTTAGGGTGCTCCACGTTTTTATGCTAGACTGCTAAAAAGCTTTGCTTTCAAATGCTTTTTAACAGCAGTTTCTTGGCCTTACAGTTGCAGAGAGCAAGATGAACAAATAATAATAAAATTCCAAATGCCAGATGAACACTGTGCAGGATTTCAAGTGGTAATAATGGGGTGTGGCTTCAGCACTCTGGACAGCTCCTAGCCCCTCCTTTCTCTATTATTTCTAGTCCCTGCAATACCCACCCCGCACCCTCATAGACACTTTGAGTCATTTTTGCACATTGCACAGACCTAAATTCAGGTTTGCCATTGCCTGCATGCTCAACTGAGAGTTGCAGCTACACTGCAGTTACCTGGCTAAAGCACCTCCAACAGTTGCAAATGTGTGTTTTCTGTTTTCTGTGCAACTAAAAGTGTCATGTGTGATGTCATGTATGATACAGGCAGCAAGGAGCAATGTAATTCTGCCCTTCACATGTAGCTGCCGCCGCAAGGAATCTGGAGCAGCTGTAATGTGTGAGCCTCCCCCTCAGTCCCTAACGTTCCTAATTCTTGGATTGTGGAAATGAAAGACTTAGTGCAAACAACAACAAGAAGGAAAAAAGCATGACACATGTGAATCCATCTTTGGTCGCTTGATGATTACAACATGCAGTCACAATTTGCATGTGAGAATGCGCTGCTGCAAGTCCAACTTCTGTGTTTGCCCTGCATTTTGATGTAGTCAGTTCACATATTCAACAGAGACTTAGTGATTTGTACACTCGTGTGAATGAGTCTTAAGTGTGCTTAATTTTCATGATTTATTCTGCCTGCAGAGTTTTGGTTTATTTTTATTTTCTGCCTTTTTGCTATTTTGCAAAAAAATCTCAATAACTTTTGTGTTCGTATCTTCACTTTTTGAAATATGGCAACCCTAATTTCTGTGACTTGTGCAAAAACCTCTCTGCTTTTACCCTATGGGTGTTTCTAGTTTGGAGATCTGTCTGAAAACTAGCAGGCAGGATCTATAAGATGCAGTGGGCTAGAGTAGTGGATAGATTGGTGGAGCAGTCCCGCTCTTGTTTTGTACTGTTATGGGTAAACTATGCTGGGAATGTCTCCTGGGGGAGTTTTCCTTCTTTTGGTTGTCTCCCCATCACAATGAAGGTGAGTATGTAGAGATGTGCACAAAGCATGTTCATTGCAGTGGTGTTTGCCCCGGAGAAGATTCCTGGGTTGTACCTTTTACATTATAAGCCCTGATCTTGTCTCTGTGTTTCCTCCACAGCTGGGCTTTTTCAAGCGCTCACTTCCTTATGGCACGGCTATGGAGAAAGCTCAGCTGAAGCCACAAGCAGCTTCAGAAGCCTAGCAGGCCCAGCCTTGCCCTCCATGTAGGTGTGTTGCCGCTGCTGCCCTGCAAAGAGGCACCAGGATCGTCCGCTGTGAGCACTGAGAAGGGGAGCACAGCCAACACCAGCAGGGCAGGGCCACAGGCACCGGGTCCCACGGACTGCTGCAGAGGCCAGGCACCTCTGCTCCTCACAGAGAAAGAGGCTGCAGGCTCTCGAGGCCCAGCGCCCTCCTCTCCCCCGATTTCCCTGGGGCTTGGATCCTAGAAAACCCATCGTGCCCTGACTGGGGGTTGCAGCAAAGGCATTTGCTCCCAGCAAAAAAGGGAATACTTGAAGCCGCTGGAGCGGCCGGTGCTGGTCTGATCTCAGGCCCCCTAGTGTCAAGCTGTCTGTTCCGTCCATATGTGGGGAAGGGCGCAGTGCCCTGGACAGTTTCCAAGCTGCCAGTCTCCTCTGATAATAACCACAGCTTGGCTGAAAGAGAAAAAGAAGCACAATCACCTCCCGAGTCCAGCTCTTTCTCCGCCACAGGCCGGAACGAAGGATCCTGGGCTCTCACTTCCGGTCTTCCCCCCAGCCTGCTTCCTGTGGGGGATGATGTGGGACAGAGACTTAAGCTGGGAAAGCCAGGTGCTCCCACAATGCCAAAGATTTGCCACGTTTGGAAGCCAAGCCATCACCCGGTGTCGGCCCGGACTCGCCGACGGTCTTCGCACTGATCTCCAGAAACCGCTAGAGATTTTATTTTTCAGATGCCACTTTAATTAAAAGAGGATGAAGAAATGAGGAAGCTGCCGCTGCCTCATGGCAGAGACAGGGGTTGCCGAGTTTAATTTAAAATGTTCATGTGCAATAAATGCTTCCATATTTTCCACAATGCCTCTTTCCCCCCCTAATTAAGGATGATGAACTGCAAGGGGTTGAGAATGGATGAAAATCCCACTGTTGGTTCTTGTAGGTGAGGCTGGGAATTCTGATGAAAAAAAGCCTGAGTGAGATGCAGGAAGGGCTTCAGCGAGAAACACCCCTAGTAAGGGCAATAATAATAAGGGCGGCTCCCAACAGAATACTAAAAACCACAATAAAACATCAAACATTAATGCCTTTAGGCGTTTTCTAAGTCAGATAGTTGTTTATTTCCTTGACATCTGATGGAAGGGCATTTCACAGGGCAGGCGCCACTACAGAGAAGGCCCTCGGGGTGGGGGTGGGGGTGTTGCTGCCATTTGTGGCCACTGAAATTCAGGCTGTTGGGGAAGTTTTATATTTTCCCGGCATTTTAAGATCCCTATCTGGGCTTAGTGACCAGGTTCCAGGTTTGTTTGCAAGTTGTTTGTAATGAAAAAATAGCACTCTTACCAAGGAGAAACACGCCCCCCCCACACGCCCCCCCCCCAAAAAAACAGAATCCCAGAGTAAGTGGCACCCTGTGGGGGTGAAAAGGGTTCACTCCTGCAGACAGGGCCTGGGCCCACTAACGTCTTTGAAGAACACGTAGTGTCATACCACGGGTTGCAGACGCTTCAGGTTGCGTTTTTTTGGGTTATGGACGCACCGAAACCCGGAAGTACCGGAACGGGTTACTTCTGGGCTTTGGTGGTCACGCATGCGCAGAAGCACCAAATCGCAACCCACACAGACGTGGCACTGCGGGTTGTGAACTTGCCTCCCATACGGAACACGTTCACAACCTGAGCATCCACTGTACAGTGTAAGCTGGTTGTTTGGAGAATCGTGTTATTTCAAAACCAGCTTAAAATCCGTATTGTGACATTGGTTTCATCATTTTCTGCCTGGCAATACATTGTGAATCATGTTTGTGCTATGCAAAAATCACAATGTGGGAAAAATCGTGAAGCCAACCAATACATCACATCATTTAGCTGGCAATATGATGAAAACCAGATATCACCCAGCCCTAGCTGTCTCAAGGGAACTTACTGTGGACATTTTTCTAGACTCCATTAGAAACAGAAGCAGGAGTGATTATGTAGTATGAATTTGGATCTGAGACTCAGGTCCTCCACCTGTATGCCACATGTCATGTCAGTATTGCCTAGGAGTGTCAACTGGTGTCTTGTAAGTTAATAGATGAACAAGACACCAAGGGCCTTGCTTCCTGATCACCACCTACTTTGGTTCTGTGTTTCCATCAGTTTTCTCCTTAAGCCAGAACATGCCACAGCTCCCTAATTGCTGCATACCTCCTACACAAAACAAGTGATTCTTGGGTGCAGAAAATGAATGACAACATCTTTGTGTAATTAATGCTTTTATTAAACAAGGTCTGAGGTGAGAGGTTTGCTGTGCACAGACACCATTTGAGGGGAGAAAAAACACAAGAAATGCAGTCCACCCTCCTGACCCATTTACTCCACAAGTCCCATAGGAATGAAAAAGACTGCCTGGCTGCAATCCTATGGGTGCTTACATGGGGATGAGCCCCCCAAGTAATCATGCATATATAGGCCTATGCCTTAGCTCTACAAACTTGGGAGAGTCACTTGGGGCTCACTTTTGCATTAAATGTGGACTATTGGGGTTGTTAAATGCTTAACCAAGTGCCCCAGTCTAGTTTTTTTAACCACCACTTTGGCCCTGCAAAGGGGGTGGGAGTTACAAAGCCATCTCCCACATCAAAACCATGCTGGAGGCAACTAAAATGTAACATGGCAACTAAAATGTAATTAAGGTGTGTTTTAAGAATGAAATGCAGACATTTCTGCCCTCATCCAGCTAGACTGAGTGATACTGCTGCTCACATTCATTCCCTCTCTCAGTTTGGGGGAGTGAACGCACGCAGTACTTTTAAGGCCACAGTTCCTACCAATGCTTATTTTTATTTTTGTGTGTGTTTATTACTTAAAATATTTTTAAAAAAGCAAGCCCCATTGAATTCAAGTAGAACTTCCTTCCTAGTAAAAATGCACAGGGTTCATTGAGAAGTTCAGCTATGTCTACTGCAGGAGGAGCAACAGTGGAAGCACCACCACCAGCTTCCTAAAAGAAAGGTTACCTGATATCGTGCAAACCAGCTGGGTGGGCGATTCAGCATCACTTTAACTTGTCAGCTGTGGAAGGTTAGGACCAGGAAGATTTCAACACTTTCTAAGTTTGTGTGTGTCTGCATCTTTGGTAGGACCTATGAGTTGGGATTGGGGAGGTGATCCAACCGAAATCTCCTGTGGGTTCTACAGAGGCTCATCAAGGATTCCACAAAGGGGCAATCCCATCATGGTAAAAGAATCAAGCAAAGACAAAAGTCCTTGCATTGGAAGTTTATGTAGAAAAACATTCCAAGGAGGCAGAGAAAATTACCTTTGGGGCTGTTTCCATGTAGGAGACAGGACATTGCATCAAGCTTCATTACCCCTGGGTATAAGGCACCAAGGCAGCTCTATATTGCCCAAGGTTCTCTTTGGCTTACAGCAGGATTGGGAACAAGTAGCCCTCCAGACATTATTGGACTCCCATCACCTGGCTGTTGCCCATGCAGGCTGGGGTTGATGAGAGTTGGCAGTCCAACAACATGGGTTGGCCACAAGCCCTGCCTGCCTGCTCTGTACTATGAGAAGCTTTGCCTGCTGATTTCTACCATTCAACCTGTAGTTGAAGGTATAAGAGCAGTCCTAGCTTCTCTCCCTGCACCCAAAAAGTCACTGATAATAGTTCTTGAGTAAAACAGGAGTGTCTACAGACTTGCGGGGGGGGGGGTACTTAGAACATAAATCACTTGTGTATATAGTCAGGGTAGGTGGGAGAGGAAGGGATACAAAAAACTATATATGCATAGCCTAAACAGCACAAAGAAGAGATTTAACAACAGGTTAAGGAGAATCTCAGCTCTTTAGGTAGGGGAACTAGGGGAGAGAAAAATAGATGGAAAAACAGGGGGAGATGGCTTGAAATCTGAGTAGGAGCAACCACCCTGCAACATTTTGTTGCAGGTCCCCCTTGTGATATCTGATGCCCCAGCAAAGGTTGAGAAGAAGAAAATTGCTCCACTACCCCTTCTCCTGCCCTTTTCCCTCCCCAATCCTCCCATTGACCTTTTGACCTGGCTAGATGAAAGAAGGCTCATTGGATTTAAGGCACTCTAAACTGCTGGAGGTGGTTCTTTTGGGATGCAAACAGCATCTCAGTTGGACAGCACATCTGAGGACTCAGACACCAGCTTCCCATCCCGAGTCTCGATCTTCTTGATGACAATGGCCCTCGACTTGGTGACTGCAGAGCTCTCCAGCGGGGAAGAATTCATGGAGTATCCACCACTTGAGTATGAAGAGCTGTAGCCACCCCCATAACTACTGAAGCCACTGGACAGACCACCTGGGTGGGAACAAAGGAGTTTAATATTAGAGACAGAGTGGTGTTTCCAAACCCTAGACAAGGGGAAGAAGCTGCCCCAGCTAACAACATCTATAGCACATAAGAGCAGCCCTCCTCAGCCAGGCCAGTGGCCCACCTAGCCCAGCATCCTGTTTGCATGGTAGCCAACCAGTGCGCCTGTGGGAAGTCTGCAAGCAGGACCTGAGCACAAGAGCACTCTCCCCACTTGCAATTCCCAGCAATTAACAGTCAGCAATCACTCCGAAACTGGAGACAGAACATAGCCATCATGGCTAGCAGCCATTTACAATGATGAAAACTAACCGTTTTGTTAATCAGTTCCCAGAACAATGTGAGTCATCCATGCAACAGTGGGGCAGTCCTGTTAAAAAGTTTCCTCTGGGCATCCCAGGGTCCCCTTGGTCAGGACTCTGGGACAGAACTGATTTCAGGGCAACGGTGATGCTTCTGGGATCCCGCCCCCCGCCCATCATAACACAATCTGCATTGGGGAATTATCAGCCTTAATCCCCCCCCCCCTCTGGGGTGATATTGCTGCTCCTATTATTGGCAGAAACTGGGGAATACATGACACAGGGGGCCTCCCAGCTCCTTCAAGCATAGATAGGTGGAAATTTTGAAAATATATGGTATCTACTATCAATGGAGGTTGGTTAACTGGGACAAATAGTGCCCTGCCCACTGCTCAACCTGCCAGGCAGCCCTTTTCAGCCATTCCAGGAGTTGCACTGGCTGTCAACCTCCTGCCCATGTAGAACTCAGAGGAGGATGAGGACCAATCTAGAAGGAGTTGGCTTTGCCTCTCATTGGTAGCGCTGGCTATATCTGCTTTTCAACTGGTGTATCACCAGCAAAGCATTGTGATATAGAAAAGGGAAATCTAGTTGCCATGACTCTTCCATGCCTCAAAACATAACCCCGTGGATTCATCCTATGCCTCTATTTCAATGAAGCTGCAAAGTCTGCTTACCTGAATAGCCGGTTGTTTTGGTCTGAATGCTCATGTTCTGCATCCCTGACTCCAGCCTGCAAAGTGGGTGGAGGGGAAGACACAGCAAAAACACGATCAGCAGGCAGGGACAGAAGAAGAAGCAGGGACAAAAAAATGGAACTGCTAGAAGCAAAAGTCTATGTGGAAGTGGAAGCATTTGTCTATGTGCCGGCAATCCCAACTGCTGCACACCCATGCAAGGACAGAGCACTGGAGCATATGCTGCTGCCAGAATGCACTACTGGTTGTCGGGGGTGGGAGGAGAGGGGGCTCCAGAGAGTTGGGGGTGTTTGCAGGTGTATTCTGCAACATGCCATTGACAAAATAGTGCTGGATGCTTTACAGGTGAATTTCTACTGGACAGTCCAGTCCATTCTGCATTATTGGTCGTTCCACTAGCTTTCAGGAGGGGCACTCTGGCATTAATAATCAGTGTAATAAAAGGAGGACAAAGAAAAGGCATCCCAGAGGAATTGCAGTATAGTTACTACAGAAGAAAGGGAACATGCACCAACTGGAACAAATTAGTACATTAGCCCCCAAAATTTTTGCAGGCACAAGCAGTACTGGAAACTAGATCCCATATGACCACCCCAATGCCACCAAGAGCACTTTTTTTTTTTAGAAGTACACATGTCAGAGCCCTGTCTTGGCACCCACCTGTTCTCTTCTCCTTCCAGAAGCTTCCTATAGGTGGCGATCTCTATATCCAAAGCCAGCTTGACATTCATCAGCTCCTGGTATTCCCTCAGCTGGCGGGCCATGTCTTGCTTGGCTCTCTGCAGGGCAGCCTCCAACTCAGACAGTTTGCTGCTGGCATCCTTTACGGCCAACTCCCCACGTTCCTCAGCCTCAGTGATGGCAGCTTCTAGATTAGCACGCTGGGGAGGAGAGGAAAAAAGGAAGAGCCCAATGGTTTTCCCATTTGCAAGAGAGACATTCAGCACTGCCTGTTAAAATCCCAAAAGCCAGAAGCAGCAGTGCAGTGCTCCAGAGTGCATATGGGTATGTGCATATGTGTGTGTGCCAAAGACTCAGTCCTATTTCTGCCTCTGGGTCCCTGTCTCCAGTGTCCTGGAGCTGCCCAGTCTGCATGAAAGAAAGGGAAGTTTTTTCACCACTGAGAATAACACAGTCACAATTGAAAGGAGGCGAGACAGCCACTGAGGACTGGCTCCTAGGGTCTCTCTGGAAAAGAACACTGAGGAGGAGCTGTTCTGTCTGCTCCAAAACCAAGCATTTAGGAGCACTGAAAACACTAGGTGCTTCAGTTTCAAGGGAAATGGTGCACTGCAAGTTCTGCCAAGAGCAATGGAACTTGAAGGAAAGCACAACCAATATGATATTGGAGCAATCAAAATCATTTGCCTATGTACAGGTAGGTGGTTTAGTTCCATGAGGTCATAGGCCTGCCTCTTTGGCTAATGTTATTATATATGGCACTGTATCAATCACAAACATTGCCTCCTGACCTGGCCTTTCAGACCCTCAATTTCTGACTGTATCCGGTTGATGATCCTGTTGAGCTCGTTGATTTCATTCTTGGTGTTGCGGAGGTCATCTCCATGCTTGCCCGCCACTGACTGGAGCTCTTCATACTACAGGGAGGCGATAAAAAGAGAAATGTGACAACTTCCAAAAAAGGTGGTTGTCAGTAAAAGGCGAGGGTCAGAGAATCTCAAGAATCCAGCAAGGGAAGACCCTTGCAGACACTCAGATGGAGTGCTCTGTTACTACTGCCATGACAGACAGATTAAACACTTAAAACACACACACACACACACACACACGAGGGCAACCTCTTAAACATGGAGATGTTTAACCCTCCACAGCGGTGACCCTCCCCCAATGCCCTAATGTTGCAGTAAGACTGAGGGGGGAGTCTTCCACTGGTGAGCGGGGGGGATGCTGCAGGTTGGGTGGGTGGGTGGGTCCCCTCTCTTCCCCACCAACCAGGGAATAGAGCAACTTTTCTCAGATGTTCTTGAACTACAACTCCTATCACCCCGACCCCTGTCCACTTGCTAGGAATGATGGGAGCTGTAGCCCAACAACATCTAGGGACCAAAGACTGAGAAAGGCCTATTGACCTATTGACATTTCAGAGCAGACATGAGTCTAACATAGCATACACACCATACATTTAAAACACATTTAAAGCACTCCCGCCCCTTTAAAAAAGGAATCCTGGGAATTGTAGATCTGAGCAGGGTAAGCTACAGTTCCCAGCATTCTTTGTCAGGATGTTCTAGATGTTGCAGTGTGTAATGCAGCCCAGGCACAAAACAAATTGGGGGGGGGGGCAAGTCTCCTAAGCTACCTAAGACGTCCCATTGGAAGGGCTAAACTAGGGTCAGCCCCTGAAGTTCTTGGAGAACAGGTACAATACGAATGGGGCAGGTCCTCTGCATATGCCTCCTGCAACTTCCAAGAAAACTGGTAGTACACTGGAATGGCTAAGAGTATGAGTCACAATGCAGAAATACTTCCTAAATCTCACTACAGCCACAAACTCTCCTCATGTGGCCCTAGGCAAGCTATTATCTCTTAGCCTCACCTGCTTCCGTCTGCAACACAAGGATGATCATAGTAATACAGGGCTGTTGTCCCTGAGATAATATATATGTTATGCACATTGCTCATACTTTATGTCAAATTATGATGATTAACGTGATTGATGTCAAAGGGCAACTTTCCACCCATCATTATCTCAAATACTGATGCTCACCAGCATGCGTTTGGCAGCCCCACTCCCATCATCCACCCCATTTGCAGATTCTAGGATTAAGGCAGTTCACTTTCCATTAAAAAATATAAATCCATCAGACAACATAGAAGCCAGGAGATGCAGCACATGGAGTTCAGGGGCATTTCAGAATAGAATACACCAACTCTTGTCAGAACACCCTTCTGCAGGTTATGCCAGTAAATGGCAGTTGTTTTGGCAACCCTACCTTATGCAAAAACTCACAAAATTCAGGATCCTTTCTAACAAATTTCACATGCAAAGTTAGCTAATCTACTGGAAGGACACTAGCCCTTGGTATTCTTGCCAGCAGTCTATACATACATTCCCCCTCCAGATGTTGCAGATTTCCTCCATACTCGGAGTCCAAGCAGATTATTTTGCTAGGATTGTTGCTTTTTAATCTGAAATTATGGGGCAGTGTTTATCAATTTACCATAAAGGTGGCGCAAAACAAGGGTGGAAGCATCATGTTTCAATATAGTCACACCATTTCAATTATGTTATCTGAAGCTGGCTGTCTTTCACTAAGAAGAACAGATGTAAACTTGTTGGCAATTCAGGATTTTAGAAGGCAAAGATTTACATCCTTGGCACTTCACTCTCCCTGGCCACACAGCATGAACGTGATGTGAGGACTGTGATGATAACACAGTCAATAGTTCGCTGAGTACTGGGGGTGAACGAGTCAACCTATTGCAAATAAATATGAAAATCCTCAAGCTCATTCACATGAAGTTTCTCACCATTTACTGGGGTTTCATGTCTAGCTAGAAATACCAACAAAAAACATTGAGAAACACAGATCAAAAGGTCCCCCCCTCGTAATATGCCAATTTGCACCCTAAACAGGAAGGATTCCTAGCCCAGCCAGGAGTAAGCAAGGCAGGGGGCTCACCTTGATCTGGTACATGCTCTCTGCCTCAGCCCGGCTCTTGGCAGCTATTTCTTCATACTGTGCTTTGACCTCAGCAATGATACCATCCAAGTCCAAGCTGCGGTTGTTGTCCATAGACAGGACCACAGAGGTGTCGTTGATCTGAGACTGCATTACACGCAGCTCCTGCATGGAGAGAAAGTTGGAGGCAATTTGGTATTACCATCATTAATCATGATCAGGAAGCAAACAGCCATGAGGAACCAAAAAGGCCTTCAAGAACATGAAGGGGCATTTTATCGTGCTTGGTGGACATCTTAAAAAAGCTTTAAAAATTGATACAAATACATTAATACAGAAGATTTTGAGGGTTAATATTCAACTGGAGCCAGAACTCCTCCTGCTGGGACTAATAGGATACACAACTAGAAAAAGATTATGGAAGATTATTTCAATATTTGTTCACAGCAGAGATTATGCTATATGCACAAAGATGGAAGGACTTACTATTAACTACTATGGAAAAATGGTTATTAAAATTATTGGATTTGTCAGAGATGGCAGAGTTGACGTGTTCAGAGAAAAGTCATTGTTGACATTTATAAATCATCAGGAACCTCTTAGGGACTTTTTACTGTGAAAAGGAAAATGGAACTTGTCTGGATATCTGGGTTTGAAGACTGAAAAAAAGGTTGGTTTATGGAAAGTAGAAGAATTAGATGTTATTCTGGAGCAAGTGTTTTGCGTAAGTCTATATACAGCTGATACAGAATCAGAAGTCTTGTCCTTTCCTTTCCTCTTTATTTCCTCTCAGTTTTTGTTAAAAAATGCTTGGTACTTGATGTTAACTTCTGTACATCATCTTTTCTTTTTCAAGCTTTAAATTTAAAAAAATTCTTATGCAATGAACCAAGAAAGGCCTCAAAGTACATGCTCTGCCACAAAGGCACAGCCCTCTTCTCTGCAAGAGGTTTCAACAGTTAGGGTCAGGGATAGGGATGTTGGGCTGCCACACCTATCATGGGCAGTTGTCAGGAATGATGGGAGCTGGAGTCCAACAACATCCAGAGCGCCCCAAGTTCCCCATCCTGGTTCTACTCCATCACCTGTACTGAGATTTCCTAGGCCATGTTATTAGTGGTTAGAGCAAAGTTTCCAAGAGTCCAGCTTCCTGGAAGAAAGCAAAACACTTTGCCCAACAATGCCTTCAGAGATGCAGCCCAATAAGGTAAGTTTTGCTAAACTTGAGCCACTGGAAAGTCAACTTTAACGGTATTGGAAGGAGGAGTTTCTTCATGTGTCAACACACTAGTAAGAGTAGCTAAAACCTTATTGAGACCAGGGCCCAGGAAGCTAAAAAGATTTTCAGCATTAGACATGGAGGTGGAAAAAAGATTTGCTATGAAGTTTAAAGACCCTGATAGCCTCTTTACACAACAAGTCTGGAGGTGGCAACACAAGAGCAGGCCTTTTTTGCAGTGGCTCCCTGTTTGTGGAAAGCCCTCCCCAGGGAGGTTGGCATGGTACCTTCATACACTTTTAGGCGCCAGGCAAAAACGTTCCTCTCTAACCAGGCCTTTGGCCGATTGACATGCAATGCCCTTTCAAAATGTGTGGGGTTTCTTTTGTGGGGAGGGGTATTGGGTTGTTCTTGTTTTTATTTTGCTTATGTATTTTGTGTTTTTATATTATTTTGTTCTGTTCAGAGACCTGTGGGTATGGGGCAGTAAACAAATTTAAGAAATACTAGTAATAATTGCAGTCCATGGATATGTCTGGGCTGCCTGTTCTTATTTTACAGGTTCCCCCTGGTATTCCCAAGCAGAATAGGAGGAAAGCCCATAGGAACCTGCTTTGTCCTGCACCAGACGCTTGGGTCCATCTAGTTAAGTAATGTCCATGCCGACCAGCCACAGGGACATGACAGGGATTGAACCTGGAAGCCTTGGTACGCTGGCCATTCTGTTTCCTTCAAGGTGATGCCTACCTCATCATACAGCTGCCTCAGGAAGTTGATCTCGTCTGTCAGGCATTCCAGACGGGACTCCAGCTCAACCTTGTTCATGTAGGCCTCATCCACATCCTAAGGAGGTAGAGCACAAGCCACCATTATAATTAAAGACCTCTACGAAGTTGTCACAAAGCATAATAACCACTAGCTAGGAAATCACTCACCTTTTTCAAAAGGACAAACTCATTCTCCTTCTCAGTACGATGGTTGATTTCCTCTTCATACCTAAGGGGAAAAGGAACAGGATGGATTAGTTTAGGTGACAAGTGAGCCTAGAATGGCTTCATTTAAACCAAGGCCACATGCTTTTGGTGCAAAGACTGCTTTGGGAAGCATGTGCGGAGACACTGTATTTGAGCATGTGCAGAGTAGAGTGTGCATATGCCTTCTCCTAAGAAACTCTAAATATCCCACATGCAACCCCAAAGGACCTCTAAAACAGAGGAATCAGACATCATAAACTTCCTACCAAGGCTCAGTCCCAACAGCTTTAACTTCCCAAAATTAGGTTTCACCTGGTTCAATTCACAAACCAAAATTAAGGTGACACTCAGCTAGCATCCCGTTCAATTAACAAGCAGAGCCACATCCGGATGACCACATGATCTTCATCCTCTGGTGCATAGGATTGCAGCCTCTGTCTTCAGGTGCAATCCAATCCCAGCTGTGTTCCTCTTTATAAACCACCCCCTTTTTCAACATGTTATTCCAGTCTGTTTTCTCTTCCTCTTTTGTGAGGCAAGGTGCATGAGTGGCAGACACCACCACAGACATAATATATGCCAAAAATTCATGGAGACGGAGATCCTAATCCTGTTCTGGAGATTGCTCAGGAGTGGGTTGTGGTCTAATCACCAAAGGCTGCCTAGCTCCTCCTCTGGGTCAGAGATGTCTCCTTGGAGTTCCTAGGTACCACACCCCTGCACCCTCCCAGTCCCAGGAAAGCTCGCAACCCTAATGAACAGTATTCCCTTCACTGTCAAGTATGTCCGGAGAGGCAGGCAGGGTGTCCATATGTGTCAGCCTCATTTTGGAAATAGTCAGACACTTGCAAGACTGGTTCGTTCACCCTGCTGGTGGTGCACTGCAGCAGCTGTAGTTGTGCTTGGTACAAGGAAGAAGAGAAGAACAGCACACTCAGGTAACATGGTGTGTACACTTGACTGAAGAGTCGGGGGGGGGTAAAGCTACCATGTGCAGGTTTATGACCCAACCATTTTAAGATTCTGCAAAAATGTCTTCCATCCGTTACTTCCTCTTAAAGGGAACAATTCATTTCAAGTATAGCATTGTTTAGAGATTGTTTTTTGTATGCTTTTTAATTCTCATTTCTCCAGAAGCTTTGACGCATCTTAGAAACATAGGGTTGAAGATCTTAAAGCAGTAAAATAGTCAGCATACAATCTGCCCTTCTCATGTTGTAAGTTTCTAGAGCCCCACTCCGCCTTGAGAGTGACCACAGGTGTGTGAAGAGGAATGTTGGGGAAGCAGATGACAAGAGCATTTATTTGCTCCAACACAGTTGCTCCCTGGAAAGAATTCCTCTCCTCCCATCTTAAAATTATATTAGCACCAATCAGGTTCCTTCTTCGGCAGCGTTTGCTAACGTTCCTGATTAGAGTGGGGAACCTGGTTAGCACGGACTGCAACCCAGAGACTGGGACTATTACATCTGCATTAATCAGACATATGGGCAGCAAAAGGTCATTGTCAGGAAAACAGATCCCAAGCCATCAGACACCACTGCCAACTTTAATATAGGGAGCGATTCACATCACTGATGTGGACTAACAACTTTTATGTTAAAAAGAAGAAATGCAGTAACTTCAGGAAGCCAAATAGTAGAGCTGATTCCAGAGCAACTATGGAATTTTCACAGCCTTGACAACAGGCGTGACTCAGGTTTCGCTTAATGCTGTTTAGTCAGAGGAAGATTAAATAATGAAGGTGCAATAACCCAGCTGCCCCCCACTCACCTAGTCTTGAATTCTTCTACAAGGCCCTGCATGTTGCCCAACTCAGCATCCAGCCTCACTCTCTCCTGTCCTAAGCCATCCAGCTGCCGGCGCAGGTTGTTGATGTAGGCCTCAAACATGCCATCCATGTTGCTTCGGGTGGTTTTCTGGTTTTGCAGGAGACTCCATTTGGTATCCAGCATCTTATTCTGCTGCTCCAGGAAGCGAACCTGGAGGCAAGGGGGGAGAACAGAAGGGATTCCATCCAGTTAAATACTCAACATAGAAAGCTCACTTCTGTAGAAGTCTGCAGTCTCTTCCACCTGTTTCATCAGATGCCAAAATGGTGCAATCTTCTATCATCTCACAGTTGGCACACCCCCACCATATATTTAAAGCAATGGCTTCCCAAGGAATCCTGGGAGTTTACCCCCAACACAGAGCTACCAACCACACTAAATAAATTTCAGATCCCAATATACTTTTTTGCAGGGGGAAGACTACCAATGGCTACTAGCCATTGTTGAAACACCAGTGACTGAGAGGACCTTGCTGCTTCTGCAGATCAGAAATGACTGAAGGGCACATTCTTAAAAGGCCTCGGGCCAAATAAAAGACCTTTAGACTACCAGCAGGCCTCTGGTTAGGAGCTTGACAGCTGTTGCCCACGTTCATCCAACACCCTAAACAGATGGTCAATAAAAGCAGCTTAATTTCAGCCTAAGATGTGTGTGTTAATAAAGGTTGTCCAGGATACAGGAGAAAGCTTTTTAGTTCAGAGTGCCTACTGTTTGCCAGAGGTCTTCCCCCTTTTATACATTTGGCCTTGCATGTATCACTCCTTCTCCCTCACCCCATCCTCCTGCAGTGAAGAGTGGGCCCATAATGGAGACCACTTTCAAAGCTCCCTGTGAAAAGTTTTTTTCCACACAGCAAAAGTTCAGCCCACTATCATGGATCAGAGAACTTTATGAAGGCAAACTTTTCAGCAGCACCAACATGGGGGGGGGGGGAATCTGATCAATATTACAAGCTACAAAGCCACATAGCAACAACTGCCAGAGGAAGCAATTAAAAGCAACTGCCACTTGGCAACCATTTTCATGCTCTCCAGCAAAGGAAGCAGGGCGAACTTCCTATTTGTCTTATACCACTTCCACAAGCCTCGCTTTCTTTCCCCACCACCACCATTAGGGTTTCCATATTTCAAAAAGTGAAAATCTGGACACAAAGGTTATTGGGCTTTTTCTGTAAAATCTAAAAAAAATAAAATGTTTTTGAGCTATTTTAAAGGAAATTTGCCAAAATCTACACTTCCAACATGGGTTGCCATATGTCCAGATTCTCCCGGACATTAAAGCGATTTATGCGCAGGCGCGGTTTCCAACAGCCGAATCCTGGCTATGTTCGGGAAATTCCAGCAGCCCTAACATGAACAAAAGATTCTGGGAGTTGTAGTTTGTTGAGAGTAATCAATTTTGAATTAGAGGTTCATTGCCCCGACGTCAAAGAACTACAGTTCCATGGTTGTAGTGGCAAAATGCTTATTAAAGCCAGATTTAAGCATATAAGATTACCCCCAGGTGATAATACATACAGGTGAGTTGGCATTGCTGGTGTTTAGGTTGTATGCTTAATCTGAGGCAGCGCTAACTAAGACTTAGACCTGGAAGCCATTTTTAAACGCAGAATGCAGAAGCGCTGTCAGATGGCAAGTAACAACAATGGAGTGAGTGTCTTTGTGTACACCTTCTAACCACAAACAGTAGAGTCCTCAGTGTGGAGAGAGTTGTATTTGGGCTCATCCACACTTCCGCTTGAGCCCTTCCTAGAAAACAGGTTCAAGTGGTTTTCCTGCTCCCTTCTCAGGGAAAATCCACTCTTTTGCTCTAAATTACACCAAACTTCAATCTGGGGGAAATTACCTTTTGCTCTGAGTGCTAAAGAGCTATTTTCCGGGGGGGGGGGGGAGCAGTGGGACTAGAGGAAGTGTGGATAAGCCCTCTTGTCTAACCTTCATCTCTGTAGGTTCCAGACATGAGAAGCTGCAGCAGTGTTAGAGCTAAAAAGGTGTGGAGCCAATTGGTGACTCCTGTATTATTTATTATTAACACTAATAATTACCCAAGTCCTGTCTGGTTCCACTCAGGTACCATCTGGTGCACATTCAAACACCACGCCTGGTCTCTTAATACACCCGATTTAAAACTCTGCATCTTTTTGTAGGAAACAGAGGCCTGACATGAACTGAATGCAAAGGAATCCAATTAACTGAAAGCATTCCTGCAAATTCGGAGACAATACAAAAATTGGAAGGGCCCCGTCCAGGTGTATCAAGGAGCCTGCCACAGGCTCCATGCAGGAACTTTTGCAGAAAACTATTATAGGCGAGGAGGACCTTCCAAATTTTGCAATCCAGTCTCTGATATTCTTTAGTAAAAACTTGGCATAGCCAGGAATGCACATGGAATTCAAGTTGGTGGTTCTCTCCCTCTTCCCATTCTGCTTTAGCATAAGTGGTGCCATACAGAAATAAGGCTTCCACTTTCTAACTCTGCTTATAAGAGTTCAGAAGCTGGCTGCAGGATCAAAGTTTGTAAGCTCCCTCTCCTCAGCTTCACCTCTCATACCTGCATATTTCCTCCCTCCTATCTGCTCCTGCAATGGCCCTGACTTTGGCAATTGGTTACATCAGGCTGAGGATAGTTAATGCTAGGGGAAATGCTTTTACTCTTCCTCCTTTGAGGAAGTCTGAAGGCTTCTACCCACTAGTATTCAAAAGAGACATTCGGAAACCCAGCTCACAGGAAGCTGCCCAATAGGAGTCAGACCACAGGGCAGGACCAAGGGCAGCTGTCTTCACATTTTCACTCCCAAAAGGAGAAAGACCCACAGGAGGGTAAACAGGAATGCCACTACCTAGAGTGCATGCTGGGGTCCCCAAGACTGCAAACAGCCAACGAAGAATCCACAGGGGAATGGATGTCTAAATGGGACCCTTACCACTGGTTAGCAGGCAGCCTTTCAAAGCTTGCTTCTAATGATTAGTGTTAGCCCAGGGTCAGGGTCAGTGAGAATGAAACTTTTGATCAAGGCTGAGAGCACAGAGGGAATTGTGAATGGCAGCAGCGGGAGACAGCCCAATCCTGTAACCACTCCTGACAGATAGACTATAATTAGAGAGTGGAAACATTATGGCAGCACCTGGCAAAATAGCTCCTGAGAAGTAAGCAGCACAGAGTTAAATGGAGCTTACTCCCAGGTGGTTGCATAAAGGTTTGCAGCCTCAAAAGGCACCTTTAGGAAAGCCCCATCTGTTGGCAAACAAAATTGCTCATAACCTTTGACTAAGGCCTCTGCAGAAGGGGGCAGCTTGCCCTTCCATCCAGGGAGGGCATTCAATGATATATGGTGAGTCATTGATAGAAAATGTAATTGAGGACCTTACGGTTTCCTCTCTTTCCCTACCCACGTCCTTTTTAACCAGGAAAGTAGACAGAACTTTTTTTGTGTAGTCGGCTCTCACACCTGTAGGAGGAGCCTTCGCTTGTTCATCACACACCGGACCAGCTCTGATTCCCCCACCACGGGGGTGAGCAAAGTCCAGGAAACTTTCAGCCCATGAATGTGCTCTTTAAAAGCGATCTTTAGCCTCTCGTTTCCAACACAGATTCCTGCGCACCACCCACGAGTAGAATCCAGGTTTCACTTTCTTTGCCTGCACAGCAAAGGCCTCTCTTGTGCTTCTCCTTCACTGTAAAGGCTGCCATTTGCCTAATTCCCTTTCCTCCATCTCACACCTGGGTACACACACCCTCCTTCATGAAGGATAGATCAGCTGACAGAAGAGGTGCGAACTTTTAGAGGTTCCCTCACAGGTCGATTCTAACCGACTGCTTGGGCTGCCACCCTACAGCTTTCCACCTCCCTTCTCCTCATGCAACCAGGCATGAAGCTCACCATTTAATTTCCCCCATCTTATCTGGGATTGTGTGCTCCTCGGAGCCAGGGACCCCTCTTCCCTGTGTAAGGCGCTGGTGGTGCCGCGTCAATTAACCCCACAATAACACACAACCAAATCAGGGAGTCCTCTAGTCCCGTCCCCCCCTCACTTCTTCCGCGCGCCCCCAGCGTCCAGCGTCCCTCTCCCGCCCCCGCCCGAGGCCCCACCTTGTCAATCAAGTTGGCGAACTTGTTGTTGAGGGTCTTGATCTCCTCCTTCTCCTTGGTGCGCACTTGCTGGATGTTGGGGTCGATCTCCAAGTTGAGCGGCGCCAGCAGACTCTGGTTGACGCTGACGGCCGTGATGCCGCCGCCGCCGCCGCCCAAGGACGAGCTGCTTCGGAAGCCCCCGCCGCCGCCGAAGCGGCTTCCCCCGTAGCTGGAGGAGGCATAGGAGGTGCTGACTCGCGAGGCGCCGACGGGGCCCGCCGTGTAGGAGCGGCTGCTGAAGGAGCGCGCGGGGCCCGCGGAGGAGCTGCGGAAGGACGAGGTGGACGTCGTGGTGGTCCTCTTCATGGCGGCGCCTTCGGGGTCGAGCGGAGCGGGAGGAAGCGGGAGGAAGTCTGCAAAAGGCGGTTCGGGCGGCGGGCGGGCGCGCCCCTCCTTATATGCGCTGCCGGGCGAGGGGGCGGGCGCGGTCCTGGCCGAGCGCGGACTCGCCGCACCTGAGTGGCTTTTTCGAAAGCAAAGGGGCGGAGCCCGGGCCTGCCTCGCCACGGGGGGGGGGGGGCGCACCTGTTTTAACCCTTCTCTCGCTGGAAGGTAACCCCGAGCAAAAAGAGAACCCTCTCTCCCCGCTCGAGGCTTCCCTGCGGCCGAGACGCCCACAGAGGGCAGCAGGTGCCCAAGTTTGTCCAGGGGACCCTCCCTTCTCGTTCTTGGGGAATTGCCCAAAAAGGGCCTCTGCAGCTGGAGCTCTTTAACGCGGCTTTCCCCGGACATTTCGACACCTGGGAGGAACGTTTTCAGGTGTGGCCCCGCTCTGCTAAGTGGAGACCGGGGGTGTATGTCTGCGCGGACTTGTAAATGGGAGCAAGGCAAGCCAGTGAATATTCAACTTCCACTGGGAAGTAAAAGAACAACTTAAAAGGAATAAGCTCCTGAACAGCAAAGCAAAACACCTGTTCAAGATTAAAAAGGTATATCTTGCAGGTGTTAATAGCCATACAAGTACAAAAGATCCCCCCCTCCCGATAAAGACCATATTAGAAGGAAGGAAGACAATTTTAGTTAAAGCTTTGATATTTGTCTCTGCTTTTATCCTGGTTTTCTCCCCATTCTTGTTCTTCATGGAAATAACTCCTTGTAATCACCATACTTTCTGTATTCCAATAAAGTTGACGTTAATAATAATACCCCAAAAAATTACTGAGGGGACAAACACAATTTCAGATCGCCAGCTACTGCCTTTAAAGAGCAAATGAGGGGCTAAAACAGATATGAGGTGGGATTTCTGTATGCAGATCTTCCCTTGTTAGTTCTTCAAATTTATTTCAATGCAGAGGCAGGCTTGTCTTTTGTGCTACAAACTGATGGTCCAGAAAGTTCTTTGATGTGCAAATCTAGCTGCTAATTACCAGCTCTGACAAATGTACCTTGTAAGAGCATAGGCAGCATTGCAGATTTACAACACAATCCTTTGCAGATTTACCTGTAAGCAGCATTTGCTTTTTGTAAAAACTGAGGTGCTGATACTAATATTTTGATAAACATGCTGAGGGTGCCAGTACAAAATGGCTGCCATTGACAACACAAACACAGGTGCCAGAGGTTGGCTGAGTGCCCCTTGCCCCCTCAAGCAACCAGAGATTGTGGCAAACATGGGCTTAGAAACACTGCAGAGCCTCAGTCCCTTTCCGCAGTGGTCACAAGGCATTTGGGCATCTGAGGCAGACCCCCAAACAGCAACCCGCTTCCTGCCAGGGAAGAAAGACCAACCTTGGGATCTGCTGCCCCTGTGGCTCCTGCCACCTGAGGCTGAGGCAGTTGCCTCACCTTGCCTCATGAGTGGGCCAGCCCTGCCAGGGATCACTGTAAAGGGCTGAAGGAAGCCGACGCCTCCCTTCCCTGCTGAAGTCACTGACGGGAGAATTCCCCCTGCAGATTGCATGGGGTCCCCAGGTTGCATGGGGAACCCACTTCACAGAGCAGTCATGAGGATGACTGAGATCAGGGTTGCATACACACCATCCACTTAGAGCACATGACTTCCCTTAAAGACTCCTGGGAACTGTAGTTTGCTAAGGGTGCTGGAGGCTGTAGCTCTGTGGGGGGTAAACTACTGTTCTAAGGATTCTTTGGCAGGGGGAGTCATGGACTTTAATTATGCTGTAAATGCATGGCATGTACAGTATACAGTGGTACCTCGGGTTAAGTACGCTTCAGGTTACAGACTCCCAGAAATAGTACCTCGGGTTAAGAACTTTGCTTCAGGGTGAGAACAGAAATCGCGCAGCAGCAGTGCAGTGGCAGTGGGAGGCTAAAGTGGTGCTTCAGGTTAAGAACAGTTTCAGGTTAATATTGGACCTCCGGAACGAATTACCACTGGTGCCTGTACCGAGGTACCACTGTACAGTCATAGTCTGTGAGGCTGACTTAGTGATCATGTAGCACATTTGATTCTTACAGCTGAAAGCACTGTACAAATGCTAAAGATTCTTATTTATGGCACAAATTTATAGTTCCTATCAGTGGAGCCATCAGGGCAAGATTTGGGGGGCAGAGACCCAGCAGAGTGAGCAGGGAGTGGGCCAGCTCACCACATTTTGATGTAACACATTACTAGCTAAAGAGCACCCTCCTCCAGTGTGGGTTTCAAATCCCAGGCATCTCCAGGTAAGTCTGCGATAGATTCCCTCTCTGGAGCCCTGGAGAAATGCTGGCAGTCAGTACTGAGCTAGGTGGGAAAGTGGTCAGACTCACTATGGGCAGCTTTGCATCTTACCTAAACTACTAAGTCCAGAGTCTGAAAGGTTCTAACACGGTGTTTCTGTAACTGTACACTGAGCATCACTAGTGCGCATCAGAGCCACAGTCCACCGCCAGCTTTGGTGGGCAGATGTTAACAGCAGCAGCAGCTCCCCATAAGTATAGGGCAAGTACACATGTGGGAGCGTGGGTGCTGTCTGCCGGCTAACACCCCTCCCAGCTGCCCCTGAATGGGGTTTGAGTGCAGTGCTTTTTGGATTCCTGCAAGATGGCGCAGTCTCATAGTTTCAATTGTTCTGTGCAAATATTACTTCTTTTTTCCAATTTTTTAATTAATTTTCCAAAAAAAACCCCAAACAGACAAACAAACAAACATACATACATCCTGTTTGTAATTAAACCAAACTTGGTAACATTGTTAAGTGACTTCCTCAAATCCCCCTGATTGAATTTCATTATATATCATTTTAACGGTTTTCCCAAATCTATCTTCTCAAAGAAAAATTATCTTTGTCATTTAACATCTTTCATTCCTTCTATCTGGCTTAAGACATCTTAATTCCTATCCTTACATTTTTAAATCCTAGGCCGATCTTGTATTTGCAAGCTTTTCCAATTAGGTTATCTTAACATATTTAGCTAAATAGTCTTTAAATTTTATCCATTCTTCCTGGTACTCCTCCTCCTTCTGGTCGGGGACTCTTCCAGTCAGGTCGGCCAGCTCCAAAAAGTCCATCATCTTCATCTGCCACTCTTCCACTATTGGTACTTCTTGTGTTTTCCATTTCTTAGCTATCAAAATTCTAGCAGCAGTTGTGGCATACAAAAATAATTTAACATCTTTCTTGGGAAATTCCAAACCTGTTATTCCAAGAAGAAAGGCCTCTGGTTTCTTAATAAATGTATATTTCAACATTTTTTTCAGTTCATTATAAATGTTCTCCCAGAAGTCTTTCACCTTGGGGCAGGCCCACCACATATGATAAAAAGTACCCTCTTTTTCTTTACATTTCCAACATAAATTATCACTGTTGTGGTATACCTTTGCTAATTTTACAGGAGTCAAATACCATCTGTACAGCATTTTCATTATATTTTCCTTTAACATATACATGCAGTGAACTTGGCCCCTTTCTTTGTGCAAATATTACTTCTGCCTTCACCATCAGTTTTTAAACTTACCTAGCAAGTGCTAGAGGAAGTACAGAGGAAGGAAGAGGCCCATGTTATTTGGGCAATAATATTATTATTATTGCTCTTAAAATTTATATAACACTCTTCATCTGTAGATCTCAGGACAGTTCATAACATAAAAATACAAGATAAAAACACAAAATACATAATAAAAACAATAACAAAACAATCCACAAACCCATTAGAGGCTACAAATGCTAATGGTCTGTTTATCTGGTGGCAGCAGGAGGAGGTGAAGCAATGGCTGAGGCTGGTTACCTCCAGGCATCGCTCCTGGTATGCCTTTTAAATGCAAGCAGTTAACCAGCTGTGTTTGGATCCCTTGTTCTGGAAACCATTTCCTCCAAAACCAGACAAGAAAGCTAATCTGAAAGGAGTAATCTGTTACTTTAAACACATGTAGGAGCCTTGGAATGAAAGGGGATTTTTGCAAATGACCAACATCTAGCCAGTTAAGGCATCTAAATATCTAGTTCTCTTTAACTCACTGATCTGTGCTATTTGCATGCAGCCATCTCTCTTTGTATCCCAAGGGTATAAGCTAAACAAGGAGCTCCAGTCCCTCAACCCTGAAACTGCATCAGATGCTATACCTTGAGCAATGTTAAGCAGCAAAATGCAAAGTGATATCTAATATGGTCTTTAGCCAAATGGCATGCAGATAAGTCCTGCTATGATTTGTCCTTTTTTCAATGTGTTGTTCTTGGGGTATACTTGTTCTTTTTAGGGAGACTTGTTTTGTTTTACTTGATGAACTGGGATGCTCCCTATGAGGTTTTGGGAATCAGCTTTGATTCTGTTGGTAGGTTAGGGATAGTGGGAGGGCATTTGCATTGCTCCAGGTGAAAGATGGGGAGGAAATGGTTGGTCTTTTTGTTTTTTCAGCTGTAGGATTTGCCCATGATTTGGGGTTGTTGGCTGTTTTGAGTATTTTGCTGAAGTGAGAATAGAGTGGAGGGGGTGGAGCGCTGTGTGCAATGAGAGTGTGATTCTTGAATGAGTGGGTATGACCATATATTACTTGAATTCCTGATTTCTGTTATTGCATATAATAACAGATGTGCTTGTATATAACAGTCATGTGATGTATATAATGTTGCAAACCACCCCAGTCTCCAAGCAGGGCAAGATTCCAGGGGTTCCAGGGTCCGTGTTTCCTTCGGAATGAGGCACAGCAGAGACTCTGGTGTTTTTATGATATATGGTTTATTTGCACATATATACAACCTGAGCCTATGATGGAGGTGTTCACAGCATCAAAACCCCAAGAGGGTCCTGCTTATCCCATAGCCAAAGCCTTGGATTCCAGCAGAAGGGAAGCATGACGCTCTCTTTGCCTTTCCAGCCTGCCATCCAGCTTCCAGCTGACATAAGTCTCCTTGTTGGCCTTTTGTCTTTCCAGCTAACAGACAGCTGAGGGAGGGAGGCACAGAGCCACTCCCTTTGTCGCCTTAAGG